ATGGCTGCCTCAGGAAAAGGCCCATCCCCATCACTGGAAGCCTTAAAACAAAGGCTGAGTACCCAGAGGGCTCTTGCAGATTGGCACCGAGCAGCAGGTGGAACCAGCTGACATCTGATGTGAAGTCTGCAACTGCAGTATAAGCATTATTTTACAACCTCATTTGTTCCAACAAACTGACAGAACCATTAATATATGCTTATACATGTACTAGAAATGTGGTGCAACATTAAAATTTAACAGAAGAAAAGGTCATGAATCTTCTGTCCCAAGTGAAGTAACTCCAGAAAGAACAATGGCCAAATTATTTTAAAATCATCTCTTTTTTTGTCAGAGAAAGAATGATCCAGTTCAGATGTTGACAGATAACAAAATGAAATTAAATGGTGAAAAAGCAAGGTTCTACATTTAGGCAAGAAAAACCAAATGCACAGGTACAGTATAGGTGGTACCTTGCTCAATAATAGCAACTGTGAGAGGGATCTCGGAGTCCTAGTGGACAATCATTTAAATATGAGCCAGCCACGTGCTGCAGCTGCCAAAAAAGCCAACACAGTGCTAGGCTGCATTAACAGAGGGATAGAATCAAGATTACGTGAAGTGTTAATATTACTTTACAATGCCTTGGTAAAGCCACACTTGGAATAATGCATCCAGTTTTGGTCACCACGATGTAAAAAAGATGTTGAGACTCTAGAAAGAGTACAAAGAAAAGCAACAAAGCTGATTAGGGGACTGGAGGCTAAAACATAAGGAACGGTTGCTGGAATTGGGAATGTCTAATCTAATGAAGAGAAGGACGACATGATAGCAGCGTTTCAGTACCTGAGGGGTTGCCCCAAAGAAGAGGGAGTCAAGCTATTCTCTAAAACACTTGAAGGCAGGACAAGAAACAACAGATAGAAACTGATCAAAGAGAGAAGCAACCTAGAACTAAGGAGAAATTTCCTGACAGAACAATTCACCAGTGGAATAATAATAATAACAACAACAGCAACAACAACTACTGTTATTGTTGTTATATGCAGGATTCTAAAGCATCTGCCTGCTTAGCAGCCTCTTTAGAAAGATCTGGCATTCATTCGAAGGCTGCCCTGGGGCTGCTCTCTCCTCAGAAGCATCTGGGGCAGTTGAAGGAGCAGCCTTGGGGCCTGGCTAATATCCACCATTTGCTGGGTGGCCTCACATGGTTTCTTCTCCAAGGCCATCACACTGACCTTCCAGAGAAAAACCAGTTAAAATGCAGAGATGACACAATGGGGTCAGGGATGAGATGGCGCCTGGCTCCAGGTTCTGTGAAGGAGCTGAGAGCTGACAAAACTGGAAAGAGGCCTTTGTGATAAGGAGAACTGAGAGTCCGGGAGAGCCCCACACGTTTCCGGCGTATCTCACTCCTAGAACACTCTTGCAAATGAAAGATTGTATGAAGAAAATGGAGAGGTAGACGGCCATCGCCTGCGAAGAGCAGCTCTGAAATCTAGCCAGATTGGGATCCTGCTAGAAAACAAAGGCACACATTTAGGCATACATGTCTGATAATATTTGTTGTCTCCCTCATCTCTGGCTGCTTTGGGGCAGATTATTGCAGACATCAAAGCGCTGCTCTGCCCGTAGCATTGTTCTCCCTTTGGTCTTGAGCTCAAGGATGGCCCTGGTTTGGCCAAGGAGAGAAAAGGTCCCCTGGGCCAGTCGGGCTGGTTTTGTGCCCTTTGGGTGGAAATGTCGGGCTGAGGGAGTGGCAGCCGGTGTGCACACAAGACTGCAGCACCCTCTGCTTGGTGCGCTGGCATCTGGCCGACAGCTGTTAATGGTTAATGTTGCCATAAATCTGCTGGAGAAGGAAGTTCTATCACCATACCTATCAGAGGGGAAAAGAACATCCTGTACTTTGCTTGCCCCAGATTGTTTTCATTCCTCCCCTTTTCTCTCCCGCTTGGCGTGAGAAAGTCAAGTCCTCCCCTCCTTGCCCTCCTCTGGAAGGAGAACCCCCCTCCCCACACCGCCAGTTTCTCCACTCATGTGAGGCAGCCTTGTCTCTCCTGTGCTGTGGGTTGGAGGCCAAGAGCAGCCGCTTGGAGCCCAGGTGAAAGACAGGCTGTTATGCGTGCTGCAGGTCACAGGCCTGGAGTGGAGTCCCCCCTCCCAGCAAGGGAAGCAGTCTCAGACCTCCCTCCCCCCCATACATCGCAGTTTCCAGGGTTTCCTGACCTGAAAACCAGCCACATCTGCATCCCCTCCCCTTTTCTGAAACTGGGGCTGGTTGTAATTTAAGCAAGAAAGTGTGATGGGTGCAGTTTGGGGGCTCTGCCTTTCTCCCTGTGGTGGCTGAATCCCAGAAAGAAGCAACCCTGGGCTCCTGGACAGGCTTCTGCATGGCACCATAAAGACACACTGGTTGCTGTATGCCACACTCTTGTTTCATGTCAGTACCCCCCCTGTATCATACAACTAATTCACGCTTGAACCTTCCAAGCAAGCTGTAATAGCGGTATAACTATAATAGCACGTTGATTAGACAGGGGTTAACCAATTGAGGCAAATTCCTCGTTCCCTCAGGTTTGGACTGGTACACAAGCCATTCTTAGGCTCAATGGCTGGTGAGAAACCTCAGCTCCATGCTTGATCTGCTGCAGTGGTCCATAAAAGCCGCCAAGGCTTTGAACGATTTGCGGCAGGCATGGAGGGGAAAGGCGGGCCTGCAGTCAGTGGCCTCCAGGCACAGGTGAGAGACAAGCGCAGCCGGGCCGGGCAAGAGGAGTGCAGGGGCCTGAGGCGTGGGGGCTTTGGTCCCAGAAAGTGCCTGTCACCTGCTGGCTGGACTGGAAGGCAGGCTCCCGCGTCAGCCGGGGCTGAACACTGCGGCTTCTCTGGAAGATATATAATAATAGTAGTAAAGTTGGAAGGGACCTTGGAGGTCATCTAGTCCAACCCCCTGCTCGGGCAGGAAACCCTACACCATTTCGGACAAATGGCTGTCCAGTCTCTTCTTAAAAACTTCCAGTGTTGGAGCATTTACTGCTTCTGGAGGCAAGCTGTTCCACTGATTAATTGTTCTAACTGTCAGGAAGTTTCTCCTTAGTTCTAGGTTGCTTCTCTCCTTGATTAGTTTCCACCCGTTGCTTATTGTCCTGCCTTCAGGTGCTTTGGAGAATAGCTTAATTCCCTCTTCTTTATGGCAGCCCCTGAGATATTGGAACACTGCTATCATGTCCCCCCTTGTCCTTCTCTTGTGGTTTTTAATGCTGATTTTATTTCCTGGCATTATTTTAATGCTTGCTTTGCTTATTTTATATTTTGATCCTTGACCTTTTGTTTTTAACATTAAGTGTATATTTCTAGGCTGCTCCAGATCTTTTTGAGTTTGCCCGAAGGGGTGGGGGTCGATGTGGTGAGGGCGAGGGCCTCTCCTGCCCTCGTGTGCTCCAATCAACGTCCCTTTTAGGCCTTCTGCGAAGCGTCCCTCTTCCGTGGGCTGCTCCGGCCCTGGCTCAGGGTCCCCCTTGCCCTGAATTGAAAGCAGAAAGTTACTGGCGAGAAGGTGCCTCCTCAGGAGGAGGCAAGTGGAGGAACATTAGGAAGAGCTGTGGATGTTGGTAATGAAAGTTCGCCCCCCCCTTCTTCCAGGCAACTGATGAGTAGAGTTCATTTAACGGTGCATGGAGATGGCAACTATTTTCTGCTACAACTAGAACTGCTTTCCCGTGAGCCGACTGGTCAGTTGAGGCTTCGTTGGCCTTCCCATCATTTCCATAATCCCAGCTCAGCCCCATTTGGGAATAGGGCCATCTGGGCGCATGAAGCATCAGGGCCCCTGCTATCAGAGTCCCCCCACCAGCCGAACCCTGAAGTGGGTCTGGAAAACTCTGGAAGGAGGAAGGAAAGAAGGGCTCTCCCGCAGCTGAACTCCAAGGGCTCTTCCATAAGGAGCCTCTTTGACAGGGCCCCCCAGCACCCTCTCCTCAGCCCGAGTGAAAGTTGGGGGTTCCGTAATTTGTGGACACAGAAGGCCAGCCCCCGTGTGATGTCAGCCTATCTTGGATGTGCTGGTTTTTGAAGATGAAGCCACGGCTCAGCCTCTGATAGCAACTGTGGGTCCCATCATCTTCCTGGTGCATCTTTGTGTTAACCGTTTTTTTTTTTTTTTGATGCTATTATTATTATTATATTTTTTGTTATTATTTGGCTCAATCAAGGATGGAATCTTGAGGCTGACAAAATGATGGCTTTGGCATCAGTCAGTTCAGAACTTTGGAATGCTTTGGGGACTCCAAAATTCCAAAATAGTTGCAAAAAAATAACTATACAAAAAATAAAAAAAAGTTGTCAAAAAAAGAGAACCTGGTTGATATTCTAAGGTCCCTTGTCATACTCTCATTTCCAAGATTGAGGCACTCATTTCATTTTTTCTCCCCCACCCTCCCCTTTCTAGTGTAGTTTACAGCAAAGTTCTTACTAAGGAAAACTCAAATGCAGAGTCCAAACTATTTTGGAAACCTGGGTGATTTCCGAGTTCTGCATGTTCCTCTCACTTCGTGTCCCCCGGGGCCCAATGAGCAGATGATCTCTGGCATTTACTGTACAAGATAAGATAACCTTTATAATACATTATAATACATTCCGTGGGGGGAGGGGACCTTGTACCTCACCCAAATTAAGTGTTTTTAAATCTCCATCATTCTCTATATAGGAAAGTTAGGTATATAGTTAATTATGTTGAAATTAATTCCTAAGATTTTTATTGTGACTATTTAGTGCATTTAAATGTTGTCTCCATTTGACTTGTAATTAATCTTTGTTTAAAAATTGTGAAAAACCAGATTCTTGGAAGCCTTATGGATTAATAATTGATTGATTCCTATCCCCCTCCACATATTCTGATATGGCCCTCCTTCGTACTTTCATCTTTTCCATCTTCAAAATGACCATGTAAGGTCATCCCTAGGTGAGGTGGGGCAGGACGTCTTGTCCAGCTCTCCCACCACTCCTTTTATGGCCCCCAGGATGCGATTCCGGCTTTGGGAAGGCAGCCGCCCAGCACTTGGACAGGCTGGGGCTGACCGTCTATGCCAGTGTGCTGGACCTGAAGAGTTCTGGGGCAGAAGAGCTTCGGCAGACGTGCTCCCCACGGCTGACTCTCCTGCAAATGGACCTCACTAAGGCGGAGGACATTCAGCAAGCCCTGCAGTTCATCAAAGCCCAGACTGGAAGGACAGGTAATCGGAACTCAGCAGCAGCCGCTCAGTGCCCATTGTCGGCTCTCGGTCGCCTAGAAGAGGCCGTCCCCATTTGCTCAGAAGTAGGAATCCCTCTTTCCCAAGAGGCTGTTCCCTAGGGATCATCTGACTGAGGGATGAGGATCATAGAAAAGTGGCCTTGAAAAGGCATCCAGTCACTGGCCTATAAATGCTGAAGGAGAGTGCCCCCAACACGTTCTCAGAATTTCTTGTGCCCACTGACCTACAGCGACTTTCCTCCCCCAATGTGCTGGCTTCCAAGGTCTCCGTCCCTCTTTGCTCTTGGTCACATCTTTTGCTGTCTCCGCCCAGACCTTGGCCAGCGCCTCCTCCTGGGGGGACCTGAGCGAGACATTCTGCAGTCATTTTTGCACTGAGGACAGCTCTTCTGCCATCAGCACAGCCCAGTAGAGGAAGCGATCGGAAAATAGTCACCACGGCCACTGTTGGGGTTTAATAGTTTCATGAGGCAGACTCCATGTTTTGCTTAACACCCTCCCTCCACCTCCTCCTTTCGTGCCCTCTCAGGGCGCAGTGAGCATTTCCATACTTCCCTGTTTTGTTTCAACGGGCAGGTCTCTGGGGCCTCGTGAATAACGCTGGGTTTAATGACACCATTGCCAATGCAGAACTGACACCGCTGCTCCACTTCCGCACCTGCATGGAGGTGAACTTCTTTGGGCCCTTGGAGCTGACCAAAGGACTGCTGCCCCTGCTCCGCTCATCCCGTGGCAGGATCGTCACAGTCAGCAGCCCGGCTGGTAAGGGGCCCCTTCAGAAAACAGGGTTGCTCGGGCTGAGCCCACCGGGAGGGTGTTAGGCCTACAAACAGTGGCCGCGCGACCACCTGGAAATTTAGTTTTCTGGTTCCGTTTCTTTATCAGATCCTTCTGAGGGCTTTATCTGCAACTTTATTTGCTAGAAATATGTGTCCGTCCCCCCACCATCCTGGACTATAACAGGTTGCCACAGAAACTTGTTTGTCCATAGACTAATCAATAACAGGTGATCCTTCTTTGGCCCGTTAACAGATCAATCCAGCCTTGCTTTATCTAGCACAATATTTGGTTTGGTGCATTGTGTGAACCGAGGTCCTTGTGGCAAGCATTGCACTCCATGCAGTTAAAATTGCTGGCCGTTTCCGCCTGATCCATTCAGAAGGTGCTTACCAATAATAGTGACCCATGGAGATCTCTGGGGAGGAGGCATTGCTGCTGGGGGCCTTGAAGCCTTCAATAGGGCCGATGATAAGCACTGCAAGGTTTATTTGTGTTTCCCCAGGCAATATGCCCTACCCCTGCCTGGCCAGCTACGGTACCTCCAAAGCGGCTCTTAGCCTTCTGATGGACACCTTCCACTGTGAGCTTGCACCCTGGGGAATCAGAGTGAGCGTGATTTTTCCAGGGTACTTCAAAACAGGTAAGGCTGAAAATACTTGGATAATGCTGTGCTATCATCATCATCCTAGCCATTGTCTGTCCACTGCAGGATGAAGGCCTTTTCCGTAAGTTTCCAACCAATACAGTCCTGGGCTTTCTTTTGCCAACTGGGCCCGCCATACTAGCTGATGTCATCTCTCCATCTTGTTTTAGGTCTCTTTTGTGGACGCCTTTTATCAAGTGGGATCCTTTCTAGGACTGCCTTGGTCCACCTGCCATTGGTCCTTCTTGCTGTGACCAGCCCATTTCCATTCTTTTACTCTCTTGATGCTGTCGTATACTTTCGTTTGTTCTCTATGTGCAGGTCTTTCTATCTTGTCTTGTAACACTGAGCGTGTCTCTTTCCATGGCTCTTTTTGCCACTCCTAGCTTTTGTATCGATTGTGAGGTTAGTGCCCATGTTTCACTGGCGTACATTAGAGCAGGTAGCATAGACTGATTGAAAACTTTTCTCTTCAGGCCGAGGGGGAGATTGTTCTTGAAAATTACGCTTAGTTTCCGAATGCCTGTCAACCACATTTAACCATTTTCTTTATTTCATCACCTTTCACTGAGATCTGTTGGCCAAGCTATACAGGATGTAGCGGTCTATTATGTCTAGGTCTTCTCCAGATATATTTTTTTCTTTGGTGAATTTATTAAACATAACTTGGCTCTTTTTCAGGTTTATTTTTAAGCCAAACAGTTCTCCTGCTTTATGCAGCTCTTGTATGTGTCTTTGTAGCTCTTCTGGGTCTTGTGAGACGAGAATGACATCATCTGCAAACCTTAAAGTGATTTAAATAGGCATCATTGATTTTTATTCCATCTTTTGCCCAGTTTGCAAAATACTTCAAGGCAGGCTGAGAAAAGAATAGATGATGCTATTGTATCACCTTGTTCTATGTTGATTTCCACTCTAAGACCATTAAGGCAAATTAATGATAGCCGTGCTACTGTATGTTATTTGTTGTTGTTAATTGCGAAGTCGTGTCCGACCCATCGTGACCCCATGGACAACGTTCCTCCAGGTCTTCCTGTCCTCTACCATCTTCCGGAGTCCATTTAAGTTCACACCTACTGCTTCAGTGACTTCATCCAGCCATCTCATTCTCTGTCATCCCCTTCTTCTATTGCCCTCAATCTTTCCCAGCATTAGGCCCTTCTCCAGTGAGTCCTTCCTTCTCATTAGGTGGCCAAAGTATTTGAGTTTCAACTTCAGGATCTGGCCTTCTAAAGAGCAGTCGGGGTTGATCTCTTCTAGGACTGACCGGTTTGAACGCCTTGCAGTCCAAGGGACTCGCAGGAGTCTTCTGTATTAACACTGTATGTATTAATACACGCATTTGCCCCAAATACAGAAACTTGACACACACTTGTCCTTCCGGTAAGATCTCTGCTGCTTTCCAGTGAGATTTTTCATTGCGGCCTTCTGAGCTCAGTAATTTCCTTGGAAAATAAATGCCTCAGGAACCGGTCTAAGCCAGCCCAGATCATGCTGAGGGATCCTGATCAGTGGACATTTCTCTGCATGTTGCATGACTTGGCTACTCCTTCCAAGGGAGGCTCACCTGGGCTCTTTCTGTGTCTTTGCTTCCCTTCTCAAGTGGGTATTCCAGAATGCCTACACAGAGCTTGAACAGGAGACGGGGGATCCTCCTTTGTGTAGCAAGGACTCCGAATGTCTAAATCAGGGGTCCCCAACCCTCAGTCCATGGACCGGCATTGGTCCGTGGCATGCCAGCAACCGGGCACACAGGATGCAGACAGCATGTGAAACCATGCCCCCTCTGGTCTGTGGAAAAACTGCTCCCCACGGACATGGTCCCTGGTGCCCAAAAAGCCAGGGGCTGCTGATCTAAATGATTGTGAGAATGCTGCCTGCTGCACAGAGCAAAGGGAGCAGGCAAGCATTCCTCTGCTATCATTTAAAAATGTAAACCGAAATTCTTGGAAGACCAAGCTTTACATTAGCAACTGTCCCTGTTTTACAGACACGAGCCTTTTCCAGTGCCTTATGAGAGTAAGGTCTCCTCCTCTCTCCTTTTCCCCGATTTACAACAGGTGACAGCTGTAACCCCGAGTACTGGAAGGAAAAGAAGGAGCAGCTCCTTTCAGCATTACCTGCTGATCTTCTGGAAGCTTACGGAGAGGAGTATCTCGAGGAAATCAACAGGCAATTTGTGAGCTTCATGAAGATGGCTGTGGAGGACCTAAGCTGTGTGGTGGACAGCATCACCGACGGCCTCCTATCCACCAAACCACAGCTAAAATACTACCCCGGGAGAGGCCTGTGGCTCATGTACTTCATCCACCATTACCTCCCTCACACAGTCCGGGACCTTTTCCTGAAAACCTTTTTTATCAATCCAAAGCTGCCCCAGGGATTGTGTCCCCAGGCCTGCCACACACCCAAGGTGTTGTGAGAGCTGCTTGGGTTCTTCTTTTGCGCCATCGCCAGAGAAACTCTGGAGAATGTTTTCTTGGAAGATTCCTCTTTTTATTCCACCCGTTTCCAGCTAGTTAGAAGAGGAATTTTTTCCTATAGAAACAGGCCAGGGCAATTTTTTTCAGTTCTGAGGGACAAATCCTGGGTTTGCCTCCCACAGTGACTTTCCTTGGGAGGATGGGAAGCGCATCTGCCCTGGTCCTATATGCAAGGCCTGAGAGGCCTGGAGGTGGATAGAAGCAGCATCCTTGCTAAACAAAGTTTATTTGGACTTTCTCCCCCCCCCCAATGTGCCAAAGGAGAAGTCAGAAACTGCTGCTAGCCAAAACAAAGAGCTTCTGAGCACTCTAGTTTACCATATACCTCCTTAAAAGTTGCCTCAGGCGAACTAAGCTACCTTCTCTTGCCACTTGCTGGACAGGGGCTGACCTCAAAGACGTGGCCTTGGGCTTCTTGATGAGCCAACCTGCCTCTGTTGCTTGGGCCTCCTCCTCTGCTGCAGCCCTCATTGCTGTGCAGGGACAGCATCCATGTGACCTCACCGGTGAGCCAACGGCCTGCCATTTTTTTTTCCAAAAGGAGCACAATTGTATTATTACTTAAATAAAAAATATTTCATTATTTGATTGGATATTGTGTTTTACTGGGAACCATCAAGATTTTAAGCAGACTAGTGGAGGAGTTCAGCTCTCGTCCCAGCACCAGGCAGGACCTTCTCCCAGCTACAGAGCTGTACTGCTGGGTTCAGGCCAGGAGCTCTTGGCTCCAACCCCCCCTTAAAAAGGCTCTGTGGCCAGAGAAGCGGTGGCTGCCCACCCCCAGAACCACACAGCTCCCTTTCACGCTCAGAGGGCGGCCCCCCGCAAAGGAGAGCAGGCCAACCGTGGGGTGAACCATTTAGGGCTCTTCAATGAAAAGTTCCTTAGTGCTGGCCTTTGCTTGTTCTGGTAATGGATATCTGGCACGTGACTATCACTTGCAACACACTTGTTCAGCTTTTCTTGTTTGCTATGCTGTTGCTGGAGTTCTATTCCATGACACAGCAGAGCAAAATTAAGAAGTTTTCATCTTTTCCATCGGTCAAACCATTTCAGTTCAACTGGGAAATAACAAGAATTGGAAGGGACCTTGGAGGCCTTCCGGTCCAACCCCTGCCCAAACAGGAGACCCCCTCCCCCATACCATTCCAGACAAATGGTTGTCCATCCTCTTCTTGAAAGCCTCCAGAGATGGAGCACTGTTAGTAAGTTAGTGAGCAGGGTTAGTAAGGGTTACGTTCAGTATAAATCGCTTTATGTTGAAAGTCAAGCCGTCCGGCCCACCCACGGCAAACAAACCTTACTGGGGTTTCTTAAACCCCATCAGCAATTTCCCTCCGCAGGGCACCTGCCAGGTCAGCTGGCTCTCCTGGAACAGGCCTCTGGCTGGAGAAGGGAGCCGAGACCAGGGCTCAGGGGACACACGGAGAGGAACAAAGGCCGTTCTGATGAAGAGAAACAGAGCAGGACCTACTGTGCCTGAGAAACAAGACAACTGCAAGATGATGTAATAACCATCCCCACATTCAAATATTTGAAGGGCTGTAAACAAACTGGGTTTATTAGCAGTTTCTCTAGGATTGGCTAGGACTGCCGGCACCTGAAGGCCAAAACCATCTGGTAGGTCAAAGTGGTCCCAGTCCAGCCCCAGAAAGCAGGATCAATGGTCCCCAAAGGACCAGTTAGCTAGGCAGTTCCCATCTGGGTATCCAAGCTTTCCTTTCTAGGGAAGGTGGTGGAGAGAGGTTGCGAGATCTTGCTCTTGTGTATCTTGAGTTGAAGGTTTTTAATGCTTTTTACTGGTTTTATTGTTTTAAAGTTTTTTAAAATTTTTAATTGTAATATATTTTATGAACTGTAAGTCATTAATTGAAATGGGAGGGCCACAGAAATTAAACGAACAAGCAAACAAATAAGCAAATGGAGTAAACATTAGAACTGCCACTTGCAAGAATCTGCCCTTAAGTGGAAGCCACGGGGTGATCCTCGGATCCTTTCATCCACTGTCCAGGGAAAAGCTGCTTGCGGTCAGCCCAGCCTTCCCAAGAAGCCCAATCTCTGAGGCCAGAAGACAGAAACAGCGATTCAGTGGTTCATTGCCATGGTTTAAAAGGAAGATACACACAAGTCAAACACTGGGAACAGCACAATCACTGAGCACAAACGGAGGCTGACTGGACTGACTCCTCTCACCCACAAAAGCCAGGAAAAGGACCGGTGGCCGCATCCAAGGGGGAGGAGAGCTGGGTCTTGGGAAGCCGGAGGGGGCAGGCCAAGCCCATTTTCTGAAGAGGAGTGCAAATGGGTGGGCGTCTATCGTTTTTTGCTGCTCAAGTGTAGGAGGCTTAGCAACAAGGACACCCCCCTCCCCAATTCTCCAGGAGCCAAACTGCATGGCTCTCCATCAAAACATGGGACTTTCAACAAGAGCTTTGGGCCAGTTCAGAGGGAAGCTTTTTCGATTCCCGCTGGTGGGAGAAAAGCTGCTGAGGAGGTCAACAGCACCAGCCTCACCTCTTCCGATGAACAGAGGGTGATGCAGGTGCTCAGCCAGGCCTTGAGTGGCCAAGACAAGGAGTGGGAAGAGCTCAGAACCAGCCGGGCAGGGACAGCCTCTGTCTCGGCCACAACGGCGCCCAGGCCTCCAGGGCCCTTGGAAACAGCTGCCCCTGGCCCTCCTGGCAGGAGGAGAGGTGGGCCTGGAGGGGCTGCTTAAGGAGGGAGCCTTCTCCATCTGGAGCCCAGCAAAGTCAATGCTGAGCCTGCTCAGGAACCCAGAGGCCAAGCGGGGAGAAGCAGGCAGGCCCATAAGGGGAGGGGTGGGAGGGATGCCATTCTAGTATCACTAGATCACTGGCTAAGCAGCTGCTTCCAGGGTGCCTCAGAAGAGCTACGCTGGCCTAGTCTGAAAAGCACCTGTCTTGGAGCAAGATGGTGGCAACAGGAAGCAGATGCCAAGAGTGCATCCCACATGGGGCCACCAGGATGGCCGAGGATGCGCCCAGCAAGATGCCTTCTCAACAGCACGATGAATTGGTACAGACACAGCACAATTTAGCCTGTCCGATTCTGGCAAACACAAGAAGTCCAACAGGAAAGGGGATGCGTGTAGAGACCCTCCTGCCTCAGCTTCCCCAGGCGGGGGCTGAAGAAGCCCTCCGGGACATCTACAGGCTTTGCCAGACAAAGGGAAACACTCAGAAGATGGGAATGTAGTTGTCAATCTTTGCTCGGTGGCGCTGGGCAATGCATTCCGCGATCCACACAATGTTGCGGCATTCTTGCTCCTTCAGTTTCACAAAAGCATAAAACACACCAAAATGGAACTGGTTCAGGAAGGCCAGCTTGTTCAGCTTCACCTGCCAGGAAGAGAAACACCTGAGCAGGGGTCCTGCTATCCTGGGAAGCCCCAACTGTCCCAGGCAAGCAGCAGCTTCTTCAGTGGGCTTGGCAGGGGAGATTTTTGCAATATTGGCAGGCAAAACTGCATATGGGAGGCTCCCCGTGACCTCTGCTGTGATGGCCGCCACCCCCCCCCCTTGAGGTGCTGCAGGATTTGGTGAGCCTGTCCAGGCTGAACATTGGCCTTCTAAGCATGGCTGTCCCCTGCTGAAGTGAGGCCACTGCTCTTGAGGGCACAGCTCACCATTGCCCCGGTTTGCACCAAGGGAGCCCCACGGGGAGCAGCAGTGGAACGCCCCTGTGCTGCACCCTGATTTATAGCTCTCTTCAATTCCAACTTTGTTTTCTGTCTAGCAGTGGCATAAAGGCACGGAGGGCGACAAGGCCAAACCACAGGTTCTTTGTCCAAGGCCTTCAGCAAACCTGAAAAACTGCAGATGACAGCAAAGGACATCTTTGTATTTCTCTGCTGCCACCTTGTGATGCTCATCATCATCACAACAATCCACAAAGGGCAGCCTTAGAAAAAGGTCCCAAGAAGAGCTGCAGCAGAGGAGGGGGGGTCCCTCTGGCTGCTGCCGCCCCTTCTTCTCCCTTCCTGATGCCACCACAGGCCTGTGGGGGAGGTGGGGGAGCGCTTCCTTCTTTGTCAAAGAGTGAAAGAGCTGCATGTATGTAGGGAGCTCCCACCTGCTCACCTCGTGCTCAAAGAACCGGTCCTCGAGGGTTTTGTCGCCAGGGTTGCTACCTGCTCCTTCAAAGAGCGATTTATATTCCTGCAGGAGAAAGAGAAATGAGGGGAGAACCGGGAAAACTGGCATTCCACATCCCCGAGGTGCACCTTTCCTCAAGCAATACATGGAATACAATTTGGCTTGTTTGGGCAGCCTCAAGAGACTGGAAAAGAATCAGAACAGCAAAAAAAAAAAAAAAAAGGCACCACTCGGCTAGCACAACGCGCTGGCTGCCTTTATGGGCAAGTGCCGGAACATCCTTTGAGACAGGGGAGAGCCAATTTGCGCAGGGGGCTAAGGGGTGCTGATCTCAAAACCAGAAGATCCTAAGCCCCAATTCTGCTTCAGGACCAAAAGGCCACTGGGTGACCTGGGCTGTCCTCCCCCTGTCCAGCTCACGGGAGGAGAAAACGTGAGCTGCCTTGCGTTAATCCAAAATAAAGGAAGGGTAAACATCAACCCAGTCTCATTTTTGCTGGACCAGTACAAGATAATGCCAAGAAGAAACGTCCTAACTTCTCTCTCAGCAAGCGCTACCATCTGTATCGGAAGCAGCACCACATCCAGAATTCCAGTCCAAAAATCTGGAGGAGGCCAGGCCGGGAAATGCCTGTGCTGAGAAGGAGTCACAAAAATAACACCTGCTCTAATGCAAAACGCAGGGTCAAAGTTCAGAAGAACACCAACGCAAGCAGCACTGGCCCTTGTTCAAGCTGGGCTGCCCTAGTGAATGGGCTCCCTCGCACTGGCCAGTCCCACAAGGCACAGCTGCCCCGGAGCCCTTACCGGGTAGTAATTGGCCACGGTTTTGACTTGCTCGTAGTCATCTGCCCTGGCGAGCTGAGCCAGGCCCTCGGGATGGAGTTTGCCGCAGTGGGGGAAGAGCTTGGCGCGGTCCTCCTTGGACAACTCGGTGCCAAAGGAATTGATGGTGATGATGAAGGCTCTGCGATCCGCTTCAAACTGGAGGGGGAAAAGGCCGGGTCAGCAGGGGAAGCAGCCGGGAAGGCCAGCAGGTTCAGAGACAGCACAAGGGGGACGGGGCACAGTTAGTACAAGGGCAGCTAAGGGGAGGACCGACGAGGTAGGTCCAGCGGCAGATTCCACCCCACAAAGGCGCCCCTGCTCTCAAAAGCAACAGGGCCTCCTAGCTCTTTGTTTAATTGGATCAGCAATTCTTGCCAGCTTATCAGAAATAGGAAAACTAACTGTAGTGTTGAATTTCACAGACAGACAAAAGACAGAATGAGTTGGGAACTGCCTGCATGCCAAGAACTTCTCCCCAAAACTGTCTGATTTCTGTCTTGGGAAAATCAGATGCAATTTTTTTAAAAAGTTTGTAATACATGTTTTTTTTACTCTGAAACTGTTCTTACATGGACCAAGGAAGAGGGGTGGGAAAAGAATTAACTGATGCCTTGTGCCAAATTAAGTATTTCCAGAAACTGCTTAAACTTGAGCAAAGACAGACAGCCAAAAGGAGAGAGCTGCCTTCTTACAGATTGCAAACGGGTGTGACCCAGCCCAGGCAGAGGCATCCAAGGCCTGTGGCTCTTCTCTCTTGCCCAGCAAGCAGGAAGCTGGATCCCCACAGGTGCTAAGCTGGCTCCTACCTCCAAAATTGGGCACATGGCGTCTGCTGTTGTGCCTCCCAGGCTCTTGCAGAACTTGTAGAAGGACTCCAGGTAAGCCTGGAAAGAAATAGTCAATGGTGAAGACCTGGCCCAGCAAGGCCAACAAGAGCAACCCATGCAAGCTGCAAAATCGCCCACTGAGGTGCTGACAGCCTGGCAGGCATACTGCCCTCCAGGAGGGGGGGGGGCAGCATCTGGTTTGGTAGAACAGTGAGAGGCTTTGGGACAGGAGAGAATCTTGAAACCAAATCCCCAGGAGACACAGCCTCTACGGACGCCTGGGAATGGACCAAAGCAATCAAAGCAGCTAGCGCAACTGGTGGCCAATTTGTAGGCTACTTTGGACATTAGCACATTCTTGCCTTTCTCCCCTCTTGTAATCTCTGACAGCAGATGGACCGGCCTTTTCCTTTTGGAAGATTCAGCCTGCCCAGGCCGGACTATGAAGCCACCCAAGGACTTCAAGGAAATAGATATCCTTGGCCAAACCTGTCCAGCAGCCTCTATGCTCAACTCTCTGCCCAGGAAGCTTGGCAGACTCCTCCCCACCGCTACCCACATTCTTTTTATGCTTTCAGGTCCACTGGGAGCCTCGGCACTTATCATCTCTCTCTCTCTCTCTCTCTCTCTCTCTCTCTCTCTCTCTCTCTCTCTCGGGAATCATTCTGACAAAGAGAAGTAGGTGTAAGCAGCATCCTGTGCTTTACCAGGCATGAAATGGACCATGAACCTGGAGCATCCAAGCCAGATCTTGACCTCAGTGCTTGGAGGCCAAAGGGGTGGCAGCAGCTTCTCACAGCACACCTCCTCACCCTCCCTTGTCTCACAAAGTGTCAACACACTCTTTCAGCAGCACTACCAGCTGTTATATCATGGCAAAAGAACTATTATCCTGAACTCCTACAGGACAAACGCTAAGGTCTTCCATCAGGTGTTACAAGTGGTCCAACTCACCTTTTGCCCTTCAAATCCAAATGGATGCTCATCCCCAATATTTACTTTTCAAATATAACACGTGCGTTAAATTAATTCCGGGGGTTCTCCTTCATAGTGTGTACGTCTAGCGCATTAATTCTCCCTTTGGCTGCCATCCAGAGACAAGAGCCTAACAGAGTGGTTCTCTACCTTTTCTTCACCATGCCCCCCCCCTTAAATACCATGGCCATGGACCCCCAAGACTTAAGATTTAAATCATAATATTTCTTCAAGTCTTTGCTTTAAGCCTGTGATGACATCGCAGCTCCCCAGGGGTCCGTGGTCCATAGGATGAGAGCCACTGGCCTAACACCTCCTTTCAAAGCAGGACATTGGTATCTGCCGTTTGTTTACTCTGCAGTTCCTATAGGGGGCTGAAGGAGAGCAAAAAGGAGCCTCCAGGGTGTAGGAGGCTGAGGCCTGGCCAACATGGCTCCGCTCCCCCCCCCCCATGGAGGAGGAGGAGACCTTGCCCTGGCCCTTCCAGCTTCAGTTCATTCTGCAGACCCAGCAACATTGCAGAAATGGGAGAAGATTGCAGCACCACATTTATTTGTCCCTAAGCACTAACCTTATACAAAGTATTTCGTATAATTTCTATGTTCATCTCATCCAGATCCTGCTCAGATATGCAATCCTGGAAAAAGGCAGCTAAAAGAAAAGAAAAAGGGTGAGCAAGGACCCCTGCTTAGGCTTGCAGCTATCACTGCTTTGTGGAGGAGGAGGAGACCCCTCACCAAGCAGGCCCTGATGCTTTCCATAAAGACTCAGGCCAACGGTCAAGCTTGGCAAGCCAGTTTTTCTGTCCACCCAGGACTGAGACCCCATTCAGTGGCCTTCCCACTAAAGTGCCACCCTCTTATCTTACCAAGAGGCGTGTCCACCAGGATGGCATTGTATAGCTCAGCTGGTGTTTGGGCAATATTCACAGCCTCCATCTGCTCAAAGCTACCCAAGGGATGGCATTTGGGTACCAGTTCTGCGATGGAGCGTTGATGGAGCGTCCCAGTAATCAGCAGAATGACATTATCAATCATGTAGCTGTAGCTGAAAGGAAGCAATGACAGCAGGGCTAGGACAGCAAGCAGCCCCTCCCTCTCCCACCCTCTCTCTGACTAGGTTTGTGCCACCAGGCTGGCTGTGGGTGAAAAGAACAGTGGAGGTCCTGTCGCTATTTGCAGGGCCTCGTCAATCCACACATACATTCCCGAAAAAGCTTCAAGGGGGTTTCTCAACCGCAACACATCAGTGTGGAGTAGACCATGGACTGGGGTTTCTGCTATTTGGGAAAGTTATTACTTCAAACCTGCTACCTTGCAAGAAACAAGTTTAAACTCATCCCCAAAATCTTAGCTGATGCACAAGACCCTGACGAGCAGAGAGTCAGTGTTCAGAATTGGAGGCAAAGGCATTGAATTAGAGCAGCGGTAGGCAACCTTGGCTCTTTTATGACTTGTGGACTTCAACTCCCAGAATTCCGGGAGTTGAAGTCCATGAGTCATAAAAGAGCCAAGGTTGCCCACCTCTGGTTTAGAGCTACGAAAACCCAGATCCAAGTCTGTCCTCGGGCACAGACGTTTACCGGGTGGCCCGGGTCAGTCACTCGCAGCCCAGGCACAGCAAACACAAGCAAATGACAGGTCCTCTCCAGAGAGGGCATTCCTTTCGTACTCAGAAGAAGCATAAAGACACAGCACCAAGAGGAGGGCAGGAGTCTGAAAGCCCCTGCAGAGAGGTGAAAATAGACCAAGGCTGCTTCACTCCGAGAAACTTCTCAAAAAACTGTAAAACTCATTTGCTCCAAGTGATGTTTGTTTTACTACAGATCTTTCATCATAAAAAGGTAAAAAGATTCCTCCCCCGAGCAGAGCATGCAGAAAAGCCCCTTTTAAGACTGGGAAGCAGGACTGGTCAAGCCTGCCCCAGATGCCCTCAACCCCACTGCAGAGGCCAGGGCCAGGGCACACAGCGCATCCATGTGCTCCTGAAGCCCTCGCCTGGGCAGAACAGCGAAGTTGCCAGAGCAGAGGGTGTTCTGAAGCAAGAGGTGTGGACCCAGAAGATTTGGGGGGGGGGGCAGGAAGGGATTTCAAGTTCTCTGCTGTATCCCAAGCAATCCTGAAAGCATCCAGGCCCAGCTTCTGGTCACGGCCGTCAAGGTTTCCATTGTCTGCCAGGGCTCAACTCAAGATTTCATCCCATACACTGAGTCCTCTCACTAATTCTCATGTGACCCCTTTACATTTTTGGCCTTTTAACTCTCATTATAAAATCAGGACTCAGTGATTAAAAGCACTGGCTGTCACACTTGTCTTCCCCTTTCTCACTTGTCTATATAATTCTATCATATTCTTTCTGTTCAGTTCCTCACTAAATGACTTTTGAGTCATCCATTCAGGTAGTCAGGAATGCTTAAAATAGACCTTACCATCCGTAAAAAAAATCAGCCCAACATTTCTCTGCCTGGAGCCAGTGGCCATTTTGCACTCACAGCTTCCCCAGGAGACCTGGACCTCCAGTGCCCAGAGGCTTTCCTAAGAGATGCATACAAGAAGCCAACTTCTCAGACCCAGGCTTCACTTACCACAGCAAATCGCCATCCAAAGGGGCTCCCAGGCCCTCTAGCGGAAGATAGCAAAAAGGGAACAAACCTTTCCCTCTGCATATGAACGTGTGGATTGGGGACGAGAGATGATGGGATTCAGTTCTCTGTGGCTCTTTCAATCTTCCACACTCAAGTATGGACGGGACCCTTGGAGTACAAGGGAGTCACAGAGGCTCTCAAGTTGAATCCCTTGTTCTATGCAGGAATCATATTAACCAAGAGATGGTTCTCTAGCTTCTACTTAAGCATTTCTCAACTTTGGTGACTTTTAAGTTGCAGGGACCTGGACTCCCAGCATGCTGACTGGGGAACTCCGGGAGTTCAAATCCATACAACTTAAATTCACCAAGATTGAGATGCACTGCTCTACCTTCAATAAAACTCATGAGTTCTTTGTGCCAATGTTTCTATCACTGAACTGCTGCAGAAAGCTGGCTTTCCCTCCCCACCCAACAGTCAACATTATTCTCTGTCTTCCACTAAACAACAGAAAGTGATCATGGTCTCCCTGAGGAGTGTCACTGCAGGGGCAAGCAACCTGGCAGACAGGTCAATGTGTTGCACCCAGGAAAGAATTGTGCCACTTAAGCTGTGTCCAGTGGTGGGCCTGGCAAGTCAACAGGACATGGAGAAACTGGATTGGGTTTAGAATGATAACAGGCCTGGAAAGCAAACTGATGAGAAATAGATAAACTGTCTGGGCGTGTTTATGTTTCAAAGAGGGGAGATAAAATAAAAATCTACACACTTCTGAATCTAAAAAAAAAAAAAAACATTTTACAATTTCCATGAGGGGGTAGACTTATTTTCTGTTTAAACAGGAGGCAGAACAAGGACCAACGGACTGAAATTAAATTAACTGAATGTTATTATTAAACTGTTTTAAATACACACATAGTCCATACTTAATTATTGTAACCGGGATGGGCAACTTTGCCATTAAGCAAAGTAGTCGCTAAATGAGAAATCACATGAGTGCAACAGTGGATGCAGAGACAAGACTAGTCATTTTCATATTTTCCCTTTTGTTTGCCTCCTAACCACTCTCTCACCCTTTGGCAGCAGGAAACACTCAAGAAGGGAGAAATTGTCTATAGAAATTACGTACTTGGCCCACCCCCTCCAGAGCAGAGACTGGAGACGTAGAGATTTCAAAAAAGTAAGCTGTTTGCTCTTCTGTACATTGAGAAAAATGTGATCGTGCTGGCAGCGGGAAACACCTTGCTTTCTTGCAATCTCTTTCTCTCCAATCCACAGGACGACCTGTAGATGTCGTAAGAGCTACTAAGAGCTCAGGAAAAGAAGTGGATTCTTTTTGCAAGATGATCATCTATCAGGAATAGCGGATTCCTGAAGTGACCAGAAAATCAAACCTATAATATCCCTTCCAACTCAACTATATCAATTCCCTCATGGCTCCTTTTCTCAAGACTAAACAAACCAGCATTTTCAATTCCTGTCCACAAGATTTGGTATCTGGTCTCATCATCCTAACGTCCTTTCATTCACTTCTTACTTTGCAGAACATTTACAGTAAATACCAAATGCTCCATTTTGGACAGCTTAAGCTCCCTTAAACTGGAATCGCCACAAAATTCTTTAAATTCTCTTCAGCTTCTAATGAATCCGACACAGAAATTCAAGGCTAGAATAAGGGGTTGTGATCTTAGGACACAATTTGTCATAAACAATTTGTAAGCGTGAGGTATGAAAGACTCTAGAAGTCCTTTGACATCGCTCAAAGCTTTCCCTATAAATGAAAGCAAAGTGTGCTGTGTTTCCACAAAATCCACCTGGCGGACTTGTGCCAGCCAGATTCCCAGGGTTCTTTTGCCCTGCAGATTCAGACTTACGTGATGAAATCCAGGAAGCTGGCCAAAGGCTCGTAAGCGTGATTCCGCATGTGGCGGAACTCCACAACCATCTTCTCCTTCAGTTTGTCATCAATGACAGAGACGGTGAGAGGAGAGGCCTCATTTGCCAGGAAGTTCCCATAGTCTGTACTCTGGAGATGAAGTTTCAAATCTGAAAAATTAAAAAAAAAATCAGGCATGAAAATTGATGGAAGACACTTGGCAATCACTAACAAGAGTTTCCACTGTAGGCTAGAGATAATTCCCGATGCAGCAGCTGAAAACAGCTCTCGGGAATGAAAGGGCAGCCTGCTCGAGGTTCTGGTTCATGGCTAAAGAGGCCAAAGAAGATGGGGAGGCTCTTAACTTGGTCTGGATGGGGTTCTTCTATTCCCCCAAAAGCCTAGTTGCAGTTGGGATCACTCAGCTGTTGCTGGATTTGAAAGAGTTGATATAATTGCAACTAGAATGCCAAAAGCCAACTTCGCAAGGGTTCCCTCTGCCTCGGTTACATGTCCTGCAAGGCGCTTTGCACTTCACTCTTGAGAAGTTTCCAGAAATTAGGACAGGTGCGGAATGAAGCAGCCAGGCCCCTGAGACAAGACAGAGGGACCATCTCCCTGCACAATTTTTAACTGTTAAACAAATTAATGAGCTGGCAGCCTGCAGCCTCCCCTCTCCCACAAGGAACGCCGGTGGGCAGGAAAGGCTGCCAAGGCCCTGCTGCCAAGCGGAGGCGATGCAGGAAAGAGGCTACTCCTGTGCGGTTTCCAGAGAAACGGATTTCGCTCCCACAATTTCAGAAAATGGTAAAAGTGCTTCTCCTCTGCTAATTTTTAAAGATTTCAATTTTTTCCAATTTTAATTTTTTTTCATTTGTTTTGTTTTTAAACCTTTTAAGCTGCTTCGAGTGTTGAAATCAACTAAAGACGAGATACAAATTCAGAAATTAATAAAACCCGCCTTAAACAAGAAAGCTTATATTTCACATTTTCAGTAATTAAAAAGCCGCAGCTGCCATTCCCAAGAGAAAGTCAGGCGCCTTCCCTGGTTTTACCAAAGCGCCCACTTTTCTTCCGGCCAGCGAACAGCCATGTCAGGGCGCACAGGGCCCGAGGGGGAAAGGCCGCTGCTTCCGCCTTTTCCCTGCTGACCCATCCTGCATAGCCGCGCAGCTGGGCGAGGGCGGCCCGGGGCCTCGGCCTCCTCGGCTCCGCAGCCCCGGCTCCCCCAAAGCGGGCGGGAGCAGCCCCGGCGGGGCGTCCGCAGAAGGAGCGGCGCGTCTCCGAAGCCCGGGGGGGGGCCGCGCGCCGCTCTCGGTTTCGTGAGAGAGAAGCGGCGGGGCCCGAGACTGAGGGAGGGCCGCCCCGCCGCGCCACCCACCTTCCAGGCTCTCGCACTGGACCAGGTTGACGTAGTCGGCCTGGCTGAGCACCCCGGCCTTGAAGCCGCGCACCAGGCCCTCCAGGTAGCCGCTGTCCACGTTAAAATAGAGCTCCGGGAAGCAGGAGAGCAACATGGCGGCGGCAGCGGCGGCGGAGCCCGGTCTGTCCCGTGACGCTCAGCACTTCCGCCGCCGCGGTCATAGAGACGCACGGAGCAGCGGTTTCCGGCGCCACCAGAGCGCCCATCTTCGGGGAGGCGGGCGGTATCGGGCGAACCCTTGCAGGCTCTGTCCGTCGGAGGGATGGGGGTCTCGGGAGGGGGTCAGTTCCGTTCCTGGAACATGAATTAGAAGCTGACAGAATCGGAGAGCTGCAAGGGAGCCCGAATCCTGCTCAGGCAGGAGAGACCCCGACCCATTGCGGACAAATGGGCTGGCAGATACAGTCCTTGACTTACAACAGTTCATTTAGTGACCATTCAAAGTTACAACAGCACTGAAAAAAATGACATGACCATTTATCACCCTTAGACCGTTGCAGCATCCTCATGCTTGGCAATTGGTTCGTATTTATGATGGTTGCAGGGTCTCAGTGTCATGTGATCCCCTTTTGTGACCTTGCAAAAACAGACGGTGGGAAAGCCAGATTCACTTAATGATGGTGTTACTAATTTAACTGCAGTGATTCACTTAACAAATGTGGCAAGAAACGTCATAAAATGGGGCAAAACTTAACAAATGTCTCACTTAGCAACATACATTTTGGTCTCAGCTGTGGCTTTAAGTCAAGGACTACCTGTAGTATACCTAGGTAGGACAAGTTCTCCAGAGACACTCTGAGTCATTTTCACATTTGTTTTTTATTCTCTGCTTTATAATGTTACCCATTCTCATGGGTGTTACTATATTTTTCACATGTGTGATAGAAATAAGTGAAAGGTCTTCAAAATTCAATATTGAAAGAGAAATTTAAAATTGAATTTGCTGCTGTGGAAAGTTACTGAGTGGACTAACGAACTTATCAAAAAAACTACAATGGATGGGAACCAGGAAAGGATAGCATAAAGGGAGGATGTAAGTGAAACACGTATGCAAAATTGTTATCTGGGTCTTCAGAATGGGAAAAGGAGCTGTAAGAGGAGATAACTAGCAAAACTGGAAAGAATCTATTTTTCTAAGAAGTCATAAAAAGGGGGGCCCAGAACTCAAACAACTGTGCAATTAGTTGATTAATATTAACTGACATACCTTGCATAAATTATCTCCTAATTTTAATGTACATGTCATGTATGGTTTAGTATGTAACAAGAAATATGTAGGAGGCAGTGGGAAAGAGTGTAACCTCATAGTAACTCAGCCAATGGGGAAAGAGGAGGGATGTGGTGGCCGGGACAGGGCTGTATGAAGAAGGGAATATTTGGGGTTGGAATTTTGGAGAGAATCAAGCTTTGATAGCTTCTCTTCCTGCTTATTGCAATAAAGGAAACAAAGGCCTTCACTGGGTCTTGGCTGGTTATTGGTCAGGCAAGCTCGCCTCTGGTCACAAAGGAAAGTAGCCAGGAGCACATAACATGTATGAGATCCATTTTTGAGCCAATTCCCTATATTTTTTCAGTTCTGGTTGAAGGATAGGGAATATCACTCCCATTAGAGGAGACCAGAGGCAGCTTGGCTCCTGCCTGCTGAATTGAGGCAAAGGGATAATTTTGTAAATAAAAAAAACCTGAACACCTTATTGGAATCTAGAAAACAGAAATCCATGGAAAGTAGGGACAAGTTTGGGCAATAAGGTTAAAGTCAGATTATGGAAATGGTGCAAATAGGATGAGAGGCTGGAGATCCTGTTACACTCCTGTTTTGATTGAGGTTGGGTGAAAAGATAAGAGGTAAGATAAAATAACCTTTATTGTCATTTTTTTACTGTGGGCACAATGGCACACATCTTACTTAGAGAATATAAACAGTTGAAGCTAAAGCTTTTAGCTTTCTGGTTTTACTTAACACAATTAATGAAAAAAAAAGTCACATTTCATGGATTCTTTCTCATAGGCGATTTATTGGAATGTAAAAGGAATATATATGGACCCTACATCTATTCAAGATTAGTAAATGACAGCCTGCAGAATGCAAACTAGTTCCTGCCACAGGGGAAAGTGCTGCTAAATTTCTTGCAGAAGCAGTTAGCGTTGAAAAAGCGGCAGTAGCAAGTGGCACACGGGTCACAGCATGGCAGTTTGTGCCCAAGGCAGGATTCCTGGACACGGACACATCTCCGTGGAGAACGCCCTTCCCGCTCCTGGGCCTGCAGTGCTGCTGACATCTGCAAGGAGACCACAAAGAGGGTCATAGCCAAGGCAACATTTAACGCAAGTCTGAGGAGTTCTAAAATGGCCTTACCTAGAAAATACATTAAAAATAAAAAGGTATGTATTGCAGTTTAATACCAGTATGTCTGTTTTAAAACGAGTGAAGGCACAAACTAGAAAAATAGTCTGTGACATTTTAAGCCAGGATTTATTATTGAATCTCCAATCCTTGTTTATAGACATTAATGTTATTCACCAAAGCACCAGAGGGCAGGACAAGAAACAATGGTTGGAAACTGATCAAAGAGAGAAGCAACCTGGAATTAAGGAGAAACTTCCTTATAGTGAGGACAATTAACCAGTGGAACAGCTTGCCTCCAGAAATCGTGGACACTCCATCACTGGAGGTTTTTAAGAAGAGACTGGACAGTCACTTGTCTAAGCTGGTATAGGTTCTCCTGCTTGAGCGGGGGGCTGGACTATAAGACCTCCGAGGTCCCTTCCAGTTCTATTCTTTTCTAAGATACTTTATTAAAGACTATTTCCAGATAGTTTGACACAATCCTTAAGGAGCTTCCATATCTAAAGTTGCACAAGAGTTCTTTCAAGTGGACAGTCAGCAAACTGACCTGGTTTTCAAGTTTTTTCTGCTGTAATACAATGGAGACCCTCCAAACATGCATACTTTGGTCTAAACTATGGGGGTTGCTTTGTATAAAGGTTGATATTCCAATGTTACAGAAAGGGATTCTGTAAAGTTGATCACTTTGCCAGCTGATGGATTGGTAGAACATGTGCAAGAAATCCAGTTTAGAAAAATAAGAAGTGGGCAGATTATATCAGACTGGGGACCCAGCTGGGCCAAGGGACACCAGAGTCTAAGGCAAGCTCTTTCTTAGCCACATCTGAGAAAATGGGGCCTTCTGCATGCAAATCATGGGTTACTGAATAGCAAACAATTCTATAGGTTAAAGGCTTTCATGGCTGGGAAGGACCCTCCTCTCGCATCTATATAGGAACCTGCATTGTTCCTATCCATCAAAGCAGAAAACGGTCAACAGTTCTGTTTGGAGATTTGCTTTTTGCAGGAGCAGAAAGAATGAGTCAAAAATTATTTAGGTTACCATCATGCTGGCTTCTGGCTCAAGATCATCTTGGACTCTTGGTGTTCCCAGAGTCACTTGTTTAAAATCTGTGAAAGAAAAGTAAAGTTAAATTAGATTCCAACGGCTGAAGAAGTTTGAGAAACCAAACTGGACTGAGGCCTATTTCAAAAGCCCCATAGTATCAAGAAAGCTAACAAATAATTCTTCATCAAACCAACACACTATTAAAACCCCTAGCTTCGAATGCTTAAGAAGTGATCTGTATTCTTCCCCATCAGATGTTGATCAGAAAGCAATTCCAGCAGAGATCCAGGTAGGGGTGGTAAAGAATCATGTCTATCATTTTTTTCTGTTCACAACCAAACATGGGAACATCTGGAAGCTGCATGGAGAAGACATGGAGACACTGACCTGGGAGGTGGACCTCCTTGACCATCTCAAGGCCTGGGGAACTGGGCCTGCCTGTATCTTCCAGGATAGGACCCCTCACTTCCAGGTGGCCATGGCCAGAAGCCAGGAATGCAAGGGCCACCTGTAGGACTCCCAAGGACAGCAGCAGTCTCCTCGACATGATCCCTGCAAGTCACCTGCATGCCAAGTGGATGGGAAGAGTTCAGGAGTTGTGGGAGACCCACTCAGAATCACCAAGCGGCAGTCGAGTAGAAAGCTGAGCTTGCCACCTCATGGTCTCCATCCATCACTGCACAAATACACATTCAAGACCCTTCCCAATGTCGTCCTTCTACCCATCACTCTATTTGTTTTACCTATTAATTTTACCTTCTTTCCAAAATTGGGTTCTGTTCACTCTTTATTAGGCTAGAACTGAGGAAATTTTTCCAAGGCTTTATTTCTTTTCCTCCCTTCCCTTTCTTCCTTCCCTGCTTTTCACATAAACACTTTTATAAGCATTTCAGTCAGAGGCACACTCAGCACTCAAGACAGCACCATGGAACGATGCTCCAGAAAAGATGCAAGAGAACCAGAGCAGGAACTGACAAGGGTAGCAAATGTTGTGCCAGTGTGATAGAGAAGAGCTCTCTGTCCCAGATCTAGGGGGTCTTTCCAATCTGTCAAATGCTTTCTCACCCACAGCATTTCAGGCCCCCCTGGCAGCTGCCTAAGCATCACTCGACTTGCTCTCATTCTATCCCCCCCTTGCAAAAGGTTCAGAGAGCCTTCTGGATGATCCTCATTCTCCCCCCCCCTGCTAAGGTAAGGGATGATGGAGGGGAGTCTGCCTTCATCTTCCCGTCATAATCATCCTTCTGCCCCTTCCTACCGCCCTCTGGAGCTCCTCTTTCAAACATTCTCCCAAAGGGAAAGAAGAGAACTGACCCACCACCAGAAAGTTTAGTCTCGGTTCCCAAGCTGTGGCTCCCATCCATGGAACAGGGTGCAGCCACAGTCCAGACACCTTACCACGAGGGATGGAAGTTCACTGTACCTGGATGCAGTTGCCAGCCTCTCTGTCAAAAGGTCGTAGCTCTGCAGAGGAGTTGGTTGACCACAGCTTTATATCAATTGCTCGAATCAGTTGACTGGAGCACATGGTGGCTACCTAATGGATGGGAGGGATTCTGAACAAACATAAATTTGATGCTCCTCCTGTGGTCACCTTAAAGGTACCTGGAGGAAGATCACACGTGTCTCCTCCTGGGATATCACCGAGGGTCCTACCAAATTCTCAGCCATTTAGGAAAAATAAATTCCTTCAGCAAAGAAGGCTTCTTGAAGAGCACTTTATGTAAAGCATGGAAAGAAAGCATGGGATGCCATTAAATGAAAAGAAAATAGCATAAAATGAGACCATCAAATAGGCATATTTCAAACTGTTTGAAAACCAGGACAGTTTATTAGATTTCTGCAAACAGTGAGTGTGAAGGATCCCTTGCATTAAGTGTCAAATTTCCATCTGGTTGTTTAATGGTAGGCAATAATTTAATGGTAATTGTGAGGAAGACTCCAATCCTTTCTCCAATTGTCCCTTAAATTAACTGGAGGTTGACTGTGGGATTGTGTGTTTAGCTGAGTGAGGGACATGTTCATCTTCTATTGATGTGCTGACAGCCAACGATTGCCCACCTGGTGACTGGCTACTCTTTGCAAACTAAGCAGAGATTGTAGTAACCGCATCAGGCAGTCAGATTCCTAAAGGCCAACTGAGGGAGAAAACAAGGAGCTCCTATTGGAATTTACCAGTAGAATTTCAAAGAAATTTTGCTTTTAAGACAAGAGATTTATTTAGATTACTTAGCAAATCTATGCTTAAAAATGAGAGAAAATGCAAACCTTTCTTCTGGAGATACTTTGAGAAATGGAAGAGAACAGGTAGGAATCAGCAGTCATATTCTGCAATATTTGTCATATATCTCTGTTCCTGCTCAAGAAAAACCTGGAATATATTTGTAGCAAAGGCATCAAGAAGCCATTGCAGGATTAGTGATGACGACAGTTCAGCTGATGAGGAAAAAAGATTTAGTATTTCAGAGAATGTTCCAAGAAAGGCAATCAAACAGAGGAAGCCCAATGGATAAGAAACATGAAAGTTATTCTGCACCAGAATTCAGAAACAAGTGTCCGTCCTTTGCAAATGGATTGCTGCCCATCTTGTTTATTGCAACAAAGGAAATCTCACAAAGGGTGTTTTGGGGGGGGGCTCCATTGGGGAAGCCTGTGGGGCAACCTGAACTCAGATGCTCCCTTCTTGACAGGGTGGTTTCTCTCACCCTGACCCACATCTCATCCCATGGGAATCCTCAGCATATCAGTAAGGCTGCTGGCCATGAGGAGGTTGTGGCAGGAGCCTCTTTTTGGTCACATAAGACTATGGCGGGCAGGATCCTTTGCTGGGCTCTGCCCCCTCTGGCTTAGGGGCTGTGCCAGAGAGAGCCTTTGCCTCTGCTCATAGGGCCACCCCTGGCCTGGGAACTGTGGTCCTGTGTTTTTAAAAAGAGATGTTCCCAGTGCCTGATCTGGGCTTAAGGGCCTCAGACTCTGAAGGGGCTACTCTGGATGAAGTTCGTCAGGGGGAGCTGGATGGGGGGGGGGGTGCTGAGAAAGGGAGGAGACCGGGAAGACGATCACCCCTGGCAAATACACATCCACCCAGGTGGCCTGGCTGTTGCGGGATGGGGGGGGCTCACTTGGTGCAGGGAAGGCAGCCAAGGGGCCCTGGCGGCTCTGGGCGTGGGGTATGCAGGGGGGCTGTGACCCCTTGAGGGTGTCTGTGTTGCATGGAGCACAGGGACCCTCCCTACCTGGGCGGCCAGTAGAACCACCTAAAGCTCATTCTAGACTTTGAGAGGATTTGGCTTAAATGAAAAGGCGTTTAATAAAGTTCACAAATAAGAATTGGTGGAACTCGGGGGCCACGCGGGCTTCGGGCAGCAAAGGGGGCAGCGGGTTTAACAAGATTAGGCCGACTTTAGCTTTTAGCCGAAGGGCGGGCCGGGTCCTCACCAGCCTCGGGGCAGACGGGGGGGGGGCGGCAAGGCCGAAGAGCTGGGCCGGCGGAGCCCAGCATCTGCCCCGCAGCTCCCCGGGCCCCGACCGGCTCTTCGCTTAGCGGCATCCCGGAAGAAGCGCCCCGGGTAGAGCCGGAGGGAGCCGCAGAAGCGCCGGGTCCGCTCCGGAGAGCCAGCTGGGCAGCGCCGGCCAGGCAGTTCCGGGAAGCGCCCTCCGCCGCCCCCGCCGCGGAGAGCGACTCCCTCCCTCCCTCCGTCCGGCCTCGCCTCGGCCAATCAAGGCGCTAATGGGCGCCGCGGGGCCTTTCCAGGAAAACGCGACGCCCGCAAGAGCCCCGCGGGCGGAGGCGGACCTGGCGCCCTGCGCGGACTGCGGGAGGAGGGCAGAGCGGGCCGCCCGGCTCACGGCCGCCTACTCCGTTGCCAGGGAGCCCAGCGGGACCCCCGACTCGGGGACCTTAAGAACGGTGGGCCGATCGGCTGGAGAATTGTGGGAGTTGAAGTCCACGGATCTTAAGATTCCCAAGGCTGAGAAATGGCGCCTTAAGCCCTCGGTGGGGCCTGCGTTGTTTCTGCGAGAGGCCGGCGGCCTTTGTTGCCAGTGAACCCCGCTGGGAGAGGGGCGGGTGAGCTCAGCCGGGCCTGCAGAAGAGCTGGAAGCCTGGGGTTGTTTGCCCAAGAACGCGAGCCGGTAAACAGGATCGCTCAGCTGGGCGGAAAGGAAGCCATTAGCCCGGCCGCTCAGAGAACGCGGCTCCCGCCCACGCGCAGCAATTGCGCTGAAAGCTTTTTAATCTGCAAGCGAGGCATCGCACGGATGTTCTGGCCCTGACATTCAATAAAGGGCAACACGAAAACTCGCTTCCAGGAAACCAGAAACTCCCAAACAGCCATTAAGGTGCACAGTCAACATGCGCTTCTCCCTCCCCCCCAAAAAAAACAATAATTCAGGGATGGGAAACCGACGCCAGAAATAAAACTAATGTTGTTGACCCTGAGCAAAAGTTTCCTTCCGATGAGAGAAGGTGCTGCTTCCAGCAATTCTCTTGGTTTATCATCCCAAGTGGCCGGCCTTCCTGCCTGCCTGCCAGCCAGCAGCTGCTGCCTTGCCTTCCTGCTGCAAGGAGAGACCTCAAGGTTTATTGCTGTTTGGCTGTTGGCTAGAAGGGCCTGTGTACAACCCTTGGAGCATTGTCAATTGCTTGGGGGGGGGGGAGGGAATGAAATCCATCTCTGTTCCTAGAATCAGAAAACTCCACTTTGGGTGCAGCCCCCTATCCAGGCCAGGATTCCGAATTAAAATATTTGCAACAGACCCGTACTTGACCACCTCCCTGGGCTGGGTCATTCTGTGCTAAGCAGGTGGGGGGTGTCCTGCAGGGCTGTCTCTGGGCCATCAGCTCCACTCCTAAAGGGCTTACTCTTTGGAAGCCTCAGCTATGCCTCCACCCTGGAATGAGAGAGGACCTCAAGCACATGAATTCTCGTGGGTGTCTCAAAAGAGCCATCATGCCTCTCCCAGTCTGCAAGGCAAAATATTCCCAGTTCCTTCTACTTCTCCTGATCTCTTTTTGCTTTTTAATAAACCCATTTCAGCTTCTTAAATGCTTCTTAAAGCCTCCCAAATGGATTCACTAGAGATAAGGTTAGTCCTTTGAGTGAAAGAATTACTTCTGGTGATTTTGGAGTTCACATTTCTGTTGAGGCAGCCTAAAATTGCATTTTTCCTTTTTTTATAATCACAACCCACTTCAATTTACCATCAACTAGCATATTTTTCCCCACTGTGTATTTGACATTTTTTAAACAAAGCAATTTGCACTGTATTAAATTTTGTTCTGTGGGATTTTCAACCCATTTCTCCACCCAATCTTGATCATTCAGAATTGTGTTTCTTCTAGGGAATTAGCTCTTTCCATTTTTTATAACCTGAAGATTTAGTAAATATCCCCCCTGCATCTCTGTTCAAGTCACTGAAGAGTTGCTTGTCTTCAGTCTGATGAGGATCCATTCATTACTGGGCAAAGACTGCAGCCCACCCAATTCCCTCTAGCCTGCAGGAGGAGAGCCTTTGGGTCTCCGGTGGCCAAAAATCAGGACCCCTAGTATATGGTGGCTGGGACCCCTCTTGAGCATCCTATTAAAGTAAAAAAACATGTAAAAGGAGCTATCAGAACATAGCAAGGATGTGAAAGATGCAGGCCAAATTGCCTGACCAAAGAACCTCAGTTTTTCCTTTAATAAAAGGAGGGATGGATAAAGTCTAGCCTCATTGAATCAGAAAAGACCCGGATTTCCAAAAGGACACGGGTAATGTTCACAGTTCGGGTAAAGGCTCCCTAATGTGCAAGATCCGGGAACCGGTCCGTTTGTAACGGCAACGAGTCGTCGGTCCAAAGCGAGCGCCTTTGTCTTCTTACTTGGAGCGGCTGGAGGAGACATTGGAAAATGTTCCTTTAAATGCCCGGGAGCGCTCCGTGTCACGAGAAGCAGCTCCGCGCTCGCGGGGGAGATGTTCCGGCGGAGCCGATCCCGCGCCCGCCTTCTGTCCTGCCCCGGGAGAAGCGCCGCCCGCTCCGGCCTCGCCACCGCCCGAGCTCGAGCCGCCGGCCGCCGGAGCAGCGCTGCCCAGCCGCTAGGCCCGCACCGAGGCGGGAGAGAGCGCCGGGCCCTCGCGGCTCCGGGCTCGGGCCGCGGCGGCGGCGGCGGGCCCGAGCGATGGAGGGGCAGATGGCGGGGCTGTACGACCTGGGGCGCCGGCTGGGCAGCGGCCACTTCGCCGAGGTGCGGCTGGCCCGGCACGTCTTCACGGGCGAGCGGGTGGCAGTCAAGGTGATCGAGAAGGGCCGGCTGGGCGGCGCGGCGGCGGCGCGGCTGCGGCGCGAGGTGGGCTGCATGAAGCTGGTGCAGCACCCCAACGTGGTGCGCCTCTACCAGGTGCTGGAGACGCCGGCCCGGCTCTACCTGGTGCTGGAGCTGGGCGACGGCGGGGACCTCTTCGACTTGCTCACGCGGCGCCCGGGCGGGCTGGCGGAGGCGCGGGCGAAGGGCTACTTCGCCCAGGTGGTGCACGCCATCGCCTACTGCCACCGGCTGCACGTGGTGCACCGCGACCTCAAGCCGGAGAACGTGCTCTTCTTCCAGCAGCAAGGGGTGGTCAAGCTCACCGACTTCGGCTTCAGCAGCTGCTTCCAGCCGGGCACCATGCTGGCCACCAGCTGCGGCTCCCTGGCCTACTCGGCCCCCGAGATCCTGCTGGGCGAGGAGTACGACGCCCCCGCCGTGGGTAAGGGCCGGCGCGCCCGGGTCGGTTGGGGCCCCGCGAGGGACGGGGGTCCCGGGGACTCCCGCTGCGCAACGGAGGAGGGGCAGCGCGACGCCTGCCGGGTCGACCCGGCAGGATGTCGGCTGACCCGCGGACGCTGGGTGGACCGGGCCGCCGGGCCCGCCTTGGCCTTGGGCCGGCCAGGCTCCGGGGAATTGCAAGGCATCTCCTGGGATGGGGTGACGGGCAGTTCCGGGGGGGGGGCGCCTGGAGTGACTTGCTGGGCTGGCTTGCCTTGTCTCAGGCTAGAAAGAATTTCTCTTCTGGCTTTTTGACCACAAGCAACATTCCGAGCGAGCCAGAGAAGTTAGGAAGGCCTAAAGCTGGTTCCGACCCCCGTGCAGGGGGGCTGCCTGGCTGATGGATAGCCTGGTGCCCCTTCCTCAGCAATGATGGTCGAGCAGCTTCCATGTGGGAATTTCTTTGGGTTGCAACTGTTCAGTAGGAAAAACTTACGGAGAAGAATTTTATGAGATGGGACAAAAAAAGAGAAAAGAAATCAAGTTCTACAATATTAGTTTAATGGACTAAAGATTGTTAGAAGTGAAAGGAAGGAATATAACATTGGTTTATTTGATCAAGGTTGACACAGATGTATTATTTCTAATGATAGCCCACCAGGACTCCTAGGTCCCTCTCAGAGTTGCTATTGTTCAGCCAGGTATCATTTATTCTATTTAGTTAGGTGAGTCTGGCCAAAAGCAAATCAAGTGGGGCAAATTATCTGGGATGCTGTTAAGCCCTTTGTAACATTGGTGGTTTGGAGGATTTAACTGGCATACAAACAGGACATCAGCCGAGTCCCTGGCAGGATCGAGTTTGCATTTGAAGTCAGCGGAATAAGAGGGTTTGATTCGGTGACTCTGGGCCAGTGGGCTCCTTTTGCAGCAGGGAACTGTGAAGGGGAAGAAGAGAGGCATGTTGGAGGGCTGAGCCCAGAGCACGGACAGGGCCTCTCTTCAGCTGAGTTTCTTCTTTTTCTTCTCTCTTAGACATCTGGAGCTTGGGTGTCATCCTTTATATGCTGGTCTGTGGACATCCCCCTTTCCAGGAGGCCAACGACAGCGAGACCCTGACCATGATCCTGGATTGTCGCTATGTGATACCATCGGGCATCTCCCTCCTGTGTGCAGAGTAGGAGCCCCCTCCCCATTTCCTCCCTCTTGGTCACTGCCTTGTTCCTTAGGAAGCAGCCTCCAACTCCCTGCCTGTGGTATTCATAGCCCAGATGGTGCTAATTATTGTTTTATTTATTATTTATTTACTGTTACATTTCTAGCCCCCCCACCTCAGAAATAAGCCCCAGTTAAGATCATCAGCCAGACAGATGCATTTAGTACCGTATTTCCCCCAAAATAAGACCTAACTAGAAAATAAGCACTATTTTGCTTTTGGGGGGCAAAAATGAATATAAGACCTGGTCTTATTTTTGAGGAAACATGGTACATAAATAAATACATAATTAAAAATACTGAGGCATGCCTGTCCTCCTGTGTCCTGGACTTTTCCAGGTGGTCTTCAAGGCAGCCTTAGGTAGAGTGTGTTGCAGTAGACAAGCCATGAGGTGGCTAGTTTGTACAAAAGGCCCCTTGATCTACATCAGAAAGGAAGCAGTTGGCACCACTTTGTTTTCATCCTTTTGCACGTGGAGGGAAGGTTTGTCTGGGAACACAGTGCCTTTCCTGCCTTTCTTTGTCCTCCCCTCTGCCCTCTTTTTCTCCATGGGAGAAAAGGTTGGATCGGAACACACGAGGCAAAAGTTCGGCCACAGAGTCTGGAGTCTGAGCAAACCGCAAGTGCACGAGGCCGGTCACTGTTTTTGTTCTGGCCTGATGGCCTGATGGTTGAGGGAACGGATCTCCCCTGAGATTGCCTGGCTGAGGGTCCCCCGGAGGCTTTCGAGCCACACTTTCTGCTAAGCAAAGAAACATCAGTGGCCCCGGAACAAGGAGTCGGCGTCCCCTGCTGGGCTCCGGGTGCTTGTAATGCCTTTCCATTTCACCTCAGCTCTGTCTTCTGCTTGGGGTCCCCGAAGAGACATGGACTGGGAGGGGAGAGAGCAGGGCCTTGGGGGGGCAGCGGCTGAGTCACTCTTGCCCTTCTTTGCACAGCCTTATTGCCCAGATGCTGCAACGGGACCCCAAGCAAAGAGCGTCCTTGGAGCTAATTGAAAACCACCCGTGGCTCCAGGGGGTGGACCCCTCCCCAGCCAGCCGCTCTCTTCTGCCGCTGACATCGCACAGGAGGGTTTTGGCGGAGGAGCACGAGACCATCATCCAGACAATGATGTGTGGCCACATTGCAGACCGAGAAACCATCGAGGAGTGAGTGGGGCTCTGGGGTGGGCATGGGGATAAATCGCTCCATTTGTTAAGGAAGGTTGTGTGAGGGTGTGTGTGTGTGTGATTTGGGCACAGGTATCAGGGCCACTGGACCATCCAAGCTGACCGTCGGTTGGGACAGAGCTTTGCTAGCTGAAATGATCAGGTAGATGTTTTGGGGCTTCCTTAATGCTCAGAGGTCGAAAGTGGCTTCTGACGATGCCCAAGAACTTCTGACTTCTGTGGAATTTCAGTCAAAGTTTAGATGTGGACATAAATTGAGACAGAGGCAATCCTTGATTAATGACCGTTCATTTAATGACCATTTGAAATTGCAATGGTGCTGAACAAGTGATACTTAAGACCAGTCCTAGAAATTCTAGCTGTCCCAGCATCCCTGCATTTACATACTGCCATTTGTGACATTCTCTGCCAGCTTCCCACAAGCAAAATCAATGGAGAAGCTGGCAGAGAAGATTGCAAGTTGCTCCCATTGCTTCCCCCTCCCCTGAGGAGCCATGCTACGGAGTACATGATCCCAGATAATTCATGCGTGCACTTGTGCCGTGGAACCCTTCCCCAGACTGCCTGCATTTTCCACAGTATCGCCCTGCCTCGCTCCACATACTTACTCACCCTCCAGCATGCTCACAAGCCACCGGACTTGTAACTCCTCACAGGCTTCCCCAATGATTTTGCTTGTGGAAAGTCGGCTGGAAGTTGCAAGTCCTCGTGGTCACATGAGTTTCTCACTTAATGACCCATGATTTTTATTTATTCAGAAAAATTTATATTGTTGCCTACTTGCACATGGTGACCCAAGGTGGCTTACAGGACATAAAAGCACAATATAAAAGAAATAAACATAATAAAATAATAATCCCCCACCCAGCGACAACACACATTCATACCAGCCATGATCCTTGCTTAAGGATTGCCACAGAGGCTGCAGGATTACCATGGCTTAAGCAATGTGGTCACATGAGATCATGCTTTACAACTATACTGCTGGCTGATAGACATTCCATTCCTCATTACTGTTAAGCAAGGACTACCTGGCTGGGTAAAGCCTGTATTCCCAGTTGCCTATAGAGGAAAAAGTGAATCTGTAGCCATATAAGGTGTTGGTGAACTATAGCCTCCCTGGTTAATGGTATGGCATGCTGTGGATTCCAGCTCAGCAGCTTCTGGACGGCCATGGGTTCCCCATTCCTGGCTTAAAACATGGCACACAGCTTACCCAAACCTGGGATCCCATAACTGGCCTGCAACAGAAGAAGCAATCCAAAGGGTCAGGTTCCTGAAGAATAGAATCCAACAGTGAATAAGTTGGACGTGACCTCAGGGGACATAGCCACAGAATAAATTAAGATGCTCAGTCTCCCCCATGTCCTCCAGTTATCTGTCATTAAGCCACACACGTGTACCTAAGATGAGGCTGATGTTCCAGATGTGTTTCAAGCCCAGGGAGAAATCCATAATTAAGGAGGCTGGACTTAATGTACCAAACTGCACGTAGAAACAGACTTTGCTTCATTAACGAGATTATTAACTTAGTTTCCCTTGTGAAGGAATTGAGCAGAAGGGCCTTCTGGCCAGCAGCTGATTGAGTTTAGAGTCTAGACCAGAGAGCAATCGGTCAGTTACGGGGCAGCCCTGAAAGTGAGCAGAGCCTCTTCCTGTGTCTGCACCTGACTCCTTCCGCCTGGTGTCTCCCTGCAGATCCCTGGAGGCCAAGCACTACAATCACATCACTGCCACCTACTTTCTGCTGGCTGAACGGATTCTGCGCGAGAAGCAGGAGAAGCAGAGCCTGGCTGAGCAGCTCCAGAGCAGGCAAGCCCCCCTTGGCCCTTCGAGCGCTGGTCTCGCCCAGGGGGATTCGCAGCTGCTCACCTCCTCTCTTTGCTCCTTCTTCCTCCTCAGGAGCCCACCAGGTGAGTCCTGTCCTCCTCTGCCCACAGAGCTGCCCCCAGCCACCAAGAGCGCTCTGGAAAATGTCGCTGCGGAGTATGCCGGGAAGCCTCTCCTCTCCCGCTCAGCCTCCAGCGAGGGCAAGTCCTCTTCCAGCTTCCACAGATGCGGGCAGCCTCTCCGAGCCCTCATCCAGCCCTGCCTCATGGAGACCGGCATTGCCAAGAGCACCCTCGCCTTGCAGCAGATTTCAGAGGAGGAGGAGGAGGAGGAGGAAGAGGCAGAAGGGAAGCCGGGCCTCTCTCGACGGCGGACCTCCTCCTTGAACCAAGAGCAGATGAGCCGCTTCCAGAGCACCGCATCATCGTCCCTGCTCTTCTGCCGGGCCCTTGCAGCCCACTACAAAGTGGGGAAGAGCCTCATCCCTGCACAGGCCAAGTCCTCCTGCCCTGAACAAGGGCCTGGGATCACTCCGACAGCTCCGCTGGAGCAAGCATTCCCGAGCAGCCAGCCAGGGACAGGCCGAGCCCCCCAGATGGAGGAGTCAGGCAACAGCCTCAGCTTACAAGTGGGGGGAAGGTCTGCTGAACCCCCAGAGGAAGCTACCCCACTAGACAGCCAGGGAGGGGGCACTGTTAGACCAGGGGTGGAGCTTGGTCAAATTGAGCCCCTCCTGGCAGAGGAAGAGGAGCAGAGCGACCTTCTTCCATTGAGGGAAGGAGATCCTGTCGAGCAGGGGCTCTTGGAGGTTGGGGAGGAGAGCCCCCAGACCCAGAGCACCACAGCTCTTCTGCAGGGTGGCCGTAGCCCAGGAACGCCTGGAGCCGATGTGCTGGGAGCAGAGGGCAAGGGCCTGGAGCTGGGGCCTCCCCACTGGGCCAAAGCCTGCTGCAATGCCCAGAGCAATAGCAGCGGCCATGACAGCCTCGCAGACAGCATCATCAAGCTGGATCCAGCCAAAGGCAAGAACGCTAACCTGAAGGATCGGCTCCTGCAGTTCCCGCTCTGTGAAAAGGCCCTGGCCTTCCGGATGCAGCCCAGCTCCAGGGAGAGCCTGCTGTCCTTGGGGCAGTTCAACTGCTGCCACGTCATCTAGGCGTGCAAGAGAGAAGAGCCAGGAGAGCAGGGCAATGGCCGTTTCCAGTTGCCAAGGTCTGTGCTTGGCTGCCTGCATCCTCTCTCAGGAGGGGCTTCCTGTGTGAGAATGCCAACCAAGCAGCTCCCGGCATCCACATGGCATCTTTGGCCGGGGTTTCCCCTTGTGTCCTACTGCACTCACAATTTCTCACACAAACCCTCTTTCTGAGGGCTGATGGAGGAAGTCTTAGCTTGCTCTGGTGTAACTGGAAGCTCTGGAGAACGTTGAAACTGGAAGAAAGCCAAGGCTGCGCTCTTGAGAGTTGAAAGTGAACTTCGGATGTCCACTGACCCTGGAGGTCTTGGAGAAGCATTTCCAGGAGATGCAGGGTCTCTCCATGCCTCTTTAGGCTTCCTAGTTTAACTTAAGGTAATTGGCCTACTACACCTGGGGGATTATTTATACCAGGCAGGCGGCGGGCTTGACTTTTCCCAGCAGAACCACCTGCTTGGAAGCGGCCCTGGCTGTCTCCCCTTTGTGGTGCCTCCAGGCCAGGGGAAGTCATGCGCCTGCCCAACGTATCCACCAGCAGCTATTGATGAGCTGGCAGCTGTGGAGGGCCTTGATCCCTTTTGTCTCTGGATGCCATCTTTCCTTCCTGGCAGAGCAGCGGGCTTCCACCCTTTCTGGGCCTGCTCTCTTTCATTCCGCCAGCTTCAGTTTTGGGAGCATGCGCTCCTGTGGTTGCCACTTCAAAGCCCAGCTCACTCCTGGACCCAGGACCCGGCTGGGGAAAAATGCAAGCACGGCAGACTCAGACTGGGGACACTGTGCAGGGTTAGGCCTGGTTGACTCCTGCCCTCCTTCCTGCCTCTGGTCTGTGGGGGACGATGAGCCCTTCGGTCAGGCCTCTGTTGCTGCTGCTGTTCTTCCGTCCTGCCTTGCTCTGTCCTGACTGCCAAGGAGCGTGTGGGTCTTCCCAAACCACCAGGGATCTCTTAACCCTTGGAGTGGGGCAGTAATTGAAGTATTTTAGCATAATATATATTAAGGTTTATCACCCAGCCTGAGTTGTCCCTAGGTGGCCAACACACCATCTTCTCAGCATGGACCAAGCTGTCTTGTTGCCCTCCTTTGCCTGCTGCGTTGGAAGAGGAGCCTGGAAGGCCCTTGCTGGGCAGAGAGCGCAGAAGAGGGCACTTCTCTTCCCCACTCAGTCTCCCGAGGCTCTGTGTTTCTCCCCTCTCCTGCCTGTGCCCAAACTCCCCTCCTCCCCCAGAGGCTTCTGGGGAAGAGCAGCTCCCCCCCTCTATTTATCCTCTTCTCTTGCTGGCAAGGAATGGATGGGGAGTGCTGAGGTCTTGGAGTTCTGTGTCAGGTGCATTGATGGAATTGAAGGGAAAGCAAGGCCAACCCAATAAAATGATCACTCTGGATCCTGAAGCAACTTATGGCTCTTCCTTGTCGAGGAAAAGCTGAGGATTGGTACCACGGAGCCTGACTGAGCAGGCCCAAGGCCCTTGCTTTGCAGGCCAGCCAAAAATCTCCCTCTCCACTGGGGAACCCATCGTTTACCCCCCTAGGCCTTCATCTGGTCCACCAGGGCCTCTGTCCTTCCCGGCTGCCACCCCAGAGGAGCCATTTGAGGGAGATCTTCCATCTGAAGCCTGGAAGGGCTTTTCTGACTAAAGGTTCCCTTGTGAGGGGAACCGCACACCGGAGGCCTTTTGTGGCTCCTCTGAGACCAGAAGAAGAGCCAAAGGCCTCCCTGCTCTAGATGCGTTTCATTTGGCTGCTGAATGAAGAAGCTTTGGACTCTCTGCTGTATTGAAAACCACCCATTCTGATGATAAATTGTCCTTTGGAGGAAAAACTAATACATGAAGATCAAACAACAGAATTATATCGTTAGCCTGTTCTCTACCCATCAACCTTTTGACTGAATTGTCCCAGGGGCTCCTTCTGGTGGGAGGCTTTGGTTGTGGGGACTGTCCCAAGCTGGGTGGGTTCATTTGAGGCCAGGCCTGTTGCTCCACAGGAAGGCTAAAACCTGGGGAATATCTGTCTTCCCTTGGCCATCAGCTGGTCATGCCTTCAAGCATCCTGGGCTCTGTGGAGATCTGCCATATCCATCTGATGCTGGAATTCAGGGATCGATGTGGACCTTGGTTTTGGATGCACCAGTGAGGTCTCTGATTGTCATAGCAGGTTTATATAAATTTAGAGCTTATTTACATACGGCACAAGTTTTGGTTTAGCAAAAATTAGTTAAAGAATATTACAGAACTAGATTAATTTTCAAAACAAGCAAAAAAACTTGCTATAGTTGAGCAATTCCCTTACGAAGAAACACTGCGATGCAGGATTGCTGTTTAACTGGAAGACTCCTGCCGTCCTGTTTTCTGAAGGACAAATGTCACAGAAGTCTAAACTACTTAGGGTTTCTTGTTTGTTGCTAATTTTGTGCTGACCTGGTGCCTGCTTGGAGTTTCCCTCACTAGGTTCTTTGCCATTGTCTGCTTCCTGGGGCTGATAGAAAGTGATTGGCCCAGGGGCACCCAACTGGCTTTTTGCCTTTGTGTTCTTTCTAGGACTTGAACTCACGGTCTCCCAGTTTCTAGCCTTATGCCTCAACCGCTATACCAAACTGGCTCTTGTAGGCCTGGAAAGTCCCGGAAAGCTGAAGTTCCAAAGGTTTAAGGCCTAGTTAAATAAAAGTTTAAAATATGTACCCAAAGTCTTTAGCAGGACTAATGGATAGGAAGAGACATTCTCCTGCTAAAGATGTCTCCAACGGAAAAAAGAGAAGGAGGCCTCTGTGTGTGTGTTATGGAGTGTGGCAACCAGAACTCCAGATAGCGTTGAAAGAGATTCTGAAAACTTCACTTTTGGAAATAAAAATGATGTGAGTTTTTGAAAAGCAGATAACAGTATCGCTGTACCATTTCAACAAACCTTGGTAAAGATCTCTGATAATAATAAAAGGCCAAACATACCTTCTACATAAAGCAGCAAATTATATCCTATTCCTGCAGCGCAATTACCTTGGATATCCCCACTGTCATTAAACATGCTAAAGGTTCTAATGCTAAATTAAATATTGAACAAGATAGGGAATATTGGTGTGTTCTATATTTCCTGTGTTTACATAAGAGACAATCTTATTAGCCTCTAGAAGCAGAAGGATTTAAAAATATTGTTTTATCCAAGAAATTATATTAAAATCCATTTTGTAACTAATTTCAAATAAAAAAGCTTGCACCATATTGAAAACATATTGCAGTATTGTCAGCATTCAGATAATCTAATATTAATAGAGGTTTGATGGCATTTCATGAAACCAGGCTGTGCTGATAATTTATAAAAGGTAATGCCTTCTATAATTTTGTACCAGATGAGCTTCAACATTTTGCAAGGGTATCAGATGACACCTTGGATAATTCAGAGGATGCTTCTCATTTTCAAAATAGCTATGTAAGACTCCTGGAATAAAGCAGGTAGGATCCATTTAGGAATGAAATCTGGAATAATACTTCCATGATTTCGGGGAATGCTCAGTCAAATTAATCAACCCCATAATTAATAGTTGGTCAGTTAAGATCTCATTCAGCCCATATTATGAGGGAGGTTGAAAGCCAGACCCATATATCTGTTCTCCATCTTGCCTCAATCTTTGACTCTGATGGTTCCATCAAAGCAGCTTCTAGTCTGTCAGCATAATAGTCTACAACAGGGTTGTCTATTTCCCAGGCAAGGGGTTGCCCATTTATGATAAATTGTTCCATTCACATTGAGTAGTAGAAATCTTTAAGCATCTGAAATTCTGTCACACTTACTCAGCAAGGGAGGTGCGGCCTGAAACAACAACGTGTGGGAAGCTATGCTGCCTGTGGCAGAAGCTGGATCTGCTCCATCGGTTGTGCCAGGAGATGGGCCAGCTTAACTGATTCATCTCAGCAACTTCCAGGCTCTAAAACTGGTCGGCTTGGACTGGAGCAAGGCTGTACTGTCACCTCAGCAAATGTGGTTGGCTATCATCCACGAGCCGCCAAGATTCCCCTCCCCCCGGCACGAGGCTAGGCGGCTATCGGCCCCTGAGGGTTGAGTAACTCCTCCGAGGGGGCTTTGGAAGCAGACCTTCAACTTTGGAGATGCCTCCCCCCCCCCCCGAAGCCCTCTCCAGCCTGTCGGCTGCTCTGCCTGGGTCCCCACCTTCCGCTCCTCCCCTTCCCCAACAGCCCGCGGGAAGAGAGCGGAGTGCCCTTCGCCAGCCCGCGCTGGGCGGGCCAGAGAGGCTTCTCGACAGCGCAGGATGCGGAGCCTGGCCGGATGGAGCGCTGCCCTGGTCCTGGCGCTCCTTCAGCCTGGCCGGGCCTTCTGGATCCTCAACGTGCTCTTCCCGCCCAGCACCACCCCAGAAGCCGACGCCTCCAACAGGACGCCCCCCGTGGTGCTGGGTGAGCTGGCCGAGGACGGGGCGGCGGAAGGAAGGAAGGAAGGGAGGAAGGAAGGAGGGGAGGAAGGAAGGAAGGAAGGAGGGAGGAAGGAAGGAGGGGAGGAAGGAAGGAAGGAAAGGAAGGAAGGAGGGCCACCACTTTGGTGTGGTTCTCTTTTGCTCTGCTGCTGCTGCTGCAACAGAAAGGGGAAAGCCCCCCACCCCACAACATCCTCCTTTCTGTGGCAGTGAAAGGGAGCAATCACACTGCCCCACAGTGACCCTGCAGCCAGCCTGCCTCCCTTTGATCTCTGAGATTATCTTCTTGCACAGAGTAGTGACTCCTGAATGGGGCTTGCTGGACTTTGCCTTGTTTGCATGGCACTGTTTGTCTGGAGGGAACAGCTAGGATAGTTCCCATCAGGATTGCGGGGACAGCAGGGTCATGGAAAAAAACAGGAGGGCTGGGGGGTGGGCTCCCAAAGATCCCCAGAGGGAGGGCCACTTCCCGAGGCCCAAGGTTGACAGGGAAGGCAGACATTCCAGCACGCAGAATGCCTCCTGGCCCCCGCAGAGGCATTCCTGCAGTAAATGGCTGTGATGGGAAGGCTCATCCTGTTCATTAAACAGATGTACCTCTCAAACTGTACAATCCTGAAATGTGTAATTATCAATGTTTAATTGCAAGTCTGTAACAGGTGAATACAATGCAGTCAAATGAAGTAACATAGATGTCTGCAGGGTATGGCCAAAAAAGTCAAGATGACAACCACAATGGTGCTGTCAAAACTTTGTTCACCTTTTTTGTGATGGCCATCATGGCCCACACCCCACAGACCACACCTGGTGGATGCCTTGAGAAGATGTAACAAATGAGGAGGAGGAGGAAGAAAACCCCCAAAGGGCAGATGGACTCTCAAATCTCTGCAGCTATTTTGACATGGGAAATGGCACAGAAACAGACAATGACTCCCACAGCTGTGAGGCCCCACACATAGGCTGGTATCCTGTGTTCCCATGCCTGATTTTAAATAGGGCGGCTCCTGACCCCCAAGGCCACTTGCTACTTTGGGACATGTCCAGAGGGTGTTTCCTCCTGCTCCTGGCAAATCAGGGCTATCTGGGCTCTAAGGGATCTGCCTCAGCCAGCCTCCCTCTTTAGCACTAACAGACACCCTCTTTCCCTTAACCTTTTGCCTGCAGTGCCTGGGTACCTCGGGAATCAGCTGGAGGCGAAGTTGGACAAGCCAGATGTGGTGAACTGGATGTGTTATCGCAAGACTGATGATTACTTTACCCTCTGGCTGAACCTCAACATGTTCCTGCCTTTTGGAGGTGACTGTTGGATCGACAACACAAGGTATGTCTGTGGGGGAGCCCCCCTCTCTTCCCAGACAGAAGCACACCATCTCTACTCTTGGCCTCTCCTCTGCCTGTTGGGATGGGGTCCTGGCGGCCCTGGCCTACCCCCCCATCGGGATTCCCATAGTTGCCCCTGGCTCCCAGACCAAGGAGAAAAGGGGGTGATGCCGAGGGAGAGGAGACCCCAAAGACACCCCACAAGCAGCAAATTGAGGAGCATCTCCCAAACACACAAGATATTGTGCTAAGCCATTATTTGCTTTATACAACATCATGGGTGACTCGCACAAGCTCTGCTAAACCATAAACCACGATTTATAAACAGTGGCCGATTCAAGAGCATGCTAAGCCAAAAGTAAGCAAGGCATTTTGGGACTTATTGTAGTCACTGAGTGCGCCTCTCATTCACTTCGCCTCAGGCCAGAATGCAAATATGATCCCATAACTTTCCAATAGAACCTCTCGGTATTAACTTTTTCTGGGAACGTCTCTTCCCCCCAGGGAACCTCAGAAAATTGCTGATTTTGCAATTATAGACTGTCTGGCCTCTACCATGGTCACTGATCCTGATGGACTCTCATTGCTTTCACCTGGGACACCCAGGCTGGACTGGGGGCTCCCATTTCCTCCCCCCCCACCTCATCAACTGTTAGGCAGAGTGAGTTCAGGGCTGCCTTAGATTAGAAGACCAGTCCCCCTAAACAGCTGGCATCAAGAAGGCATCAAGAAGGGCTTCATGATGCAAGCCCATGTTGCTGTTTCAGCAGTTAGTTTTAATCATGGCTTTAGCATCCCTGAAAAGGTGGGCAACTCCTGTTTTAAAATAGCTAGGCAAACATGGCATGGATTGCCCAGTGCAGCAGGCGTCTCCCTCCCCTGGCAGCCCCCAATCTCCCCCATGCCCTCTCAGCTGATACTTACTGGTAGGGAGCAGATTCTGACAGGAGGGAGACTCCGTTTGCCCCACGGTGCCATTTGGTGGTTCAGTGGGAGCCTTCTTTTTCAGGACCTGTTGGCAGAGACCACAAACACAGGAGGCAACCAGGAGGCCTCCAGTCCACACGATTTGAGGCATCAACCTGGACAGTAGATCTAGTGTGATATCTAGCCCCTGGTATAGGTGATCTTTATTGGAAGTGGACAGCCTAAAATAATGATTGTGTTTTCTCTTGACCCGCCCTTGGGGGACACAGAGTGATTTACAATAAAACCACCGGGAGGATAACCAACTCCCCTGGGGTCCACATCAGAGTTCCTGGGTTTGGCCAGACCTTTTCCGTGGAATACCTGGACGGTGGCAAATTGGCCGGTAAGAATGAGGGAGGGAGGGAGGGAGGAGGCCCCATCCCAAACAGCTCTTCCCTCTTGATCTGGATGGGGGGGGGGTGCTTCTAGCCCTGGGCCTCTTCATGTGTTCTCTGCCAGCGCTTCTAAGTAGCATTTCTCCAACAACAGCTTGGTCTAAGTGAAGGGACCTGTATTTAGCATCGTTTCTCTAAAGCAGTGGTTGGAAACCTCGTTCTCAAGGTGGCAATCCAGAATGGGTCAGGATAAGCCAACACTCAGCCCTTGGGTCAAAGCCAGCCCCAAATACTGGAGAAAAGCAGCTTAGGAAAGCTAGATCAGCTTTTCCTGAGCTGGAGAGAAATCCAACAGGGTGAAATGCATCCTCAAATGACTTCTTCTTCTGAGTTTTTGGTGTCACCCCCACTGTCCCGGGTTTTCCTGCATGAAATAATGGCAGAGAGTTTGGGCCATAGGCTGCCTATCACTGGTCTTCGTTGGCTGCCTGCACAAGGGCCCTCCCTCCATGGGCGTCCAATATACAGTTATGATGACTGGAGGGGGGGGGTGTAGCTCCTGGCCAGACAGCTCCACAGGCAGCTTTCTTGCCAGTGTGGCAGAGCAACCACAGCCCTTCTTGGGTCAGTCGGTGGCCAGTCTCCCTTCAAGTAGAGATAGGTTTAGGGAGGTCAATAATGCAGTGGAATTACGATTTTCCTGTTTTCTTGAGGGCATTGGAAAGATGGGGCATCTTTGAGAGGTGCTCAGCGGAGGGCAACCCTTTGGATCTCAAAGGTTGCTACTAGGCAGTGCAGGATCTGCGTGAATCTCTTTGGAATCACTTTGCTCTTGGCGCCTTTTCTAAAAACCACTTGGCTTCTTCTGAGGGGGATCAAGAATGGTTTGGGAAGGAGTTGGAGAGGAGATGAGCAGACGCCTGGACCATGACACTCCTGGGAGCCCTCCAAGCCCCTTGCCAGAGGAGAGCCATACCTGTAGCGTAGATGGTTCCGTGGAGGTAGCCCTGCCCTCTGCCACCCACTAACCTCCCTTCTCTTCCTTGCTCCAGGCTACATGCACACCCTGGTGCAGCACCTGGTCAACAATGGCTATGTGCGCGATCAGACCGTGAGAGCTGCTCCCTATGATTGGAGGCTCAACCCCAGTGAGTACGCAGGGGCAGAGGCAGGGGGCCTTGTCCCCTTGCTCTCCGAGGGGCATCAACAGGGAGAGAGGGCCGAGGAGGGCCGTCAGAACCCACCCTGAAGTTCATTCCATATCAGCCATCTCCAATTCAGATCCTGCAGCAGGGGAATCCATTCTGCCAAAGGTTGTTGTTACAAGCAGCTATGTAAGTTTGAATATTAATCAATCAATCACTAAAGCCTGATCATTAGTTTCAGGCCTTCCATTGGTCATTCTTTTTTTTTTTAACTGCCCCCTGCAAAGCAACCATAGGATCAAGGCAGGGGGCAAAGGAAACCATTTCCTGCTCTCCACTGAAAAAAACTGGTATTAACCTTTTTCCCAGTTAAGGATTTTTTCCCCACAAATCCGGGTTAAGAAGAATGAAGAACATGGTCCAGATCTGCCTGATAATATAACAGGTCATCAGAGGGATTTAATATTTCCCACCAATCCCTGGCTTCTCTGTATTTGAAACCCTGACATGACAAATACATGAATAAGATGCAACATGAAATGGAGAGATCGGGGGGGGGGAGGGGTATGAAGTTCCGCAGTGTAGCTTTGGGCATCCTTCCTTACAGCCCAACCCGGCGCTTGGGGGGCAGCTGGAAGCCACCAAGGACCCAGGGTCTCAGCATCAGAGCTGAGCCATCAGGGTGAGAAGGGGGTCAAGGGTCAGCTGTCTTCTCCAAGAGTATCCCATCCCAATTCCCCTCACCTGCCCTTCCCACAGCGTTTACCACAAGACTCGAAGGAACAGAGATGGTTTGCCTGCAGCCTGGGGGGGGGGGGAACGGGTGGAAGGAGCCCTCTGGCACTGTTCCTCCCAAGCTCCTCTTTCCACAGTCGAGCAAGAGGACTACTATTCCAAGCTGCGGGGCCTCATCGAAGAGATGTTTGAAGCCTATCAGAAGCCGGTTTTCCTGATTGGCCACAGCCTGGGCAGCCTCCACCTCCTCTACTTCCTGGTCCAGCAGCCGCAGGCCTGGAAGGACCGTTTTGTTCAGGGCTTCATTTCCCTCGGAGCCCCTTGGGGGGGAACAGTGAAACCCATGCGGATCATGGCTTCCGGTGAGTAGCTGCCCAGGTGCTGCAGCTGTGTCTCCCTGGGGCCTGCACAGAGCTTCACTGCGCCAGCTGTTCTTCCTGGTTTCCAGCTTTCCCTGTCCTGCCCACTAAAGATCCTGGGTGTATCTTGCCCTCCCCCCACCTTCTGTGGAAAAAAAGGCATCGGTCTATTTCTGTCTTTTCACCTTGTTTATCTTTAAGAAGAGGGAAGAATCCCTAGAAATTTGATCTTGTTAAGTTTTTTCGCCAGCTGTTCTCTGTGGCTGAATAACATTGTAATGCAATTTTTTATTACAAATTAGCAAACCCGAAAGTGATAATAGAATAATGCAGTTCCACTGGTGCTGTTTGCAGGTGATCATCAGGGCATTCCTGTTATGTCTAACATTAAATTGCGTGAGGAAAAGCGAATGTCCACAAACACTCCCTGGCTGTTCCCCTCCCAAAAAGCCTGGCCTGAGACACACGTCTTCATCTCTACCCCCTTCTACAACTACACCTACCGGGACTACCAGCAGTTCTTCCACGATATCAACTTTGAAGACGGCTGGTTCATGTGGAATGACAGCAAGGAGCTGCTGGAAGGGCTGCCAGCCCCGGGCGTGGAGATCTATTGCCTCTTTGGCACAGGATACCCCACTCCAGAGACTTACATTTATGACGACCGCTTTCCCTACGAGGACCCAGTGGATATTATTTATGGGGACGGGGATGAGATGGTTAGCTGGCGCAACATAGAGCTGTGCAAGGAGTTTCGCAACCAGCAGAATGAGAAAGTCCATGTCCTGGAACTGCCTGGAGCGGAGCACCTCAACATGATCTTTGACAACCGTACCCTACAATATATCAGTGAAATCCTGTCTGGGAACCTAGAGAATGTGACTGCTGCACAAGACCTGGGGGGAAGAGCCCTCTGAATCTCCATGGAAAGGGAAGCCCTCCCCACTGAGAAACTGGCTACTGTTTCTTCTGCTAGTTTGGGGAGGGAACACGAATGTTCACATGGCCACAGCACTGAAGCTGGAGATGCTCAAGGGAGCTGTCCCCATTAATGCTGGCTGGCACCCCAGGGTTTGTTTGTTAATAGTTCCCATTTCTCCACCACATTTTCAGGAGACCATTCAACAAGCTCAGAGCACCCGTACTGCTTATGGGCTTCTGTGGAGCAGCAGCCACTTTCCAGAAGTCTTAATGGTACATGGCCAAGATCTTGGAAGCCTGGGCCTGGAGACACTGCCAGAGGGGTGGTCAGATAAGAGATGGCATAGCCTGCAGCTGTAGGGCGGGTGGAGCAAGAGACTCGGAAGTGGCCCTTCCTAGTTTCTCAGGCTGTAAAGGAGACAGTGGGAGATTTGTACCTGCAGACTTGCACGTTTCTGTTAATATAGTTTTACAATAAAGTACAATTAGTAGATCTGGCCTTGTTTCTTGTCTGGTCTACCTTATAAGGCTGACATCAATCCTGCAAGTCTCTGATTCTGTTCTGTCCCAGCCTATGTGAGTCCTCGTTAACTCACAAGGACAAACCCCTCCTTCAACAAGTAGGCTGGAACACCCCCTTTTATTATTATTTACAGACCTGCAAAATGTCCCAAGACCAAAGGCAAACAAAACACGATGCAAACGGAGAATCGTTCAAAGGCAGTTATGTCCTGGGCCTATCCTGTCAGGGACACGATGCAGCCGGCTAGGCGTGCGAGGAGGGAGGGAAGGAGGCGCAGGCAGACCAAAGGGAAGGGGGACTTGAGGCGGCAGCCTCGCATGCAGAAGAGCTCCCTTGCTGGGAAACCGAACAGCCTCCAATCACCCCAGTATTTCAGGTCCGTGTTTAGCAGGGGCACCTTGGGCGCTTAGCAATCCAGGCTCCTCCCACAAGGCACCACCTGCAGGTACACCACCAAAAGCCAATTTAGTGTCCGGCAACTCCGAGGCGGCAACTTTCGATCGGCCGTTCCCATACTTGAGGGTCCACAGCGATCACACCATATCCCGCGAGCCTTCCTCCCCGGCACGGGAAGCTGCTGCCATCGACACACAGCCCTCCGGCTGCACCCTCAAGCCGCCGGCCACCCGGATTCGGACAGCGAGAAAACAGGCGGGCCTCCGCTTCTCCCGGCCGGCCAGCCGACCCGCAGCGCCCCACCCGGATTCGGCGCCGGGGCTGCCGGACGGGCGAGGAGCGGCGGCGCGACTGAGCATGCTCCGGGGGCGGGGGACGCGGCGCAAGGGCGGCCGGCCCGGCGCTGGCCAGGCGGGCGAGACCCTCTGCGGAGCGCGGGCGTGGCCGGCAGGAGCCCCCGCGCAGCCCGCAGCTCCGAGACCCTCTCCGCGCCGGGGCCGCCGGGCGGGCTTGAAGCGACGCGGTGCGGGGCAGGTGGGTCGGGCGAGGCTGGCGCTCAGCCCTGCGCGGCTTCCAGGCGGCTCCGGGCCACCCCGGCCGCGATCGGCGCGCTTTCGGCGTGTGGTAGAGCGAGGGCGGGGTGGGGCCCGGAGGTGGGAGCGGGCATAGTCCCCCGCCCCGGCCTCCGCAGCCGCGAGCGACGCTGCAGCCGGGCCGCCTGGTCCCGCTCCTGGGGGTCGGGGGGGGGGTTTCGGGGAAAGGAGGGTGGGAAACGGCGGGGGGGGGGCGGAGAGGCAGCATCTCCTTCAGCATCGCCCTCCTCCAATGTCCCACCAACAATCCCTTAAGGGAGGCCAAAAGGGTGCCTGGTTCCAGTTCCCGCTGAGCTTCCCTGGCAGATAATGGGGAACCTGAACCTGGGACTCCCGGTACTAAGCGCAACCCTCAACGGCTCCCCGCCCTCCGATTTCCATCGTCGGGGCATCCCGGAGGGCCTGGGGGCTGCATACGTGGATCGCCTCAGCCTCCAAGAAGCAGCGACTCGGGCCAGGCCAGCCTTGGCGTGGATGGCGTCGGAGGGCAAGGGCCTCTGTTGGGCAACGGGGTGGTGCAGCAGGGGCTTTGGGGGCTGCAGAGCTGCTGCAGTCCTGGTGCTGTGTCCCCCCCCCTCGGCCATTATGATGGCATAAGCACCGCCTTCCTGAGCAGCCCCAAAGCTCCCAAGGCTGGCATTCTGGTTCCAAGGCCAGCCCAGCTGGGGCCAAGCGCAGCACCGAGCAGGTGGGCAGCCAAGCCTAGCCAGGAGTCACCTGCTCCTCCGCCCCATGGAGAGGGCGGAGAGGTTGACCCTGGGCGACTGTCCAAGCCCCTGCCATCTGAGGCCTCGTTTCCCCCATTTTTCTTGGGGAGGGGTGAGAGGGGCTGGAAAAGTTGTGTTTTAAAAGGCAGGATAGATCAGCTTAAATTAAGCAGGAACAAGCCTTTAAGTTTCTTCTAGCTGTTACAGCAAGTATTTGTGCCCTATCAACTGGCACTCTTGGGCCGGGCCATCTTATAAGCTTGACACACTGCTAAAATAGATAAGGATATTCTGGCACAATCCATGCTGGCCCCTATCGGTTCTAACATGCTTATCCGAGTGCTCACAAACATGATGTCAATGGATTGTTTGAAGACCTTGCGGAGTACAAAAATCAAGTTGGGGGGGGGTCTCCCAGGTCCTCCTTTGTCTTCTTTTTGAGGACGGGGATGAGCTGTTCTCCAGTCTTCCGGGCCCTTCTCCATATTTATCTACTACATATACCAATATATACCGTGCTATATGTACGTATGTATGTACGTATGTATTAAAATGACCTTCAGTATGTTAGAAAGTCAAAGACAGTGCAGGTCTGCTGGAAGTGGTGAGGTGATGTTGAGAAGGCAGAACTCAGAGATTCTGCATCTGTTTTTTTTTCCAATGAGGCAAATGAAACTGTGGTTAATTGTTCTCACTGTTGGGAAATTTCTCCTGAGTTCTCTCCTTGATTATGCAATGATTCCATCCATTGCCTCTTGTCCTGCCTTCTGGTGCTTTGGAGAATAGGTTGAACCCCTCTTCTTTGTGGTATCCTTCTTTGTGTATCCTTCTTAGCTGGCCTTCTTCACAGGAGTGTTGTTGAGAAAATGGGAGGAAGGCATCTAATGAAGCTTGAGTTTCTGGTGAGATGTGAATGTAGCCAGAGTAAACAATCTGCCTGAGAACGGTCCTTTTCCCTCTGTTCACAGCACCTTCCCAATCCCAGGTCTGGCTTCATGAGGCCTCCCACGGCTACACAAGCACAAGATGGTGCTTGACTCTCCGGCCTATCATCCACCGTTGCATCCTGAAGTTTTCCATGCAGACCCACAAGCCAGGAGAGGTGGGAGGAAGGAAGCGAGTCCTCCATGTGTTGGGGGGAAGCTGGGCCCCTTCCTGTCCTCTCCTCTGTCTCCGGAGTCGGATTCTTCTGGGCCCAGAAGGAGGACCAAGCTGCCGAAACTCCTCCGGGGCCCCTGCAGCTGGATGCACCGGAGTGAGAGCAGCTGCCTGGTGAACCAAAAGGATTGTGCGCGGGGCCAGATCCGCAGTGCTGCCTCCCTCCCTCATCTGCCCAGGGCCAGAGCTCAGGAAGGGGCATGCCGGGCCGGGAAGAGAAGCCCCTGCTTACTGGTGGCCCTGCGGCCAGCCAACCTGGAGGCAGAGCGAGAGCAATTCTTCCGATCTTCGTTCACCTACAACCCTCAGTTTGAATATGGGGAATCTGTCCCTGAAGTCGTGCTGGATAAATACCGAGAAGCCTCTGGGCAGTTTCTTTTGCAGGTAGCCTTCCCGCTGGCTGGCTCGTGTGGCTCTTGCCCAAAGGAGCCCTCCCCGGGTTTCTGGCCTTCAAAGGGAAGCTGCCTTGGCTGGATGAGGCCCTTTGGAGGGGACCAAAAAGGTTCTCAAGTCCATCTGCCGCACGCAGCAGGATTCCCTGTGCCATCCTTGCTGAGAGGATGCCCCGGGGAAGAGCCCGATTTAGTATTTGCAGCTGTGCCACAGGCCTTTCCCGAAGCCTTGGAAGGGAGCCCAGATAAGCAGTGGGAGTCCCTCCTAGCCAGGCTCCTTCCCTCCAGCTGCTGGGAGCGGAGCAGGAGTGGCAAGCCTAGCCTCCCTCCTGGGGCCGCTCCAGGGCGCCTGCAGGCCTGCCAGGGTGGTCAGCACAGAAGGACCTGCCACTGGACGGAGGGGGGAGGGTTTGCTCATAGCTGGACCTTGTTTTGCAGCTCACGCCAAGAATTTGAGTGGTTTCCAAAATTCTCAAACCTTCTGTTCTGGCCGCATGCCATCTGTTGCTTTAATACTTGAAATAAGGCAGAGGCTTGGCTGTTTGACCCCATTGCCCCTTTTCCTGGTCATGATACGTACAACAACCCAGATGGTTATTTTACACAAGCATCTTGGCAGCAGCAGCCCTCTCCAAATTGGATTCAAGGGCAATTGCAACCTGCACCATTAGCCCTAGGATATCTCCAAATTACCCTCAGTTTAGGAACCCTGCTTTGAGTCATCCTTGGAGTAAATCGGTTTCCTACCTTACAAAAGAGGAATTTTAAAAAATGGCAGGCTAAAAGAATGTGATAAATGGGAGGATCTTGTGCCACAATACCAGCATGGCTGTGTGCTGTATTTCATGCTGCAGTGAGCCTAAGCACGTGCAAACCAAATTGCTTCCAAGGAGGTTTTGGTGTGGGGTGTGGTGTGCTGATAACCCCTCGGGACTACCGGGGCTGGCATTTGCCATACTCTTCCATCTTGACTGTCAGATGTTGATAACTTTCTGAGCTTCTCCAGTTCTATCCCCTGGTGGTATTAATTATGTTGCAAAATGGTGATTAGTTTCATATAATGCCCCAAACCCTAAACTTGGACTAGCGAAACATTTCTGTGTTCATAGAACATGAGAGGCCCCCATAATCAACTACAGTTACTTAAAGTGATGACTTAATTCAAATAACATGATAATATAAGGAATGATTCCATAACCCCCTGAATCATCCCAGTATTTATTTAGTCTAGTGAGATTTGTGAATCCAGACTTCAGGTCAGCTACCTGGATGTTCAGGGCAGCCTTAACTGATCCCACCCCAGACCAGAGCAAAGCCTGGAGTTTGTGATAACTACTTCGTGTATCTGTTGCAGGCTACTGGAATAATCAATGCTGTCCTTAAAAAATACGGTACTTATGAGAGCTTTGAGGCCTCCAATGGTGGAAAGCTGCTTACCAAATGCCAAATCTGGTCCATCACCAGGAAGTACATGCAGAAGGAAGGCTGCTCTGGGGAGGTGAGTGCTGGGCTTCTGCCCCGTAGGGAACCCTCCTGAGGTGTCCTGGTTGCCATTATCTTCTTTCTGCTCCTTTTCTCCAGGTGGTGGTTCAGCTCACAGAAGACCTCCTTTCCCAAGCAGTCATGATGGTGGAAAACAGCCGCCCAACTTTAGCAATCAACCTCTCTGGCGCTCGTCAGAACTGGCTGGAAGGCATGCTGCGCCATGAGATAGGTCAGCTCTGAAATCTCTCTCCCACTTTTGCCAGGGGCCTTAAAAGTGAACGTAGATCCTTGGGAAAGTCATAAAACACATTGGCCTTTGCGAGTTGAGAAGCGACATAGAGGTTTTTCTTTTTCTGAATTAGTTGAAGCTTCAGATTTAAAGAAACTCCAAGGAAAGCAAAACCACAACTCTAGGTTTGATCCAACCTGGAACTGGTTTATCCAGCTCCCATGTAAAAACTCCAAGTGTGGCTTATATTTTATAGGGAAGTTTTGGCAATACAGCTTAAGTCTTCAACCTGTGGCCACAATTAAACCCCAAATTTCAATTACTGAGTAACAATTGTTAAGTGAATTTTGTCCATTTTGCCCACGTTCTTGCCACAGTTGTTAACTGGATCAGTTGTTAACAACTGAATCACTGCAGTTGTCAAGTTAGCCACACAATTGTTAAGTGAATCTGGCTTCCCGATCAACTTTGCTTGTCAGAAGGTCGCAAAAGTTGATCACATGATCCTGGGATGCTGCAACTGTCATAAATATGAGTCAGTTGCCAAGCATACGAATTTTGATTGTGGAGAAGCTGCAACGGTCATGTCAGAAGCAGTTGCAAGTCACTTTTTTCAGTGCCATTGTAACTTTGAACAGTCACTGAATGGTTGTAAGTTGAGGACCATCATCCTAGCCGCTGTCTGTCCACTGCAGGATGAATGCCTCTTCCACAAGTTTCCAACCAATACAGTCCTGGGCTTTCTTTTGCCAACTGGGCCCGTCATAGTGGCTGATGTCGTCTCTCCATCTTGTTTTAGGTCTTTTTTGTAGACGCCTTTTATCAAGTGGGATCCTTTCTAGGACTGCTTCTTGCTATGTGACCAACCCATTTCTATTTCAATTCTTTTGCTCTCTTGATGCTATCATATATTAGAGAACAAATGAAAATATATGGGGAAAAAAACAGTTGAGGTCTACCTGTATGAAAATCTGGGTCGAGTTGTTCAGATGAATCCACAAAACACAACCCTCAGATACCACTTTCTCACTCACTACCAGTGGCGGCTTTCTCCTCTTTCTCTCCCTTTCCTTCCTCTGGGGGGATGCTCATCCACCCTCTAAGGTCCAGATAAAATTGGAATATTTTAAACTTTTATAATAGGATTTTGGAATTAATTATATAGAACAGACAGCTTCTTGTGGGATTCAAGACGAAAGATAAGCAATTTTATAATTTCAAAAACGACACTAGATGGGAGTAAAGATTTGAGGCAGAGGAAGCTGGACGGGACAGTCATGTTTCAGACCACAATGAAGTCCTGAGACAGCCTTGGTGTAGTCTGTGGCTGACCTTTGGTGCATCTATCCGTGTTCTCTTTGATCTCTTGGTGGCTTTCAATACCTTCTGAGCCGGCTATCTGGGCTGGTGGGGGAGAGGACCCTGTTTCATGGGAGTTCTGTTTCTTCCTCCAGGACCAGTTTAAGTTGTTGGGGCACAGAGGTGGCTCCCTCAGCCTTTCCATTGTAGGGTGCTGCAGCTTCTATTCTCTTTTCCCTCATGTTCCACAATGACATGAAACGATATGCCGATGACACCTCATTGTATCTTTCAATCCTGGGTTGGCCAATCAAGGCTGTCCAGGTTCCATCCCGGTATCTGGAGGCTGTGCAGGTATGGATGGGAACAACTGTCTCTAACTCAATCCTGGGTGTTTCCAGGATTGGGGATGTTCCACATTTCCCATTCAAGAGTGCTGTGCAGTCCGGGGGTCTCTGAATTCGTAGCTCTTGCTAGGAATGCATAAATGGTAGCTCTTAAGCTAAGCCCAAAGTGTCCGCGGAGTGTCTAGGCTCACTAACAGAACCACATCTTCAGGGCCTTCCATAAAAATATCGAGCCAATCTTATCTCATTCCAGGAAGAGGGAGCCTCCACATAAAAGGCCCTTCTGGGTCCTACTAGATGTACTTCCCTGATGGCTCCCATAACATGCCACGCCTTCCCGTTTTAATCGGTAGGGGAGAAGTGGTCCTTCAAATAACCTGATCCCAAGCCATGTAGGACTTTGAAGGTAATAACCAGCATCTTGAATTGCACCAGAACCAAATCAGTAACCAATGCAGGTCTAGCAAAAAAGGTGACCAACAAACAAATTGAAATTTCAAAATGTGTGGGCCTTTTCAACCAGCTGAAGCTTCCGTGTGCTTCCTGGAACCCCATGCTTGAGATAGGATTGGCTCCTACTTGATAATTTTATGGAAGGCCCTGAAGATGTGGTTCGTTCAGTGAGCCTGGAGATTGTGCTTGCTGCTTGCTGCCGGGGTGGGTGTGGAGGAAGGTTTTTTAATATTAAAATGAGATTATTGCTGGAATAAGCCACATCCTCTTTCTTAGGCACTCACTATATCCGCGGAGTCAACAATGCCTCCCAGCCATGGCACAGCTCAGAAGGCCGCAAGCAATACTGTCTGAAGCCCGCCAACCCCACAGAGGAAGGGCTGGCCAGCCTGCACAGTGTCCTCTTCCGCAAGCAGCCTTTCCTCTGGAGGGCCGCCCTCCTCTACTACACCGTCTGCCAGGCCGGGCGCATGTCCTTCTGCGAACTCTTCCAGGACTTGGGGCGCTTCGTGCAGGATGCTGGGGTGCGGTGGGAATACTGCGTGCGAGCCAAGCGAGGCCAGGCCGACACCTCATTGCCAGGTGGGGTTGCAGTGGGGCCACCCTTGAGCCTTTCTGGCCCTCCTGACCGCCAAGTGCCGGCTGGCCTCTCTGCCTTCTCTTCGGACTTCCTAGCTAGCTGGTCCCTGGGAGCGCCTGCCTACCCGCCCTCCATTCTGTCACCCCCACGCCCCAGCCCTCCCAACTTCAGACCCTCCTTGGCACAGTCCCTGGAGCCGTTTCCCTCTTGAAGGATTTGTCCCTGTGGAGGCTTTTTAGAAATCTACCTGACAGCCAGCAGCCCCCCCCCCTCCCCCAAGGCCACCCCTTTCTCTCCTCACAAATTTTCAAAAGTGTGTGTGTAGGGGGGAGAAAGAAGCAGAGCAAGCAAAAGGTTCGCTATAGAAACCTCTTCCCTCCCAGTTTCCGAGATTCTCTTTCCTTCCAAGTCCAAAAGGATTCCTGGATAATCTTTTCCAGAGGCAACAAGCACGTAGCCCGTTACAAAAGGCTCCCCTGGCACCTTGGCGGGATGTCTGTGGTGCCAGGCTCTGAAATGAAAGCAGGAGTTTCGATCATGCTCACAGTCTCGGCTGCTTCTTCTTCGTTTGCAGGCTGCTTCAGCAAAGATCAGGTGTACCTGGAAGGAATCCTCCAGATCCTCCGGCATCGACAAACCATTGATTTCCAGTTGCTGGCTGCGCTGGGGAAGGTACGCAGAGCCCACGTGTTTTTCTCTGGCACAGCCCTCCTAGTGCAGACAGTTGGGCGGCGGGAGAGCAAGGAGGAAGAGCTGGCTGGGGGACATCTCGTATCTCCCATTTCACAACTGCTAGACCTTTGTTCTTGAGAGGAAGGGAGCCACTTTCCCCCCTAAAAACTCCATTGCCTAGTGCAAGCTTGGACTTAATGATGTTCATGCCAAGTGAGCAAGGATCAACATTCTCTGAGAAATATTTCTCTAAACACCCAGGATCTATTTTGTCATTCGTTCACATCTTGGAAAACAATATTTGCAGCGGACGTAATTTTAACAGACTGCCGTAAAGTCCCCCTAACCTTAGCAGCCACATTTCTTCTAAAAACTGGCCCAAAGGATCACACTAGTTGCCGGGTTTGAAGCAAAACTCAAGGGGAATGGAAGACATCACACTTAAAATCCAGGATGACTCATACATAGGTTTATGTTTATGCATTTTCCCCCAGTCAATGGCTTTGGGGGACCCCAAAATAAATAAGAACCCCATGGCTCTGTTGGGTGGCAACCAGTGCCTGGCCCTACCCTTTCCACTGGTCTAGGTGGTGAGCTTCGAAACGCTGCGTGGGCTGATCATGCATAACAAAGAGATTGAAATCCAGTCAGTGAGCTAACATGAAAATGTCCTTCGTTCAGGTCTCTTATGAAGATGTAGACCATCTGAAGAAATACGGGGTGCTGGAGAAGGCCCGAATCCCCCACTTCATGCAAGACCTTGAACGGTACATGCAGCAGCTCAACCACATTGTTGCCACCAATTGTCTGAGTGATGAAGAGCTGGAACAATTGATGCCGGAGTGAGCTTGCTGCCTGGCCCTCAGCAGTGTTGCTGGACAGCCTCTGCTCTCATTAAGATGCCTGAAGTCCCAAAGGAGAATTTTGTTGGACTTTGGCCTGCTGAAAACAAATCAATGGCTCGTGTGTTCTATTTATTCTTTCTTTATTGGGGGTTTCTACTTTTGACTGTTAAATGAAGCGATCAGAGCAAGGCCACATCTTTTGAATGCCCTAAGAGAGAATTCAGCTACCTCTCATGGAACTTTGCTCTCAGCCAGGGATGTTTTAAGCAGATTGACAAAGATCAATGTCTGGACCATGCCTTTCTTCTGTAGACAGGTTAGTATAGATGGTTTGGAACTTGCTAAAATATCCCTAGGCAATATTTTTGGGTTCTCCAGTTGAGCCAACTGAGAGTGATCTCCAAATGGTCAGAAAGAGAAAAGATTTTTTAAATAACGCTGCTTAATGGCAGGTGCAGAAGATTTTCAGTATGACTTTGGTATTCCTTACTCTCCAATAGTGTTTGAAATTATATCTGTAATTGAGTGAACTTTCAGTCTGGCCTAGTTGTTCTTGACAAAGGCCACAGGTGGCTAAAGAGAGCCTGGAAAGATGCTGGTTAATTTCTGAGTCAATCATAGCAGATCCCAAGAATTTCAGACTCCAAATGATTTTACAAGGGCAACAAAAAGCCTTCCTTCCCTCACCCCCATTCAGTTCCACACCGAGCATGAGCCAAGAAGCGCTCTTGCACCTTAACCCTCAGCTTACCTGTCCTACAACTGCCAGATAGCATCTGTTTGCCCTTGGTGGACTTCTGGACTCAAGAAAATGCGTAGAAGAACATGCAGAACTGAAGTCTGCCCAGGGCTGGTTTCCAGCCAGGTACTTGGGCTAAATGCCTGGGCGTCTGGGCCTGGACCCTATCTCAGTAGCAAAAACAGTCTTGCCTTCCAAACCACAACTAACCAATCCTCCCTGGCCTTTTGCCCCAATGTAAGATAGCTTTCCTTATTCTGCTAATTTAAGCTAAATCTAAGAAGAGCCAAACATATTTGGATCCAAGAATAGAGAAGGAGATCAGAATGCAGAGTCAGACTGATAAGACACTTGGCAAGTGGTCACTCGTGGTGGGGAGATGGCAAGGATTTTGCCTAGAAATGGGCCATCATAATAAAACCGATGCCGTCCCTTAAAAGCTTTCCTATCTTAAGGCAAGCGCTTGGTTTTAACAGGGGGACGATTCCAAGACTGTCTGGTACAGAAAAAAATTCTGATGCCCATGTCTGTCCTGGTGGGCTTCTTAGGAGCAGGATCTTCTTTCATTTTGCAACCTCAGGGTGGATGGATGATTTTTCTCCCTTTTCTTGCTGTTGAGGTTTGAGAAAACAGCCTGCCCTGCTCTTCAAAAGCAGCCTTCAATAGCCTGATGGCCCTGGTGGCTGGGCCTGGTCGGGCCTGGTCTTGAGTGTAATAGTCTCTCCATCCTCAAGACAAAGGGCAGACCTGCCAGTTGGCTTTTTGCTGTTCAAGCATTGCTTGCTTATTTGTGACCCTCTTCCTCAACTTTTTCAGTCCGATTACCTCATAGATGAATTGGGACTAAAATGGCAAACTTCCAGGCTGTCCCACAGCTAATGCATCTTGCAGAATGAACTACAGTGCTAAAAAATTTTTTCAGATGAAGGACTGGACCTGGTCTTTGATGTCCTATCAAATGTAAATAGATAAAAAAGTTAAACAAGACCCCCCCCAAATCATCTGATTTAAATTTAATTGAAACTAAACTAATTGAATATAATTATGATTTCCCCTTTTGTCATATTAACAATTTGACTTGACAGCAACTTTTGCAAAGGCTTTCGTTTATTCCATCTGAAGAGGCTGAATTTGCCAGGGAGCTGAAAAGGTTTACAACCATTCATCAACAGTAAAACTTGCCTGGCAAGCAATGGCCAACAGAGCCAATTACAGCATCCCTCCAATAACACCATAGCATAATTAGGCATTAATACCATAAACCAGCGGTTCTCAACGTTTGTGTGACGGCGACCCCCGTCACACAAATGTTATGCGCATGCGCGGCGTGCATGGGGGGCAGGCCCCCATGCGCGGCGCCGCCCCCGGAGGGGAGAAAATGGCGGATCGCCGCCTTTGGCGACCCCCGAAAAATGGTCGATCGACCCCAAATGGGGTCGCAACTCATAGGTTGAGAACCGCTGCCATAAACTATCATAAAAGAATCTAATTCTAATATTGACACAGCAATTATCCAAAGAAGTTTTAATGGCAGATATATTCTGTTTTCAGACACAGGAAATAAAGGATTTGTACCCACGTATTAAATGAAATTATATTTCATTGAACCCCTTTCTGAACACCTCCTTGCTGACAGCTTATGCTGCTGAAATTTACAGAATACAAAGTAACATAGTGGAATGGAATTGCTTGTCTCCCAGAGTTGTCGATGGTCCATCACTGGAGGTTTTAAAAAACAGACCTATCTGACTGGAAGGTATAAGGCTTTTGTTAATTATTACCAGCATCTTCCTGTATTCAAATAGCATATTTTAGAACCACATTTATTGCCAACTCAAGTGAAAAAATTTAAATGGCCTTTTTGCTAAAGAACTACATTTATTTTACTCCAGCGTAGACAGATGACAAGTAAAAGACCTTTTTTCGCCAAGAAGCCGGCCTCCACCAGACCTTGAAGATGCTCAGAGAGACACACACAAACAGAGGCACTAAGATCGTCCCGACAAGCACTGGTTCACCACCTGGAGCAAGTGCATGTTCTCTAAGGCAGCCGCTACTCTCTCTTTGTCAGCAAGTTGCTTGTTTACTGTGGAAAAGCAGTCCAGGGATATTTTCAGTTACTGTGGCCATGTTTAGTAGAAGAGATGGGTCACTTCTCCCACCCTGCCCAGCGAAGGACAACCGGAAAACAAGCAGTTTATGAGCTCCCTCTTTCCCCCCAAAACCAGCAAGATGTTTACCAACTTATATTTAACATTTGAACAATACAAATGTGTGCATTTTGCCTCAGAGAGGCTCAAATATATGACTCTTATTTTTGCAAAACAAAAAAAAAGATACAATATGAAGGTAGAACATAAATTAAACAGATTCATATTTAGATAACTAAATGGGCATTTCTAAAGAACCAATAATCCCAAGCACAAAGCAAAACCTCTTGGAAATGAATTTGCCCTGTCAGCAGAGGATGACAAGACGGTCCCTGTCTGGCAGCTCTTCGTCAACCATGCAAGTTGGGATATGCACTTTTGGGACCTGAAAACCAAAAGCCATTTCCGAGGCTCCTGCTGCACTTTTTTTTCCTGATCTCACACAGAGGCCAGAGGGACCAGAAAAAGGCACTTTTTAAAATGGGCAATAAGTGCATCTGAATTCTCTCTGAAGCACCTTTTCTCTTTTGCATCTGAGCAGCTGAATATCCTCAACTCAACCTTGTCAAGATGTGTACTGAACATGAAACATAAAAACAAAACATTACCTGCATGCTCGGAAGCATGCGTCCCAGGTGTTATGTGGACATCCACCTGCAAAGGAGACAGGCAGTTCAAGTTCCCTAGAGCACTGATGATGTTACCTAGTTTGGGTCATGAAATGTCTGCAAGAAAATAACCAAGCCCAGAGAGCACCAAAGGACCTCTCACCCAGTTTGTGCATCCTCCTGAAAGGGATGTAACAACCCTCCCTCATTGCAATAATTCCCTTAGTTTTAATTTTCAGAAAAAACAATTCTGATTTTTCAGGTCAAGTATTAACCATGGCTCAGCTTCATTCAGTTCTCCTTGGATGGGAAGGAGGGGCAAGGACTAGAGGAAATAGGAAAGGGAAGAGGGAAAAAGCACTACTACAAAGAACCTATTTCTCTCAGTGACGTGAAGGGCCTTTAGGAAAAATCAAGTAATTTTTCCTGAGTACACGAGATGCCAATTAAAGTTGACTTTTTGAACAGAAAGAAAAATAGGTTAGCCAAATCTTAAGATACATATTGCAAACCTAAATGTAACCAAATTACAATGCATATATTTTAATTATTGGAGCAACTGGATTATTTTTCTTTCCCCTTCAAATCTGCTTTTCTTGTCTTTTAGATTATAAGTGTGCATTTAACATCTGTTTATTTCCCCAACCATTCTGAGAGCGCCTTCTCTTTGCCAAATAACAAAATCAGGGTTAACAGAAACCAAGAACTATCAGGCTCTCTGGATGCAGCCACCTGAACAACGTTGCATGCAATATTATGGAAGGTGCTTGGACCCCCATGGATCTAAGAAGCCCAACAGCCACCTTGAGAAAGAGGGCAAATCATAATGATGGATGATTCCTTGCTGAAATGAAGTGAGGGGCTGTGTGGAAACCAAAGGTGACGTCATAGGAGGTCTCTTGTCTTGCAGGTGCCCATAAACGGCATATGGCAATATGGTTATCAACACTACTCAAAAACATCAATAACCATCCTTTTCTCATTCTCATACCTTCTGTTCAAAGAACAGGTGGCATGGCCTTTGGAGAACTGTGTGTCGTGTGCCAATCCCATTCACTCCTCAACCTGCTCTCAGTAGTCATGCTTTATTCACTCTACAATGGGGCTACCTCTGAAAAGGATTTGAGAGCTTCAAAATGCCATTTGGGTAGTTGTGCATGCTGCACAATCTATACCTCTGCTCCACAAGCTGCCCTGGTAGCCATTGGCAGAATAGGCTATTACCTATTTTCTTCTTTTGCTGGATGATAATAGAGCATGAGCACTGAGCAGGATTTTTCGGAGCCCTTCAACTGCCTCTACCAACAAAAAGAGCACCGCTGAGAGACCTAGGTGAGATCCAAAAAAAAAAAGTACTCGATTTCTTGCTGTTATAAACTGTGGATTTAGAGTTTGACAGCAAACATGAGGTAGGAAAAAAGTGGCAGTAAACCTGATCTTTTTGAATACCAGCAAGCAGCCAGGTATCCAAAGGACCGCCGCTCTTGCTGAGGGCCTGGCCGGCCAGAAGTTCCCAGGAGGAAGAGCTTGTGGGTGGGAACAGAGAGGTTGGAACAGAGCTCCCAAATTCCCCGCGGGGTCCCGGGTGGGGCTTCAACGGCTGATGTCCTCCACGGATCTGCGCGCCGGGGCTCCTCTGTCCCCGCGAGGCCGGGACGCAGGAAAGTCCGGGGGCTGCCCTGACCCTCCCTGACCCCCGTCGCCCACCTTGAACCTCTCCGGGAGGGACCGGATCAGCTTCACTTTAATGGAGAGGCCGATGAGGGTCGCCATGCTGCAGTGCGGAATCGTGGGCGTGAACTCCACCGACACGGCGCTCTGGGCGTCGCTCACCTGCCGGGGGCACAAGGGGGGCTCAGAGGCGGCGCGGGAGCCGCGCACCCCTCACGCGCTCGGCCTCCGTACCTGCACGCGGAGCTGCTCCACCACGTTCAGCTCCTCCAGGGTCAGCGGGTGCTCGGGGTCGTGGATGCCGCGGATGAGATGTGCTCAGTCAAGGAAGGGTGGGCTGGGCGTGCCAGGGACCCCGACCCCCGCCCGCCCTTCGCCAAAGGATATCGAAGATCTCGCGGTCGTCGATAGCGTCGGGCAGGCCCTCATCCTGCTCGCGCGCCGTGGTGGGCCGCTCGCCCTGGCGCCGGTAGACCAGGGGGTTGGCGTTCTCCAAGCCGCCGCCAGACGGGCCCACCATGAAGACAGCAGGCCGGGCGCCCACACTGCACGGCCCACTTGCCGGGCGGGCTACTTCCGGCGTAGGAGAGCTCGTGCCAACGCATCACTTCCGGGCAAGGCCTGAGGGCGCAAGAGCCGGCTCGTCCCCCGGCGCCTGCGCACTACTTTTCCCGTGTGCCATCGGCCGCCCGTCAGAACTGACGGGATGGTGAAGAAGCAAAAAACTGCGTTATCGTCGGATCTCCGTGCGCTTAGCTGGGCGGAAAGGAAGCCCCCGTGCTTGGATTCCGGGATGCTTCCCGATAAAGCTCCTTGTCGTGTACCCTTCCCCCCGCCCGGCGAGGCCATCTTGGTCGCTTTAGTTTTGAAGGAAATTTAACCCTGGGGTGCCTTGTTCTCCCATTCTGGATGAGAGAGTTCCCAAAACTTCTCATTCCTTTACATATTTGATGTCACAATAATTACAATCAAATCCATTCATTTTATTCCATCCTTGGTCCAAATAGAAAAGCTGAGCTTCTTGGCTAAGCAAAGAGAAGTCCTCCTCAGCTGCTGAAGTCCATGGGCCTCTTTTGGGTGGGGGCGTATGGGAGAAGACCAATAGCCTTACTCCCAACGATAACTGGAAACCAGAGAAGTGAGTTGACCAGAAAAACAAAAGGCTCATCTTTTGTTAATGCCGAAGTATTCCCCAAACTGGGGTTTCAATTTGGCTACTTAAAGTCCACAGGGGACTATCTAGATCCAATGAAGTAGAGTTGGTGGATCACTTCCTGAGATCCATGGAGATGGCATTAGCTGTTGTCTGTCCAAAGATGAAAGTGCCAAGGACAACCATGAATATCCCATAGCTGACCACCATCCACCAGCTGAAATGAGGAGACAAAAACACAGTCAGGCCAGCAAGGAGAACAGGGAGAGGGATGATGGGTCAGGGCCAAGCACCTCTCTTACCTCACTCCTCCAGCTCCCTGAACTTCAGAAAGTTTGGTGTGGATGAGGCAGAGTCCTGGCAAGGAAAAAACAGAGCAGCAGAATTTGGCAGCCTATTAATGGTCTCACAGTGGCCACAAAGCTCGAGTCTACTCGATCCCAGTGAGAACGAGTCTCATCGAGAGCACCTTCTGGTTGAGAGGAAGCACTTTTACATTTGTGCTCCGTGACTTCCTGCTGCACAGGGCAAGTTTCTTAGCCAGGCAGGAATCAACTCCCTTCAGGGGTCAGACCTGGGCAAGACTGGCCAGCTGCCATGCATCAATCAGAAGGCCAGACAGGGATTCCCATCCCATCCTGAGAGTGCAGAAGATACCCTGCCTGTCCTCTGCCAGGCTCTTCCTCCCCCTCCCCGGCCTTGTCTTCTGTTCCAGGGAACATGAGCTGGCTCTTCAGGGGCAGCCATGGCCGCCTTTCTCTCCAATTCTGTCCCCAAGGCCAGAGCTGAGCTGAGCTGGTTGCAGCCTGGACCAGCAGGCCATCCAAGCACCGGCACGGAGAAGACTACCATCCTGCAGCGGGGAACCCAAACAGAAGCCGCGTTGCACCTGCCAGCCAGGAAACCTTTTCCCTACCTGGGAAGACAAAGATGAAGCAGGCGGCCAGCCCCCCAATGACTGAGATGACTCTGCCGATGTCCGGAATGAACAAGGCCAGAAGGAGGGTGAGAAGGAACCAGCAGATGGTCTGCAACAGGCGTCGGCGTCTCTCCTGAGCCACATCTTCATCCACAGTTTCCCCTTTGTAGCGCAACCATAGACCTTCCAGGACAGCTCTAGGAGGAAGACCTCAGAAGGGTCAGCAGACACCCCTTCCCACATCCCCAGCCGGCCAGCCTGCTCACCTGCCACAGAAGTGCAAGATTGGGTAAGAGGTCAGGACAGAAAGAATGATGAAGGCCCGCGCGATGGCTACTGGGATGTCATCCGAGGGGTAGGAGAGCAGCACATCCTGCTGCACACTCTCGCCAAAGGTCAGGAAGCCACAGACCCCTAGCAAAGACAGAGGAAGGCCATGGGAACACCAGGTGTTGCTTCTGCCAGGGCCTCGGCCAAAGCAGAAGCAACTGGACAGAACAAGCAGCTCGGTTTCAGGATCTGCTCCCTACCTGTGCCCATGTAGACAAAGAGGGCGATGACCATGGCTGCTGTCACGACGACTCCCCAGGACCTTACCTGCGGGCACTTCATACTGTTGAAGATGGGCACGCTGCTGACATGGCACTACAAAGGGGAGGAAAAGGCTTGGTAGCTGTCCTGGCTGAGAGGGGATAGCGAAGCTGCTTTGAGGCAACAGGACCTGGGCCCCCACCCCCAACCAGAACGCTGGAGTCTGCTGCACCAGGTCCCCAAGTCCTTTGTCTATTCAGGCGGGCATTATAGTAGTTGAGGATGTCCACTGCAAATGGACTTCATTTCGGTTCTGATTTGGAAACACCTATATTCACAACTAGGAATCCAAAATTCCTGGAAAAACATCCTCCTTAACCAAATGATGAAGCACTTACTACCTGAGTTTCATTCCAGTAGCTAAGAATAATTTTAACTGCCATTACCCTTTTTAACAGCCTGGCAGCTATTCCTCGCCACTATCAAATATTAAGCTACAAATGAAGAAAACTATAATTTAATTTTAAAAAATCTGCAAAACCTCACTGTAATAAAGACAAAAAAGATGCTTTATCCTCCAGGATTTCAAAACATATTTGAGGATAAAAAAGAAGAACTAATAAAATGGATTAAAGAACTGTCAGAAGAACCATCACGTGGGAGACAAAAAACTGATACTTTACTTATTTTTTTTTATCCCCAACACCACTCATAAAAATATAACCTGGCAAGCTAAACTTACTGACTTGGAAAGCGACATGGCAAAAGACTAGAGTTGGAATCAAGAAACATGATTCAATATATCAAAGGGAATATTATGACTAAACACTTGTTTGAATATGGTTTTTAGACACACACACACACACATTGTAAAAATTAATAAAATATATTTTAAAAAAGATTATGCTATTGCAGCGGTTCTCAACCTATGGGTCGCGACCCCATTTGGGGTCCAATGACCATTTTACGGGGGTCGCCAAACAACGCGATCTGCCATTTTTCCCCCTCGGGCCACCGCCGCGCATGGCGCCGCCGCGCATGGCGCCGCCGCGCATGCTTGCTGCGCATGGGGCGGCTGCCACGCATGGGCGCTGCGCATGCGCCGGGCATCTGTGTGACCGGGGGTCGCCGTATAAAAAGGTTGAGAACCGCTGTGCTATTGGATTGAATACAGGGTCACTTACAAGCCCTCTTCGTCATAAGAGAAATTCTTCCATCTGCCACATGCGGCCTTTGCCTTTTTTCCCCAGCCGTCATTTTGAATCCTTGCTTCTTCACTCCCAGAGAACACCCACGCTGGGCAGATGCCTGCAGGCCACTCTGCGCCCTCTCAGGATCTCTAACTGCCCTTTCTTTTCAGATGCAACCACGTCGGTTTTCATCTGTCGTTTCTCTAAATCACTGCTCAGGAAGTGGTCAGCTCATGTGGGAGCCACAACCCAAAAAGACCCACGCTTCCTCTATAAGCCATAACACATCCCTCACAGGCTGAAGTAATAAGAATGGCGATTTCCTCCTTTGTGTTTCCTCTTGTGCTCAGCTAGGAACTTTCTCTGACACAAAATGACCCTCTGGCCCTTTGACTCCCATCACTCACTTCTGGCCCTTTGGAAAACCACTGATCCAAAAAACTTGGTGTTGGAGCTGCAAAAGACATTCATTCAGCTGTAATACCCAGTACGTCACATCACTAATTTGCAATCATGCGAAAGAAAAAAATCTGATCCAATTTGGAGGACAACTGAAAAGCCACTCCAGCTACGTGTGTGCCCCGACCAGCCCGGAACCCATTTCAGACTGGTTTTGTTTGACACGCAAAAAAAGATGCACAGGAACTAAAGGGTGCCTCAAGATCCTGAGAAGCAGATTACCTCCTCCTCCAACAAGGATCATATGAAGGGACTCATTCAAACTGCCAGCAAGGGCCGGGGAGTGGGGGTAGCTGCTTGAGCATTACCTGGAAGCCAAAGCAAATGGTGGGCATGGCGTTGAAGACAGACACCCAGGAAGCAGGGCTGTGGGAGGAAGAGGAGCTGGGTTAGCTGGGGCTGGATCCTTCCTCCCACAAGCTCCTGATCAGAAGAGAGTGCAGAAGATATCTCAGCCAAGAGCTTCCCCCCTCCCATTGGCCAGATGTACCTGGTGGTGATTTCCTCCGGGGAGATCACCTGATCAGGCCAAAAATACTTTATGATGACGACAATTGTGACGTACCAGGTCCCGATCACACTCAAGCAGCTGAAAGTGAGCAAAATTTAGGGATGTGGTGATCAACAAGAAACATTTCATATATACTTTATTTCAATGCCCAAAATTTCAAAAATGTATATTGCAACCAGAAGCAGGAGATCCTATTGATTTAAAGAATGGTTTAAAGAAAGCTTGAGATACGCATCTCGGTAATCCCATATAGGAGATAAATCGGCAAAAGTTATGAAAACCGGGTTGACTGACTTCAGCTTCAATGCAAGATTACATATCATTGGCACCCAATTCCTGTTAGATTGGCACAAGTATATCAAAATTATTCTTCCAAACGTTCAAGAGATTATCAAAACAAAAGGGTCAATCTTTCATTTGTGGTGGTCATGCAATAAAATTATACTCTAAAATCTTTGGGGAGGTAAGTGCTTTCACTCATCCAAGAACTGAATGCTCCCCAGAGCCAGGCTTACTAAACCACTGAGCATTATTTATTTATGAGCCAAAATAATAATTGCCTAACATTGGAAAACTCAGAATAACATAACAGAGTTGTGAATTAACTAGGTGTCTTTAACTGCTACAAAAAAGTCATAAAGTTAAAATTAATGAAACATCAGACAGGAACCGTGCTTATCAGTTCTTATAGTTTATTTCAGTGGCAACAGATTATCCTCTGCTACACTTCAGACAGATGGCAAATGTGTGTGACAGTACCTGTCTAGGCTCATTGCAGTAGATCTCTTGCATTTCCTATTTTTTCTATTCTCTATGGATTTATATTAATACACTTACCTGATATTATTTATTAACGTTTAATAAAAAATATATTTAAAAATAACTGCTTCTCTATGCAACTTCTCTCATCTTTAAATTTATTTATTTGTATCCTAACTTTATTACTTTTAAATAACTCACGGTGATGGACATATCCAAATACCTTCCTCCTCCTCTTTGTCCTACAACAACCACTGCTGTGAGGACTAAAAGAGGAAAAACCAGCTAATCTTCATAACTGTGGCGGACTAGAACTCACAGTCTCCCCCTTTCTAGCATGATGCCTTAACCACTAGGCAAAACTGGCTCCTTTAAGTTAGGTTAAATATGATTTTAACTTAGCACAGGGAGGGGTTGCCGGTCTGGAGAAGAACAAGCCTGTGGAAGGCATTCAGGATGAACATAGGATTTTCCCTCCTGGGATCCAGACTTCTGCTGCTGCGAAAGAAACAGCCCCTCCCCCCCATTGGAGTTTGTCTTATAAAGCAGAACTGAAAGTAAGTTTGTGGGTGGAGGTGGAGAGAAAGGGGTGAACACAGGAAGACAGACAACCTCCAAGCCAAAGGCAAGCAGAAGCAGCTGGCAGACAGAAAACCAGAATTCTTGGACCTGCCAGCGTTGCTAAGAGGCAGAGCTGAGAGGGGGCAGCAAAAAAGCCCACCATCTGTGTGGATTGGTCCTTTGGGAGATATGGACACCAGTAACAGACCACCACCCCCAACTGGCAGGTACCTGGCGTATTTCTGGAACCCAATTTCTTTGGGAATGGACAGTGGAAGGATGAAGAGGATGGCCGTGAAGCTGATAGTGCATTTGCGATCTGTGAACCAGCAGTTCCTCCCTTCTTTGGCGCAGCTCTTCATCAGGACTGGAATGACTTCCGGAGACACAAAAAGAGAAGTTGGCATCCAAGGGCCCAGGCCAACGAGCAAGTCCTTTATTAGCAAGATGAGTCTGCTGAGAAAAGTGCTTGCGCCAACACCAGGGGACTGAAAGTCAGCAACACCCCCTTAGAAAAACCGTGGAGAAATTCTAACTGTGGAAGACGAGAAGCGCTGAGGTCACCAGCCTCAGAGGAGGTACGGAAGGTGAAAAATGGGGGTCAGCCTACTTGATTATGTCTGGAGTTCAAAGTGGACTGCCAAAAGAAAGATGTTGCCCAAGATGGGACCAGGGAGGAGTCTAGGGAGAGAGCACCCCATGGGGTCCACTGCCACACTCACTCTTGTCCTGCTGATCCCCAATGATAATGAGGAAAGCAATGCAGGTGCCAAAGGTATAGATCACGATGGCCACCTCACACAGCACACCCAGGACTCTGCCACAAACAGCCCACACCACTTCCTGGTAGGTGCGTTCATTACTGGCCTGGGAGCAGTAGGCCAGGATGACCAGTCCGCCAATAATGAAGAGCAGCAGCCCCTGCAAGGGAGGCAAAGAAGGGCAGAGTTAGCTGGGGAGACGGGCACCCAGGCAGAACAGCCTTGAAGACACAGACAACACACAGTTTGCAGCAAAGTGGGAGGGCAAGGCAACCCACTCTCCACAGGACAAGCTTTCTGTTGTTCTATGAATGGATGCTGCATGCAGGATCTCAGACCAGGCCCTTTGGGACCCCAAAGGGCATTCATGGAGGGAGTCAGCACTGGCCCTTCTGGTGCTTATGTCTGGCTTACAGAGCCCTCCTTCTCTTGCTCCTTGGGAACACTCAGGCTGGCAATAAGCCCTGCCCAGCAAGGGAAGGCAGTGGAAGGCCCTGGGCCAGCACCGGCTGCTTGGGGGCACCAGGTGAATTTCACTCTGCTCCCCAGTTTTGGTCCACGGAGGGCAGCCAGAGTGGCAGATGCTTGCTGGGCCACTGGGGAGCCTGCAGCATCTGTCTGACAAAGTCCCCGAGACTCCCTCCAAGGGCAAGTCCCTTTTAAGGCGCAGGAAGAGAAGCCTTTCCCACAGGTAACGGAGCCCTAACGCTGGCTCTGGGCGGGCAGCACTTCACCATCTGCATGGCGATTCCAGCTGCCACTCCGCCGGCCATCCGGAAGGCCGCGGGGAAGTTGAGCAGGCCTGCGCCAAGCGCAGCGTTCACCACGATGAAGACGGCGCCCAGCATGGAGGTGGCGGTGGAGGCAGGCCGGGGCTCCTCTGCGCCGGGGCTCTGCAGCAGCAGGGCCCGCTCGCTGCTGTCGGCGCGCCACTCCCAGTCGCCATCGTCCCTGTTGATGCCCACGTGGCTCTGAGCCATCTTCTCCTGGTGGCAGAGTCCGGCTTGTCCCGGGATCCAAGCCACGCATCCCTCGGGCCGCCCGGAGGCTGCAGGCGAGGCGGAGGGTCCCGCAGGCCACGTTTCTGGGGAGAGAAGCGGGGCGTCGCCCTCAGCCTCCCCATCCGCCCCCCAGCGCCTTCCCCCCGTTGCTTGGGGGCCCCCACCGGCCCCGAAATCAGCTGTCGTGAACGAAGCAGCGATTCAGGGCAGGCACAAGCGGCGGACAACGCGAGGCGCGGCCTGTGGCTCCCGAGTAGGAAAGCGCGGCTCTCCGCCGCGGGGAAGGACGGAGCCCACCGCTCTCGGGAGGCCCTTCCCGGGCGCCGCCGGAGAAGGCCCCGCAGGCCCGGCCATGCCCTTGGGCCAGAGGCCGCGATGGCCACCGGGGCTTCGGGTGGGAGCCCACCAGGCCCGACCCGGGGGCGCCGGGCGTTGCCCAGGGAGGCTCCTGCCCTTCGGGGGCTCCAGAAAGGGGCATGTCGGCGGTTCGGCAGGGGCATCGCCGGGCAGGCGGCCCGGGCTCTTTCCGGCCACGTTCACACGACCCGACTTTTCCCGGTCGAGACTGCCCGGGAAGGAGCGCCTCCTTGGGCGGACGGGCTCCCTCCCGGGACGCCCCCCCCCGCCACTCACCGCGCCGCAGTCTCGCCCTCAAAAGACCCGCGGGCGAGGCAGCCGGCCCTCCCAGCGCGGGGCGAAGTCCGGCCCCCGCCCGGCCCTTCCCGCTTACCCTGCGGCGGCGGCGGCGCCCTCCCGGCAGCGACCCCCGGCGCGCACAGGACGCTGGGAAACAGAACCCCCTCCCCAGCTGTTTTGCCGGCCCGCCCGCTACGAAGTCGACAGTCGTGGGGTGGGCTAGATGATCTCCGCGGCCCTTAGCTGCCTTTCGCCTCTGATCGGCTGAAACGAAGCCCCGCTTTGGAAGACCTCGCCACGCGCCAGCCCAGGCGCCGCTGGATGCCGAGCGCATTTCCCAGCCTTCCCTGGTGGAGCCAAGGCCCAGCTGAGCCGGCTTCTGTATCCACTGCTGGTCCCCACAATCCACCTCCCTCCCTGTGCAGCGTCCCAAGAAAGGGGAAGCCTAAAGAAGAATCCCAGACCACAAGGCTCCAGATGTATAGCAGCTTTATTAGAGAGGGAGGGAAGGCAGAGGGCTGGCTGAAGCCCAGCAGGTCCACAAGAGGCAGATTGCCCACCTCTCAGGTCCAGGGTGGGGGGTGGACCCTGCCTGTTTGCCAGGCTGGAAGAGGCAGCTGTGCGTATCTTCCAGAGGCAGTTTTTTCAGCAGCCGCATAACTACCACGTGTCTCTTTCTGCAGCTTGGCTTTCAATATGGAGGCGTTAACTGTTCCACTGATTCATGTAAGAAGAGGCGTCACGGTGGATGGGCCACGGGAGGCGTTTGATATCTGTAGCTGTGCAGGTCACTCCGTTTCCCAGAATGCCTCTCCCCACTTGGGATTCTGAAGGACAATCACACAGTGCAGGTGGGCGGATGCTAGGGTTGGCATGAACCAGGCACAGGACAGGTACATAACTAGTAAAGCTTGTTGGCTGATAAGTTGATGGCCGCTTTCTCCTGCCCTCTGCTTTCAGATGGGGGGGGGGAACATTTAGAAGTTCTTAAGATACACATGACAAAATTCAGGGCTCCATCATATAAGTGTTCATAATGTAGAGGGGTTGCGGTGCGAATATTCGCACTAAACATAATTTTTAAATAGGGGGTTTCCCAAAAATTCCAAAGGAAAGGAAAGGCAATTTAAGGTGTTATTGATTATTAAGAATTAAAAGTGTCAGTGAGTAAAGCTAACTCCTTTCTATTGGGCAATGAAAAAAAAAAGCCTCATATTCCTTTCATAGGAACAAGGGGAACTTTTTCTAGCAAGAAAAAAAAAAAGCCACTTTATTAGCTTGCTTTGAATCCCTGGGCACAGAGCTTGGAAGAGGGATGTCCACTCCAAGCAGGCAGACCGAAAAGGGTGCATTTGAAATTAGGCTGGCTATTTATGGGAGCTGTAGCCCTGGGGATGGCTACACTCACAAAGAGTCTGAGAGTCTCCCAGCCCAGCTCTGAGGATGCCGAAGCATTTGCACACAGGACCAGAAGACATCTCAAATGATGAAGGGGGGGAGGCCACACCACACAGCTAAGTGACGGATGGTGAAAAATGAGGGAAATGCTTGTGCTACTTGCTGCTGTTCCTTATTCTCCGCCCGGCCTAGCCAGAGTACGAAGCCATCCACACAATCCTCCCTGTTCACTTGGACACCTGGTGGATGGCGTGAGCTAGATAAGCCACGTTGCCCGAGGTGACGCCTGCAACGGAGATGCGGCCATCCTTGGTCATGTAGATGGAGAATTCTTTGGTTAATCGCTCCACCTGGAAAACAAAAGATTCGGTTCAGGGCGAGGCCTTCCCAAGATCCAGCAACTCATCTTCCGAGGGGCCTGGCTGGCCAGCCAAGCAGCAGAGACCCCCTGAAGTGCTTCCTTCTTTGCTGCAGTAAGGGCAGCAGCAACCTGGGAGGAGGGAAATCACTCAGTTATCCTGCGGTTTCTGGGCATCGCCAGCTACATTCATTATTTTAATTTTTCACTAATTTATATGCTACACTGCAGCAGAAGACTTATTTCGATACAACACAATGAAAGCTAAAAGCCCAGGTGATTCACCATGACCAAGGTGGGGGCATTTTAGCAAGGAGTTCGAGGAGCACAGCAAGAACATGAGAAGCCCCCTCCCCCTGTTCTCTGGAGCCTCTCTGGCCAGCAGACCAGACCCACAATTCTCAGTGATTTTATTGCCCTCCCCCCAACTGACACGACTGAACCTGCTGGCTCAGAAGCAGGTAGGCAGCCTGCACAGTTGTTTCAACTGTGAGAAACACAACAGGGAAGTCATTATCTTGTACGCCTGAAGTACATACACAAAAAACCCCAGCTTGCACCTTAATAAATTTTAAAATTAAGTATCTGGCTTTCCTGTTAGATTTGATTGAGTCATCAATCAAAGGACATTTTCTTTTAATCTGTTTCAAGAATCTAGAGCAGGGATTCTCAACCTTGGCAACTTTAAGACTTGTGGACAGGAATTCTGGGAGTTGAAGTCCACAAGTCTTAAAGTTGCCAAGGTTGAGAACCCCTGATCTAGAGCAACAGAGAGCTAGTTTGCTGTAATGGTTAAGGTGCTGGTCCAGAAAGTTGGAGGCTGTGAATTCTAGTCCCAACTTAGCCATGGAAGCCAGCTGGGTGATTTTGGGCCTATCGCCAGGAGAAGGTGAGTTTTACTCCTGCCTTAGGCATGAAAGTTGGCGAAGTGGCTTTGGGCTAGTCACTCTTTCTCAGCCCAACTCACTTCATAGGGTCATTGTGAATAGGGTGTGTTGGATATGTTTGCTGCCTTGAGTTATACATATGTGAAAGTAATAAAGGCAGGATATGAATGAATGAATGAATGAAAGAAAGAAAGAAAGAAAGAAAATTGGGCAGCCTCAATTTACAAACTAACCTAAGATCTCCATTTTAGCCCCTTTATCAAAGCATCTGGAATTGGGTAGAGATGAAAATAAGGGTCCCTTTAAAGCAGGGGAGACATGCAAGGCCATCTTGGAAGCCCCCCAGGGTTGTGCTGCTAAATAAAGGGGGCAAGAGGTGAAGCTCCTCTCCTGAATGGAGCCCAACTAGGGTTGAGGCAGCCCAAGGGCTCTGGACACCAAGCCCACCTCCTCTTCTTACCTGTTCTGGCTTAAGTCCCGTAAAGCAGAACATGCCAATCTGATCAGTGATGTGCTGCCAGTCATGAGAAGAACCTTCCTTCTTGAGATTGGCCACGAGTTGGGTGCGCATGCCGATAATGCGGTCAGCCATTCCCTTCACCTCTGCTAGCCTGCCCAGAGAAGCCAGAAAGGGTGCTCAGCAGCAGGGGGAGAAGATACAGCCCTCCTCCACCTCCACCTGGGTCTTCCCCATTCTGCTCCCCAGGCTCCCCCATCTCAGAACCGAGAAGGAGAAGCAAGCCGACTTGGAAAAAGGTTCTTCCAACCTCCAAAGGCTTGTTTCAAAGTTGAGGCATTTCCGTAAGGACAGAATATTTGGTCCTGAAATCAGTTAGACAACTCCACTTTCCCAGGGTGAAGGAGATTCAAAAGATACCCTAGGCTGGTCCCTGTCACTTGACAAGGCCACCCCACCACTGAGGCCACCCCACCACTGGCGCATCCAGGGGCTCCCTTCAAACCCTTTACAGCTGTGCCAGGAGCAGCCCAGCACATGGTGCTGTGTGGGCACAGCACTCAGTCCTGACAGGGTCTCACCCGAGGCCCACATCTCCAAAGGCTTCTGGCTCCAACGTAGAGCAAAGCCGCAGCTCTGTCAGAAGGTGGCCTCTGCTCCCCCTCCCAGCTCACTTACCATTCCTTTCGCAGATCAGGGCTGTTTAGGATAGTGGAAGCTATCCGAGCCCCATTGAGGGGGGGGTTGGAATACATGGGGCGGATCAGGATCTTGATCTGGGACTCCACTCTCTTGGCTTCATCCAAGTCCTTGCAAATGACAGTGAAGGCGCCCACACGCTCCCCTAGAGACAGAAGCCAAGTCCTACTCCAGCAACACCACCCAGTCCCCCTCTGCAGCCCCTCGGGCCTCCTCCCCTGGCCCGTTGACCAGACAAACCCCTGGCACAGCCCTATTCTGAAAATGATCCATCATCCTCAGATTCTTTCTTCAAGACATGAAGAAAAGTGCCAAACCCTTCCTTTTGCTGCCCCCCAAACAGCAGGAGGCCTTGTGTGTAGAGAGGAACACGGAAGCGCAACTCCCTTTTCTGCTCTATTACACGCAAGGAGGAGTGAAACCTCCCTGCAAGGAGGAGACGGGAGGACAGGGCAGCTGGTTCAAGGTCCGGGCTCACAGACGCACCCCCTCCCGTGCATGAGTGGCCCAGAGGCCTGGGCACTGCAGCCAAGGCAGAAGCAGGCCCTGCCAGATGAAAGCCTTGGCCATCTTTTCCCACAGTGACATCTGTGCAGCCAGACCAGACCAGGCCAGGCCCAAGAGAGAGTGGGCAACTTCATTTAGTTGCACCCTCCATTTCGGGGTGAGGGCTGCGTCTAGTGCGCTGTTGAAACCCAGACCCAATTTAGCAGGTGGAGAGAACCCTAGTGTGGCTCTTGACTGGCTGCATGGGTGCTGCTGTACCCAGATGGTATGAATCGTCCAGCAGACGGACCCAAAGCCCCTGCACCCTCTGTCCTGCAGGCAGGCTCTTGCTAGCCACCTGTTTCTGGGAACAGCCCAAGAGAACCCCCTCCCTTCCCTCAGAGAGGTGGTGTCAAGTCACAGCATCCCCAACTCTCCCGGGGACACCCAAGAAACTCCCCTTTCTAGCCTTTCCTTCCACTCTGAAAGAGGAAGGGCTGAACTGTCCTGGGGGCAACAGACAGGCTTACCGTAGAGGCCCATGTTCTTGGCGTACGACTGGGAGACCACAATGTTAATGCCTTGCTCAATGAAGTGACGGACGGCCCCTGCATCTCGGTTTATATCCCCACTGGCAAAACCTTGATAGGCCATGTCAAAGAAGGTGAAGAGATTCCTTTTCTGGAAAAGAGTTTCCAAGGGCAGCCGCTAAAGCAGAACACCCAACTGCTGGCCTTCCACTTGTATAAGAGGATAGCTCAACAAACAAAGAAGAGTGTGGTCACCCTGCCTGGCCCCACCGCTCACCTTCACCGCTGCCGCCAGCTCCTTCCATTGCTCCGGACGAGGGTCCACTCCAGTGGGGTTGTGAGCGCAGGCATGGAAGAGAATAATGCTCTTTTCTGGAATTTTCTTTTAAAAAGAGGATGTGGGAGAAAGGCATGGATCACGATCCCCTTAAATAAGAACAGTTGAGTAATTTCCCTATTACGAAACATGGACAAACCTCTCTTCTCATTGCTGCAGTTTCGTGCATGGGATAAGAGAGCCCCTGCTGACGGAATGAGCTCCCACATACCATCTTGGCTTTTTAAAAGTGGCTTCAGGACTTCAGCTACAGCCGGCCTTGCCTAACGCTGGGGGTTTGGAGGCTACATTTTCCACACGTGTGACTCTCCCACCCTATATAAGTGTGAACTTACAGAAATGTCCTCCAAAGCTCCAGTGAAGTCAAAGCCGCATGTTTTGGGGTCATAATATCGATAGCTTTGTAGTTGCATTCCGGCATCTCTGAAAATGGGGGTGTGATTCCCCCAGGAAGGCTTGGGGAGGAACACGTCACGGCTGGAGTTGAAGAATCGTTGCTAAACGAAGAAGAAAGGAGAGGCAGATGAGTCGGAGCTTCTAGACCAGCAGTTCTCAACGTTTGTGTGACGGCGACCCCCGTCACACAAACATTATGCACATGCGCGGTGCGCATGGGGGCGGGCCCCCCGCGTGCGGCGCGCATGCGCGGCGCCATCCCCTGGAGGCGCGGCGCCGCCCTCACGCGTGGCGCACATGCGCGGTGCCCCCCGAGGCGCGGCGCCGCCCCCACGCGCGACGCACATGTGCGGCGGCGCCCCCCGGAGGCGCGCCACTGCCCCCACGCGCGGCACCCCCCGGAGGTGCGCCGCCGCCCCCGGAGGGGACAAAATGGCGGATCGCCGCCTTTGGCAACCCCCGGAAAGAGGTCGATCGACCCCAAATGGGGTCGCGACCCATAGGTTGAGAACCGCTGTTCTAGACGGCTCAAGGAGTCCTGTTCTCTCCATTTAAAGACCTCAAATCAGAACTCACCAAGAAGTTGGCTCCAACCCTTAAAGACCCGGTTCCAGAAATTGTCTGCACGGTGACATACTGAAAAGATGCAGACAAGGTATGTGAGACATCCAGATACCAACAAGGAAAAAAAGAGATTGTTGTGGATTAGCAAGCACTGAGCTGCTCTCTATTTTGCAGCTGAAAACCTTAAAGAAGCAGGAAGGGGAGACTAGAATCACCTTCCCTCAGTGTTAATAGTTACAAAGTTGGAGAAGGGAAGTTCCAGAAAACCCACAGGGCCGCAAGTTGTATACCTCTGCTTTGAGGGCAGTCATGCTCAACCAATTGAAAAGAACCATTGCAATTCTCAACTGCTTTTATGATACTAGAGAATATCAATTGAACTTGAGTGAAGTTACTCATCACAAAGTTTCAAGGCCACACAGCCCCTTGCTTGGGGTGATTTAATCTGTGCAATGGGCGGGACTGCATGGTCTCAGTGGGGAATGTGAAAACGGAAACCACTCTTGCGATACAAACAACTCCGAAGGGCCCATTTTTGACTTTGGGAGAGCTAAGGGTTAGTTAATCTCCTAGTTGGTTTCTCAGATACAGCTAACCTGCCTTCTTGTGGACATAGTCACTGTATGTTTTGAGAGATCAAGAGATCACATTAAACTGTAGGATTGATTCGTGGTGGCACATCCAAGCTAAACATAAGGAAAACGTGGAGTTTTAGCATTTTCAGACAAAACTGCACTTGTATGTCCCACATATTACCTCTTCCAACAAATGGAATGAAAGGAGATGGTTCACCTGTTGAAATGCTGCCTCTCTGTGATCTAGAATCTCCAAGTGCTTTCAAAATTAGATGCACTGTCACCGGTGGGTTATACAGTTGCTTTCACCTTTTCCAACAGAATTTCAAAGGCTCAGCTAAGGTCTCTACAGAAGTCAACTCTTCATCCACAAATGATCCAAATCTTGCACAGCAAAGACAGGAATGCACTTGATAAATATTTCATTTGGCTCCTTACCCGGCCACTTTGTATAACCTCATTTGTTTCTCCCAAAGCCAGTTCAGCTGATGCCTTGTTGAAGTCTGCAAACCCAGATATGGGCAAATATTCCTTGTCCATCTTCTTAGCAGCTATCTGGGCTTCTGCCTAGACCATAAAGACATTCAATTTACTTACTGATTTCTCTCACCTGTCAATTGGAAATATTCACCCAATACTTAATTCTAAATAAAGCAGGATTGCAACAGGGAGGAAAGGGAAGTTTGTAGGATTATGAATACAATGTAAAGAAAGAATTAGTCAAATAGATAAGCAGTAACCACTTTTCTAGCTCAGGCCCATTCTGCTGCACCCGTTTCTCATTCCCTTTGTTAGGCTTGCCTTCTGAACTCCCAAGTAGTCAATGCCCATCTGTGGTTGCTTTCCTGACACTTTCAGTGCAGAAATAAATTCAGATTGTGCTGCCCCCTTCTCACATCTGCAAATTTGTCCTCTGAACTTTGTTAATCTGGCAGCAAGATCTCTCAGAAAAGCTGTATCGTCACTTATTCAATGCAAAGCTTGCACCCCATTCATACTTCACTCATTTAAATTTTCATTTCAACTACTGCAAGTTATAAACTACTTCACCAAACCCTTGGCAATAATTCAGCAATTTCTTACAGGCAGATTGAGCATTTGATCAAGCCATTCCACCAGTCTAATTCAGGCTTCTATAGGTCTTAAGTGAGAGAGTTCACGCTGCTAAAAGACAGCTATAGTGACTCTGGTCAAGATGGGACAAGCCACACCAGGTCTCTGCATTAGATTCCATCATTTAAAGGCTATAACCCTTTTGTCTCTGCCTGACTCATGCACCAGTTCAGCCACGTTTAATTCATTTGGCAGCCCGAGGCAAGAGAGAACTTAAGAAGAGCTCCTGCCACCGGTGGTCTGTCTTTTGCCCACCCGCCTGGGCCATCGGGAAACGGGCCAAGTTAGAAGCCATTCAAATGCAGCCTCACTAGGACCAGAGTCCAACCGCCCCCATTTAACCTCCGGCCCCGTCAGACAGGCGGGGGAAAGCCGCTTACTTTGCGCACACAGCCGAGCACGAAGGGCTTCCCGTTGTCATCCCGGTAAGCCCCGACTCCCAGGTTCATCTTCTTGGGGCTGGTGTCCCTCTTGAAGGCCTCCGTCACCCCCAGAATAGGGTCGGGGGGGCCCATCTCCACGTGGGCCCACCAGGAGCTGCAGCGTCCAGAAAGGAGCGGTCGGGCCTTTGCAAGGGACGCCGGGGATGCCCAAGGACGGGCAGCCAGCGCGCTCGCCCAAAAGGCACCGCCGGCAGGAGCGACAGGCGTCAGCCCACCCACCCCCCCGCAAGCCGAGGCCTCTCCAGGCTAGCGCGGAAAAGAGCAGCGCTCGGCCTGCAGATCGCACGGAGGGCCGCCCGCCGGAAGAGCAGGGAGCCGGGCGCTTTACCGCAGAGCCCCGGTGAGGCCGGGGCGAGGCAGGCCATTGCCGCGACGTGCCAGGGACGCTGCGGGCGGAGCAGCGGGGACCCCCATCCGGCGAGGGGCGGAGCGCTCCCTGCGGCCGGGACGGGGCGGCGAGAGACCACGACCCCCTTCCCGACGCGCCTCCGCTCCAAGGGCGCAGAGGCCGCCAATCGGAGGCCGCGCAGGCGTTCACGCCCCCCGAACCACCCAATCGTAGCCCTCCGTCTCGCCACGGGCTCCGCCGAAGGACAAAAAGGGGTCGCCCGGCTTCGCCCCTCCGAGGCCGACCGGCTCCTCTCGGCCGCGTTCCGAGATGCCGAAGCCGTTACCTGGCTCGGACCGCGAGGGCGGCCACGCGGGGAGGCAGGAGCGAGCGGCCACCGGAGCAGAGGAGCGCCATGGCAGCGGAGCAGGCGACGTGATCCTGTGAACCTCCTGATTCCCGGAGTCGGAAGGGGCGGGGCTTGATCTGCTTTGGGCAGAAGTCTCGACGTCCCGACGTTTCGCGCACGCGCAACTCATTGGGCTGCCATTGAGGGTTGCTGGTGCTGCCGGCGGCCTCTCGTTTCACCGATGAATTTCGGGGATGTCGGCGGGCCTGGCGCACCCGGGTCAAAGGGGGCGCGGTCCCCTCTCCTCAAAACAGACACTCCCTTGGCAGCTGCTGGCTGGTCCTCTGGGGCGAAGGAGGGCCTGAGGCCAACTTGGAGTCCCGGGACCAACCACATCTCGGGGAAGAGAGATGCAGATCTTTCTCCAAAACCCCATGAAAGGCCTAGCTTTCCGAACAAACCCCCCCCCCATGGCAGAAGGGCACTATAAGAAATTGGTTACACGTGGGGAGAGGATCTATTTTAGGAAGAGATCTGCAATAAGAGATCATCGGATCTCTTTGGGGGAGGGGCAATCACAAACACACGGGGAAACAACTTGCTGGGAGTAAAGAACCCTTTTCTTTATCTCACCATCTTTTATCCTGTTGCAGACCAGTCATCCAAAGGGCTCTGTCTGGGTGTGTGGCAGGAAGCAGCTTCCCTACCCCCCAGGTGGAATATTCCCCACTCCCCAAAATGAGGCACTGCCTCCATCTGGACTTCTGAAAATATCTCAAGAACTGCCTTTGCCATTTCGCTTGGGGGGGGGGGCATGGAGAAGCTGCAGCCATGAGGCTGGTTAGTGTCCCCAAAGCCCTCCCCCTGCCTTTTCATTTACTTTTCCTGCAAATTTTAAGTATCCTTGCCTTCATTTTAAATTTTTATATTATTTTTCAAAATCTGATACTTCAATCGATTTTTTCCGGGAGCAAGAGATGCTGTCAGACACACACACACACACACACACACACACAACCGCCCCCTGCAGTATGAATAAGAAATCTATAGGCAAAGGAGGCCTCTGACTTCCAAGTCTTTGAAAATTAAGCAATATTGTGTAGATGCATTATCTATTTATGTAAAAATAATTTATCTGTACAATTTTCAACCTAACGCACTCCTTAGTGAAGGAGATGAGCCAGTCCTTTGTTGGACAAGTACACAAGTGCAGCTTGAGCAGGGCTGAAGCTCCCAGCTGTTCTGCTCCTCTGGCTGCCATGCTTGGCCTGCCGTTTCTCTAGGGCCCATTCAGCTCCTTGCCATTGGTCTTCATCTTCTTCTTCTTGGGCTTGGCCTTGAGGCAGTCCTCCCCCACCTGGCTCTTCTCTGTAGCAGCCCCTGTTTTTCTTCTTTTGCGTTTCTTGGCTTGCGGGTCAGGGCAGCCACTGGGGGCCATCCCCAGCCCATCCTTCCACTGGACAGAGCTAGCCAAGAAAGCCTTTTCTTGCTCTTCCAGCCGCGCGAGCTTTGCCCTCATCGTGATGCCATGCCGAGCACCCCTGGAGAAGCAGCAAAGGCGAGACATGAGGCCGAGCCCGTCTTGATGTTGCTGACCTAGCCTGGCAACAGCATAGGAGCGGCTGGATTAAGGAAGACTCATTTCCACTGAAGAGCCACAGGGGCAGGGAGATTCAGCCGCCCTCTCCTGCCCCTTCTGGGAACTTCAGTGGGGGCCCTGCAGTAGCCAGGCCAGCATGACAGCCAACACCACTTGGTAAACCCCACCCCCGGCAAGCCCTGGGTCACTAGGACAGAGGCCTGCTCGATCGGTTCAGAGGGTCTGCCTGTACTTGTTGCACCACAACTCATGCAGCACTGCCTGGCACTGGGCCTTCCCCCAAAACCTGTGTCTAGGTCCATCCTCCCCTGCTTGCTCACTTGTGAACTGTTCTTCCCCCACAGGCCTGGAACAGCTCCTGGTCAGTCAGCCTGCAAAAGACAGAAGGGGGGGAGAAACCAACCTGATCAGCATTTGCATGGCTGGGGTGGGACAGGAGCTGGGTTTCTCCAGGCCCCTCCTCAGCCTTACCTGCTTGCTGTGGCAAGGTCCAGTTTCTCCTCCTCCTGCTCTACGGAGGACATGGGGTTCATAGGCTCCTCTGTGCCAGATATCAGGGTAGCTGCCTGCAAGGAGGGCAAATCAGACGAATCTCTGGCACTCTGCCCACTACCCAGGAAAAGCTCCATCCGGAGGGTCTCCCAGGCATCTGTACTCCACCACAGCCCCTGTCACCTTCACAAAGCGGCTGTAGAGCATGTTTCCCTCCTTGGCTCGCCATGGCTTCGTACTGGTGACTGGCCCCTCTCGCTCAGAGGTTTTTCTCACTTGGACCCCATCCTGGGGGAGGAATGAAAGTTCAGAAGTGCGGCTACACCCAAACAAGCCTTTCATGTCCTGTCATTTGTGAAACGGACTGGAGGTTATTTACCTGCAAAGATGATATTGGTGGAAACCCCAAGGACTTTTGTACATATTGGCTTGCTTCACAGAAAAGATAAACTATACACAATGGTCAACAAATGTGATAGCTGTGTTCAATTGCTATGTGTTATGTTCAATTCAATAAATTTATTTTTTCCTCCAGAAAGTGAAGAGGAACTAAACAGCCTCTTGATGCGGGTGAAGAAGGAGAGTGCAAAAGTTGGCTTGAAACTCAACATTAAGAAAACCAAAATCATGGCATCCGGCCCTCTCAATTCCTGGCAAATAGATGGGGAAGAAATGGACGTAGTGACAAGATTTTATTTTCCTGGACTCCAAGATCACCACAGATGGGGACTGCAGCCAAGATATTAAAAGACGCTTGCTCCTGGGGAAGAAAGCTATGGCAAATCTAGACAGCATACTAAAAAGCAGACACATCACCCTGCTATCAAAAGTGTGTATAGTCAAGGCCATGGTTTTCCCAGTTGCAATGTATGGCTGTGAAAGTTGGACCATAAGAAAGGCTGAGCACCAAAGAATTGAGGCCTTTAAACTATGGTGCTGGAGAAGACTCCTGCGAGTCCCCTGGACTGCAAGGTGATCAAACTGGTCAGTCCTAGAGATCAACCCTGACTGCTCTTTAGAAGGCCAGATCCTGAAGTTGAAACTCAAATACTTTGGCCACCTAATGAGAAGGAAGGACTCACTGGAGAAGGGCTTAATGCTGGGAAAGATTGAGGGCAACAGAAGAAAGGGACGACAGAGAACGAGGTGGCTGGATGGAGTCACTGAAGCAATAGGCGTGAGCTTCAATGGACTCCAGAAGATGGTAGAGGACAGGAAGGCCTGGAGGAACATTGTCCATGGGGTCGCGATGGGTCGGACACGACTTCGCAATTAACAACAACATTTTTACCTCAACAACCAAAGCTTGTAGAAAAAGATGTGCTCAGGGAGGGATCCCTGAAGTGTTTTTCCCTGGCTATAGCCTTTTCAACTACCAACAGAAAGAACCGGCATTTTTTTAGTTTATATGACTCTTCTGGCTAGGGAAAGTCCTAGAACAGGAGTCCTCAAGCTATAGCCCGCCTTGTCTTTTTATCCAGGCCGCTGGTCTAGTGCAGCACAGGACTTGTGGGAGGATAGAACGAGCTAAAGCGGCGCAGTGCAGGACTTGCCTTGAGAAAGTCAGCAGGAGCTGCAGGGCTTCTGGGCCCAGATAAAGGCCCCAGGATCGGCACTTCCGGCACACCCAGAAGAGAAAGGAGGAGGAGGGCGGAGAGGGAGGCTATAAAAGCAGGCAGTTTTGGCAGGAGAGTGAGAGAGAGAAAAGACGCAACCTTGGGAAGGGGAGTCAGCTGGAGTTGCACCAAAGAGAGAAGGGAGGGGAGAGCCGAGGAGATAAAACAGGACAGCCGGTAGCTGATCTATAACTTTGTGGCAGCCATCTATGTCGGGTGCGCACACAAGTTGCAGCGAAAAACAGGCAAGAAACGCAACTGAGCAGGAGTCACCCTCCACAAGGAATGAAGAAAGGCACCATCGGCTGGAGGTGACCAGCAATTGGCCCTTGCCCACTTCACACCGGGCTCTGGTGGAGGGGACGCCGTTAGCGGAGTGAGAGTCGGCATCTGCCGCCCAGCCCCCAGCCTGCCCGGTTTCGGCAGGCAGTACTGTGCTCTCCTCTCAAGCCCAGCCAGTGCCCCCTTACCTGCCCAGCGTCTACTGTAATGTTGGCAACAGATGAGTTGAACAGATGGTCCCACCAGTGGAAGGTGAACTCCTTAGCTGAGTCGTGCCCCACCTGGGTAAGGAGGAGGCAGGGTCACAGATCTGGCCTACAAGCTTCAAATGCTCCCAAGTCATTAAGAACTTTCCAAGCTTGGAAGGAATCCTAAAACAAGGAAGTAACTGTCCACCACCCACCTGATTCTCTAGTGTGCCTCCAGTTGGTCCCCACTCATCTAACCGGGAGTCCCATGCTAAACATAGATAATTCTCTGCAGACTTTAAATAAAATCTGGACATGGTCCAATAAGCAAGTGCAAAAGCATTTTATAACTCAAGAATATGAAACTACTGATCCTCAAGGCTGGACTATACTTATTTGGGTAATCCTGGAAGGCAAGAACATGCTTAGGAATAGACAAAGTGGGCCCTGAATGCTACATAGGACAAAAGGCTGGCTTTGCTCAAAAGAGGCAAGGCAACTTCTGGAAAAATGCTTTCAGTTTCACTGTCTCTCTAGGCTGCTTCCACTGCTTGGCTCACAGTCTAACCCTTCCTTACCCCAGCTGTGTTGCATTTCATTTTGACTTTTAGGGCTTCAGCGATCCCATTTTCTTGCTTTCCAAGTCCTTTACCTAAAAGAAAACAAAACATTCCTTCCTCTTTTTCATTAAGAAACATATTGAAGTAAACCTAAGAACAAATTGCAGCATCTCCTTTAAGGAACCAACTCTGAGCATGATTTCTGAGCTAGACCTACAACTGATCATAACTGGGACTGGTATTTCCATTGCTGTGTGAGGCTAGTCATGAACCCAAGCGAGGCAAACTTAAACAGGTGAAGCCCTGCACCTTTTTTCCATCCATGCTTCTTCAACTGCTTCTTTGCAAATGTCAGCCCTTTGCTTGTCGTCACTGCCATCCTCTTCTTTTTCTTCTTCTCCTCTTTCAGGAAATCAGTCTTCATGATTGAATTGGATAAGCACCCAATGAAAATCTCTAGTTCTAAAGGCAGATGAATCCTTATTCTGCCTCCATTATCACCAGCTGTTGGAAAGAGAAACACATCCTGTTAGGGAGAGGCACTCAGTTCTAGAGTTGTAATATGCAGCCACATATGATGGGATCTTAAGCCAGAAAGCCTAAACAACATAAAGTCTCTTTATTCCAAGAACGAAACAGCAAACACCAGGGATTGGACTTTGTTTTAAGAACTGTAAAATATGATGTATCCTTCACTCATATAGAAGCCAGAGGTTGACGGTTCCTGGTTTAAAGAAAAGTTGTCCTGTACAAATCTAGGAGGAAAAGATTTGCATTTTTTCTATCGCCCAGTTCCCAAGCAAAGCAAATGGCAAAAATGAGCCTTGCAGTCTCCCGTTATCGTCTCTCACAGACACAAGCTAGCCCTCCTTTATTTTTTGCTGAACTTAAGGCAGCCTCCGGAGGGAGAGAGAGAGAGTCGGAGACCGAGACCCAAAGGAGGAGAGAACTCAACATCAACATCCGGACAACCCGTGGGGGGTTCTGAGCGTATTTGCAGTTCAGCCGGCATCAACCTGCGATTCTCTCCGCGCTGCTGCCGGAAGAACCCCGCCCGCGTCCTGCGAGGGATGCCAGGCATCCATCCTTCCCAGCCAGCAAGCGGCCTCCGGCGGCGGATGGCAGCTGAAGTCTTGCCCGTCCCTGCCCACCGCTGGCCCCAGCCCGGGCCCGGCGCCCGGCAGCAGCTACCCCGCCTCACCCGCGCTCGGCCGCGCCTCTCCCCGCCGATTGCTCTCCCACTGGGGCTGAGGTTTCCCGGAAGGACGGGCCGGGACTGCGGAACCGCCTTCTGATTGGACTGTCAAAGGGATTCTGCCAAAAACGAGTCTTTGGATTGGCTGAAAGGACTAGAAGATGCGATAGGCCCGAGAGAAACCTTCTCATTGGCCAGACACTCCAGCACGCCCGAAATAAGCTCGCCTATTGGATCCATGTTGTGCGGAGACTTGGCGGGCGGGCGGTCCCTGAGGGATCGCGCGGTTGGAGCCGCAGAAAATGGCTGCCTCGGCTCCAGGGCGCGGCATGGCGGGTAAAGGCTCGCTCGGCCGGTCCTCCCGTCCCTCACGCGGTGGAGTTTGACCCCCGTGCCCTGGTACTTTAAAGCATATGCTATAGTTTCCCCTAAGTCCAGAAAATGTTTACGTTAGTATTTGATCAATCTTTCTGTGTGACAAACTTGCTGCCTTAGGAATGGTTCAGTTGCTTTGTTGTAAGATACATCTTTTCATTTTTGTTTCACTGTTTATTAAAGTGTTTTCATAGTATTTTCATTTTCTTTCATTTAGAAAAAAAAAGAATGATGCTTGTTCGACTTCGGTGTCGTTCCAAATTCCAGCAAGACGAGACATCTGCCAGGAAGTTTCAATAGTCTGATTCTGTTGAATGATACTCTAATTACATTGGAAAGGCAAATAATTTTAGGAATGTTTCGTTGTTATAGTAATGTTGAGGCCAAGCTAGCTGTACCTCAGGCAACCTGAAAAGGTTCTTGTAGGAAGACCAGCTCTGCTACCAGATGAGCCAGGAGCTGTTGATGCCTTGTTAAACTTAATGCTGGTGAGCAACTGGAGAAACAGAACGGCATTTCTGCCCTGCCATCTTTCCTTAGCAACTGGTTGCCATCATGACCTCATTGATGCAGCAAGTTCTCATTCATTTCCATCATATCCACCATAGCTCCAAAACACCCTCCCTGCCATCTTTTGCCCAGGGGCAGCTGCTGCGCCTTTCTCGTCATTTTGGCTGCTCTCTTCCAGCTTTACAACCATCTCCTATTTCTCTGGTAAAGGACAAAACTGCACACCATTCTTCAACAGCAGTCAAACCACAGGGCCATACAAGGGCTTTCCTAGGCAGAAGTTCCTAATGATTCCTGGCATAAAATTACTTGGCAGCCACACCCTGAGCTGACATTTTCATCACCATGATTTCCAAAACCCCATTCCTTTCAATGCACCAAATATGCAATGTTCAGATCCTTTTCAGCTTTATACTGCATAACATTATGGAAGAATTTCAGCAATCTGAATATTCATAAATGTCTTAGCATGAAGTTCCTGAAGATTGCAAGGTATGTAAAGCACAGTAAATGTAGCAGTAAGTGTTTAGCAAGGAAGCAGGATTTAAAGGGAAGTAGTTTTCACATATAGACCAGGGGTGTCAAACTTGCAATGTCACGTGATGTGCCACGACATATCGTGACTTTTTTTCCATTGCTGGAATGGGCTGGGCGTGGTTTCAGCATGACGCATCCAACCCATGAGCCAGCAGTTTGACACCCCTGGTATAGAGTGTCAGAGTTAATTGTAAAAGGAAGAGATTAGAAAGATTGTTAGAGGCAGTGGAAAGTTTTGTTGTGCAGCACAAGTCTGACCCACTTATTTTTGTCTTTGCGGTTTCTCTGTAATTGACTACATTCTCACACATTTATGGTTTCTTGTTGCTTAATTATAAATTCAGCATTTTGTATTTTGTTTCATATTTTGTCCCAAATTGTGGGTGCTCAATCACTGGAGTTTTTCAGGAAGAGATTGGACAACCGTTTGTCTGGAATGATATAGGGTCTTCTGCTTGAACAGGGGGTTGGACTAGAAGACCTCCAAGGTCCTTTCTAACTCTGTTATCCTGCATTCTGTGTCCCTTGTTTTCAAAGTCCTGCCCATGGAGTGTTACTAAAGATGTCCACATGTTCTGGTGTTGCAAACTCATAATAAATCTTGGAGACCAAAGGACTATCATGTTCTGCTTGAACAAACAGAGCAAAGCTCAACTTGAGAAATCACAAATTAGATGAACATTCTCAATTTCTGTTTTATGGATTTTTCTTTTATAAGATCAACCCTTTGGCTTTTGGCTGGAATGTATGTCTAGTGTAATGAAGAGAAGGACTAAGGGTGACATAGTAACTGTTCCATCAACTGATGCGAGCAAGCTGGTTCCCTGAATCAACTGCCCATCGGTTGAAGGAACAGCTGTTCCTTCACTAGGAGCAAGCGCAGGAGATTAAATCAAGCCAATTTTGGTCTTGCTTCATCCCCTCCCAGCCTTTTGAGCTTTTTCTCCCTTCTTGGTTTCCAGTAATGTGGGAGGGACAACAGGACCAAGTCAGAAACATGATACAGAAATAGAAAATGCAGCCTGCCTTCTTTGAAATTTAACACTCAGAGGTTGAAGGTTGCAGTATTTCTGTTTATAAACTCCCACTTGCCCTTCTGCTGGTATTTCAGGCTCTGAGCACTAACCAGAAATGAAGCTGGTCTGGTGGCTATCCCTCCTGGTCTTTTGGGACCCATCTCTGGCAGATAGAGGTAAGATTGAAAAAAATTGATCCTCTTGCAAGGACCAAAAATGGAGAAAAACCTGTCATGCCAGTAAAATCTGTCTTTGAGGCATTGATTTTGAGAACTTAATCCTGTTTTTGTCAATGTGCAGCCCTTGATGAAAAATGTAGACTTGCATAGAAGAGCATCTGCCTGATTAAAGTTTTTAATATTAGAATAGAATAAGAATAATAAGAATTAGGATAGAACTAGAACAGAATGGAATAGAATAGAGCTGGAAGGGACCTTGGAGATCTTCTAGTCCAGCCTCCCGCTCAAGCAGGAGCACTTATACCATTTCAGACAAGTGACTTTCTAGCCTCTTCTTAAAAGTGCCTTTTCCTTGCACAGGGGAAACTCCTGGCCCTCCCCGGGTCCTCACCCCAAACGGAGAAATCCAAGGGCAGCGGATCAGAGTGAGAGGAGCTGAAAGAGAGGTGGAGGTTTTCCTTGGAATTCCCTACGCAAAACCCCCTGTTGGGTCTTTGCGGTTTTCCCCTCCGCAGCCGGCAGAACCCTGGACTGGTCTCAGAGATGCAACCTCTTATCCGCCCATGTAAGTCAAATACATTTTGCCAGGCCAGATATGGTGCTTCCCTCTTGGCGTCTGATCACAAAGGGAGGACTGATAATCATCTAGAAAGGACTTTGGCTCTTAGGTCATCATCAGGAAGGATTGCCAAAGAATTGTAGGGGGGAAAGAGTGCCCTCTCCGTTTTCTTCATGAAACTTGAATTTCCTGAATGGCAAGTTGAGGGAGGGGATATGGTTGCACAGAAGTTTTCCAATCCCCACCTTTTCTTGTCTTCTGAACACCTTTACGAAACATGTTAAATCAAGTGGATTCTTTCAACACCATTCCCCCTTTTTATTCTTATTTTTATTCCACGGACGATGAGCCAACAACATTCCCTTTGTCCCCACCCATAGACGTGATAACTAGGCAACTTTTTCAGCAGCGATCTTCCCGCACATCCATTTGTATTTGTGGCTGGCGGTTTGAGCAAAATCCTTTCTTGCAAAGGATCCCCTTTTCCAAACATGTCAACTGTCTTTTCAGAAAAGAAAAACAATAACAAAAAACCAAATCAGGGCTGAAAGAAGAGCAGACAGAAGGGAAATTTCTAAGCTCCTTGGTTTTTTTTCCAAGAAAGGAGTACATTGAAATTATTTCAGAAGCAGAAAAGCTTAGACAGGGGTCCCCCAACTCTGAGCCATGGCCCTGTACTGGGTTGCGGCCCATTTGGAACTGGGCCACATGAGTGGCAGGTGAGAGACGCTGCTCCATTTGAGCAAGCGGGCACAGAAGGCTGGAAAATTTGGGGACCCTTGACTTAGATGATGACTCAAGTCCTCTTAGGCAACCGCAGACCCCCAACTCTCTTGGTAGTTCAGATCCTGAAGGCCCTTCTGCTTGGTCTCTACAAGGTGCCTGCAGGATCCGCTGGTGGGACAAGCTCTCTCGGATGCCTTGGCTAACACAGAGCGAAGGGTCTCTTTGCGCATCAGCGAAGACTGTTTGTACCTGAACATCTACGTGCCCGCCCAGGCTGATAAGGCAGAGCAGTTAACGGTAAGCAACTTTCTTGTTTCTAGGTTTGATTTGGCCCCACAGCCTAAGGTGAAATCAAGTAGCATTCAATACTGTTTATTGATATTGCATCTAAATCTACTTTTATTCCATTTTATACAATAAATATCTCAATTGTCTGCATATGCAGAAGGGGCTTCTAAGTCACTTCTCACCTTACAGAGAGTCACTTCCATTGCCCTGTTGCATTTTGCTTCCAGGTGATGGTCTGGATCCATGGTGGAGGACTACTGCTGGGTGCAGGGTCCACATACGATGGGTCTGTTTTGTCTGCTTACGAAAATGTGGTGGTGGTGGTGATCCAATACCGCTTGGGCATTCTCGGGTTTTACAGGTAAGCTGATATAGTCATTTTCATCTTCAACTGGATGATAGCTCACCCCTCTCATCTTTGTTTTAATGCTATCTTTCCTCTAAAGAGTTTAAGGCTCAGGGAAATAAAAGTCCGGGTGGATATTTAAACTATGTGCATGATAAGTGTACATAATAGAGAGCAAACCCTGGGGATTGATTGATTGATTGATTGATTGATTGATTATGTGCCATCAAATTGGTGTCAACTCATAGCAACTACATAGGTTTTCTCCAGGAGGATTCATTCTCCGTCTGGTCCTGAAGGCCTTTCAGTGGCGGCTCCACTGCCTTTGATCAAAGCTTGTATCCCCTTGTTGCTGGTTGTCTTCTTCTCCTTACTCAAAACTATAAACATCTTCTCAGAGCTGGATCACGTGTGTGTGATTGTTTCAGCCTGGACCTTTCTGCCTTGCATGAGAACTCCAGATGGTTCCTTCCTTTCCTATGTGCTCAAGGTTGCATTTGCCAAGAGTATTGTGTGCCAATCGATGCCATACAGTAGATCGGCTGAGGCTGCCTTGATTCTAAGCCATCTTAAGGAAGTCTTGTCCAGACGGTGGCCTTGCAAGTATTCAGATGGAGCTGCAAGTGGCCATATGCTCTTGCCGGGAAATTTGCTGCTGCTGGGTTCTCCCCCTTTTCCATCCCAGGAAAGCAAGGGTTGGAGAGTCGGGAGTTTAAGCAAGTTCCCCAAAAAGGAAGTTAATGGCTGGCTCCAATCTTTGTTATGTAATTGTTTGCATACGTTAAAGTAGAAGGATTCTAATAATATGCCAAACTTCCAGCCTTTCATAAACCTGGAGTGAAGAAGGCTAAACATTACACCAAACGCAGCATAATGACTGACTGGTATTCAGAAGCTCATGTTGGGCATAGTCCCATCCAGCTATATTTTTAATGGTGCTCCTTACAGTTTTTTAACTTTGACAGGGCCCCAAACTGGAAAGCCTGGCCTGTGCCTCCCCTAGTGTAAAATGGGGGCCCTGAAGTGGCTAAATTGGCCAGGGAGCCTATTTTGCTTACCCAAAGCTCCGTTCCTCCATTCTACCCTGGGAGAGCTCCCATGCTTTGTACCTGAAGAGAAGGTGTTGGGGGCTTGTTTATTATTATCACCCTCGGGCCTCTTGGAATCCTTTCCTCCCCTGAAAAGTGGGCTGCATCTGCACATGAGCACCTATTGATACAAGTTGGATCCAGAGAGGCCAATCTGGCATGGTAAGTTCCTGAGTGCTAGCTGAGCTATTGACTGTAAACCTCTGACCCAGATTTGCCCGTGTTTTAGCCCTGCAGAGCAGGTAAAGGGTATGTTTACTCATACTGTGAATGTTTGAAGGCCAAAAGGGAGAATGGTCTGGCTGCAGAATGCCTGGATCTCCTCTGCATCCATAATTCCTTGCTTCTCCTTCTCCCCCAGCACTGGAGATGAGCATGCTCGAGGGAACTGGGGCCTGCTGGATCAAGTGGCAGCTCTGCAGTGGATCCAGGAGAACATTGCAAATTTTGGGGGTAATCCAGGATCAGTTACCATATTTGGGAATTCAGCAGGTGGATTCAGCTCTTCTGCCCATGTAAGTTCATGTCCTATTTCACTTCTAGTAATTCCCATAATTTTTGGCCTATCTGTAATGGCTTGAGACAAGGTTACTGTCAGATCTGCCACAAAAGTCTAAATAGGAACGATCCTTGGCTCCCTTTGTTGAGAAAGATATAGTTTTATTAGCCATCAAGTGAATGGCAGTATTGCAAGGTCAGAACTGAAAATCCCCGAGTTCTACATTTCCCTCCCTTAAGAGTCTCTCGTTGCTCTCTCCAGTGCCACCAATCCGGTTCAGGCAGGATGTTTTCCCAACAGGTCAGTCCAGGTGTAGTTTGGTATGCGGCCCCTCCTCCTTCCAGCTGGGTTACCTTGAGGCAGCATCTTGGGGAGATACAGCACTTACTTTCCTTTCCCCAAGCATTTGCCCCCATCGTTCCCCCCCTACCCACGGTTCATGGCAGTCTGTCACCGCATAGCAGTGGAGCACAAGCAAGCCTAAGGTGGCAACTGACAGTTGTAAATTATTATGTATTGTATAACGACTTCTTGCTTGTATTAACAATAGGAATTCAATGCAGCAATGCTAAGAGAATAATTTAAAATGCAACTTTTCGTAGATTAACAAAGCATGAATGTAAGGACCTACCTCAGCTAAGCCACCCAAGAAAGCAAAACTCTTGAAACAGGCATTGTCTCAAAAGGAAACTGTTATTAGGGGCTAGTGACAGCAGGGAATCAAGGCGAGATCTGAGAGAAAAACCCAGGAAGCATTATATTAAAAGTAGCATTCAATACTCCTCCCCCCAGAGTCCCAGTGTTCATTTGAATCCCAGCCAATCCACAGGTGGCATCATGTTTTGGTAACTGTGGGCTCCTCAAGGTCTTTCTCACTTTTGCTCTAAGCACAAACCGTCTATCAGATAAGGGTGAGACATTCCATGCCCTGGGGAGGGGGGAGGAGGGAGAAGGGCAACAAGGCAGACAGTGCAAAGCTTTCCCAAAAGCTCCCCCCTCCCAACAAAATGGCAGGCCACATAGGAAAGCTACAAATATTAAAATAAAATTAAAAGACAGTTTCTTTGGGGACCTGACATGAATGAATTGTAAAGACTTTAAAAAGTAATGTGTGAATGAGTGACTTTGGCATTGCAGGGCTTTTTGTACAGTTAACACTTGAAGCAAATTGATTTGATAACCTTTTGCCAAATACAATCAGGGCAATATCAGTACAATTATTGGGTGATGCAATGGATTGATTGAAAAAAGTGGCTCTTGCTTTCCTCCCTGGCCAGGTGTTATCCCCTCTGTCCAAAGGTTTGTTCCACAAAGCGATTTCGGAAAGTGGTGTTGCCATAATGAACTTGCTGTTCGATGCCCATCCAGAAAAGCTGGCTAAGGTGAGGTTTGGAAGAGCAAGGCAGTAATTGCTCTGGATCTGGGAATCTTTTCTCCGAGGGAAGATGAAAAGAAGAAGGAGACATGTAGGAGAAGGGGGTTCCCCTGGCCTCCCGAGGTTTTTCTGGAGCAAAGCAGCTGGGGTACCCTAGCTGTTCCCTAGGGCCACTGGAGAGTTGGAGAGGCAATATGTGTGCCTGCTCCATTACATGTCCATTAGTGTCTGATATCATCTTCAGCCAGATGTTTCTAAACACCTGCAGAATTATTTGTTTCAAGCTTACTGTTGGAATACAGATAAATTGAAGCATGCTTTTAAATCATTTTACTTTATTGGCTTTGAGCCCAGTTCAGATAGGCAGCCAGAACAGCCTTCCTCCCTCTTCCTTAAAAGACATCCGGCACCTTCAATGTTCCAAACGCTGGATGAGGAACTATTGCAGGATGACCTGCTTCTTATTATTAAAACTGAATTGTTGGTCTGGATTGCAGAAAATTGCTGAATCCATTAGCTGTCCTACATCCAGTTCCGCTGAGATGGTTCGTTGCCTCAGGGGGAAAACAGAGAGTGATATCTTATTGGCTACCCTGAAGATGGTAAGGAGGCCCCTGCTATACACTGTGGTCCTTTATAGAGAGGAGGAGTGAGGGGTTGGTCCTCATCTTGTCAAACTATGAGCTGGTCTGCCGGTGTGGCCAGCTGTCACAATGGTGCTGTAGAAGCCCCACTCGTCTCCTGTGTATGCTCTGTGAAGCTGCCATCACACACCAGGGGCACCAAGATGGCCTTGCGAAAAGACCCCTTTCCCTTCTTCTGCTGATCACCTCAAGCAGGTCCTGCAGGCTTCACAGAGGGGCTCCTGACAGCACCCGCCGCCTCTGAATGAAGACCCAGCTAGGTGGCAGAAGACCCAGCAGACCTCATTGCTGCCCATTTCTTTATCAAGGACAGTTTGGGGGGGGGTGTTCCATGGCTGTGGCTGTTGTGGTGCTGGTGGGGGCGGGGGCAGTGGAATTAGGTTCAAAATCATTTCATGTCATTCAGTCAATTGAGAATCATACTTTTTCTAGATTACGTATAAAGAGCAGTGATCATAAAGTGTAGACAGAGGAGGCGCTCCTATTATTTCCCACAAGGCTGATGCAGGATCTTCCTCTGGAGCTCTTCACCCTCCACTGACCTGCTTCCTATTGTGTTTGCAGGATTTTACCCGGCTGCATCTGGGTGGAGAAGAACAGGTGAGTCGAGCACTTGCTTCACCGAAGGGAGGCCGGAAGCAACGGGATGATAGACCTCCTCCATCAAGAAGATGCTCCCAGCAAATCTAAAGTAGACCAAACCTAGAAATCTCCTTTTCACCAGAACGGGAGAAATGCGGAAATGCTTTTCAGGAAATCAGCTGTGGGGAGGCGACTGAATAACAACATTGATAGTGTATATTCTTCCCACATCCAGGGGAGCTTTTTCTATAGCAGGAGCTACTCTCCCTTGCAGGACCAGCCCCATTCCGCCTGGCCAAATAGGGCAGAGTCAAGCGGATGCGGGCATCTCCCTATTCAGGAGAGGCTCAGATGTTGGCCAGCTTCTTCCGTCCAGTGAGAAGCAGAGGAGTTTTCTCCGTGGATTTGCCAAATTTCCCTCTGCCTTTCTTGCCTCGTGGTGTCGCCGAGCAACCTTTGCTTCCAAGGCTGTGGCCAAACTGGTGCTTTGTTTCAGGCCCCCTTTGAAGATCTAAGCCTCTTTTGGGGAGTGTCCAGATCAGGAGTGCCTGCAGGGCCTGGTGAAAAAGGTCAATAGAATTGCTGTCTGGTCTTAACATGCCTGACACATCTGGACTTTTGTGACCACCCCCTTCACATGCTCCCACACCTCCCCTAAATTCTGCCCAGTCTAGCAATCCAGAGAAGCATCAACTCTCCCAGCTGCATCTCCTCAAGCAAAGCTAGAAGAGTGGTGGTGATGTCCCCCCCCTTTTCCGGGGAATCCCAGGGTGCCAATGAAATCAAACTCCATCAAACCAGTTACAACATTTTAAAACTGTCATTGTATACAGAAATTAATAATCTCCCATTTCTACTGACCATAACTTAGGAGGGGTTTATTGTGTTTTCCTTGAAAATAATATTTTAAAAGATGTTAAACTGATCTCTTTTTTCTCTCCAGCATGTTATCCTTTTCCCTGCAGTCGTTGATGGTCAATTTTTTCCGAAGAGTCCCAGGAAGCTCTTAGCAGAAAAAAACTTCCATAATGTTCCATGCATCCTTGGGGTCAATAAAGATGAATTTGGGTGGATTATTCCTCAGGTGGGCTTTTTCCCTTTGTTGATGAAGGTCTGCCGCCGCCTTTTTAAGTCTGCCCTCCTGACTGCGCTCAAAATTAACCATTTGGTTTTACTCTGTCTAGCTTCTCCAGTTCCCAGACTTCACGAAGGGGCTTGACAAAGACACTGTGAACCTTCTGCTACGCATCACAGAGCAACTCACAGTAAGAGGACTTTCTCTGTATGGCTGAATTCATCACCAGCCTCAGACATGCCTGCTTTCTCTCGGATTCCCCTGGAATTCAGCCCTGGGGGCAACAGATTTTGAGGGGCTTTGTGCCCAACCATGCTAGGAGAGGAGCAGCTCCTGAGGACTTCTAGCCTGGGGAGCAGGGAGGGAGCCAGGCCCATTAGGGAAAGACGGGAACAGGGGATGAATTTGGTCCTTGTCTAGTTTTCTTTACTTCTCTTGGTTTTACAGAACGCTGACAAAAGCCATTCTCTAGACAGCTGTGCTTTCCAGGAAGCTGTCCTTGGAAACCTGAAAGCCAGTGTGGCTGCAATATTGATGGCCCACCTTTCTTTGGCTGTTGCAGAGAGTTGCTGCTCAGGATCTTCCCCTGGTTGCCGATGAATATCTCCAGGATCTCCAGGACCCGCTACAGCTCAGAGAACAACTCCTGGCTTTATTGAGTGATGCCGTGTTCACTGCTCCAGCCATTCTGACTGCCAGGCACCACCGAGGTCAGTTGCTACTGGAACCGGATGGGTTGGAGCAGCCTTAGCGCACTCGGGGCGAAGGTCCCCTCTTTGAAGGAATCCCTCCGTCCCTCCAGCTGGCCAGTTGCAAAGTCACAAGAACCGGCCGGCAGCAACATTTCCTAGGTAGTCCTTGACTTGCAATCACAGTTGGTGCTGGAATTTCCCTTGTAAGTTGGTGCAGTCGTAAAGTGAGTCTTCATGTTACCGGACCCAATTTTATGACCATTTTTACTGTGGTCGTTATGCAAACCCAGCTTCCCCAGCTGACCTTGCTTGCCAGAAGCCAGCCGTAAAGGTCGCTAGTCCTGATCATTGAATTGCAAGATGCCCTGAACGGTTGTAGATGCGAGTGTGTTGCCAAGGACCCACATGGCCGCAGGGGTGGCACAACGGTCAGAAGTGCAAAGACAAGCCATGTTTTCCAAGGCCATCGTAACTTAGAACCATCATTAAGTGAACAGTTGTAAGTTGACTGCCTGTAGCTTGCCTGGGACCATCTGCAGGTTTCCAGCAGAGAGATCGTCATTTCTGCCTGAGCTAATAGCATTGGGGAAATAACAAACATTTTTAAAATGCTAGCGATGTTCTCAAAACAACAACTCAAAGGTATGCTATAGTTTGGGTGGAGAGAGGGAAGGGGAGGGGCTCTCTTCTCCAATACTGGCCTAAAATGCACCGTTGCCATGGCCCAGGCCTGCATCTCATAGCTATTCTGAAGCTGTGCAGAGAGGATAAAACAAAACCTCTGGAGAGGCTTTTGGAATTTGCTGCCCTCCAATTTTCTGGCAGTTGTTTGCCAGCAGGAAACCATTCCCCAAAATGCACAGATACAGAAGGGCAAAGCAGGGGCTCTAACCCAACCATTTCTGTCCATAGGCTCCCTGCATCCACACTGTCTCTCTACCTGCAGCCTCATTCCCCATCACCCAGAATGGCATTTCTGAGGATTGGCGAGAATGCTTGGCTGTTGTGGAGCAAATCCTGGAGAATAAGAGATGGTATCTCTGTGCCGCGTTCTTGTCTTTCAGACGCTGGCTATCCGGTCTATGTTTATGAATTGCAGCATCGCTTGAGGGCACAAGGCAGCCTTAGGCCAGACTTTTCTAAAGTGGACCATGGGGATGAAATAGCCTTTGTCTTGGGAAAGCCCTTCTTCACAGGTGAGTCTGGAGCACTCCAGGAATTAAGCACTGGCCCAACCTGAATGCGGTGGGCACATTCCTGCTGAAAGGCCACCACGTTTTGTGGGTTCTCAGCACCGACTCCTGGCAACAAGTTGCATTTTACTGAGATTCTCAAGGTGTTGATATAACTCCTGGATTTTATTTTTTATCTTTTAAACAATCCAAATCTGTAATTCTTTTGCTGACACCATCCTTATATTCCTGCCTGCAGACAGTGCAACAGAAGAAGATACAGTGCTCAGCAGAGTGGTTATGAAATACTGGGCTAATTTTGCTCGCGGTGGGTAAGTCAGAGGGTTTGCACATGTCCATAAATTTACTACTCAGGTAAACTCTGCAACTGGTGTAAGTTGGGACAATAGCTAGGAAGAGTGTCCCCCTCCAAACTCTCCTAGAGGAGACCCATCACCTCCCAGGTCACCAGAGTTCCCAGACTTCAGCAGTGAGGCTGGTCGTATAGAGGTTGTTAGCTGGGGAGAAAAGTGTGCAGTACGTTTCCAGCAGATGCCTCTGAGAAATTTTTCAGGTGTTTCTAGAATATTTCATTATTGTTTGAAAAAACGATAAAGCTCTATTTGTGAAAGTGAGGAAGAGATTATCTTGGTGATCCTGAGAGAAAAAAACTTCCCACCTTTGCTATTTATCCAAATGCAGATTTAACAGTCCAAACCGATTCCATGAACTAACTGGCCATTTGCAATGGTTTCTAGGAACCCTAACGGAGCTGGCTTGGTGACCTGGCCCAGATACGACTTGAGTGAGCCGTATCTGGAAATAGGCATAAAGCAACAGGTGGCAAGAAAACTGAAAGAGAAAGCTGTCGGTTTCTGGACCAAGATCCTGCCCGAAAAGGTGGCCGAAGAGAAAGGACATGCTGAGCTATAACCTCTTCACTCGCACGGGGACCTCAGAATTTGGATCAATGGAAACTATTCCTTAGACGGGCCCTCACCCCTCGGTTGCAAGTCTGGTCCTCTCCCTTCACCTGGGCAAGTGTTCGCTGGCCTCCAAGGGCCAGCAGGCCATAGGGCCACAGGGTTCTAGAGAAGGGGCTTCTGGGGACACAAGCTTGATTATTGCAAGAAGATAATCCTGCTCTGTCTAGAAACCCTGTAGAACTCTTAGCTTTGGATAGGAATTGAAGTCATAAAATTGCTTGCAATTTACTTAATAACCGCCTTGCTTAGCAATGAAAATTCTGGTCCCAGCTATAGTCGTAAGTCAAGGATTATCTGTGTTAAGAAAGATACAAACTTGACCAGTAAATGGGGGTGATGCAACCCATAAATTAGCCATTTGTGAACAATTATCTAAAATCAATTTCTATTGTTTAATTTTCACATCTGATTAATATTGTTTATTGTTTGATTCATTGTCTATGGAGATTCTCAGTCATCCAGATCATAGTTATTGCAACAGTGCTTTTAACACAAGGCAACTGGACTTTCTTGTTTTTCTTTGAAGACGTTTCGCTTCTCATCCAAGAAGCTTCTTCAGCTCTGACTGGATGGTGGGGAATGGAAGGATTTATATTCCTTGTAGACAGCTGGTCATTTGCATCCTTCTAGAGAGTCGTTGAGGCCACTTGGAGGTGTTTCTGTGTCCTCAGATCACCTGAGTGGTGCAAATGGGTGTGGAGCCTTCTTGGAACTGCTAAAGGACTGTGTTGTAGACTGGAGATAGATGATGTCATATCCTCCCCCTCTGTTGAGAGAGGGCTGTTCAATTTTGACATAGTTGGCCTTTGTCTTTGTCAGGAGGATCTTCAGCCAACACAATATACATGCACACTTCAAACCCACAAATACACGCAGAAGCTTGTCCACCCCAAGGATAAAACACCCAATGTGATATATGCCATACAATGCAGTGAGCCATCTGCAGATCTATACATTGGGGAAACAAAACAACCATTTCACAAACACAGGGCACAAAATAGGAGAACAAACACATCAGGATAAGAGTCAGCAGTCCACCTGCATTTAAAAGACAAAGGCCACTCTTTTGAAGACAGCAAAGTCCACATTTTGGACAGAGAGGACCTCTGCTTTGAAAGGGGGGGGGTCAAAGAGGCCATCTAGGTCAAGATTGAACAGCCCCCTCTCAACAGAGGGGGAGGGAGACAACATCTATCTCCAGTCTACAACACAGTCCTTTCAACAATTCCAAGAAGGCTACACATCCATTTGCACTACTCAGGTGACCCTGACAACACAGGTGAACCTCCAGATAGCATCAATGACTCAAAGAATGCAAACAACCAGCTGTCTGCAAGGCGTATAAATCCTTCCATTCCCCACCATCCAGTCAAAGCTGAAGAAGCTTCTTGGATGAGAAGTGAAATGTCTTCAAAGAAAAACAAGAAAGGTTTGATTCATTGCTTTCTGACACATTGCATATATTGAATATATGTATCATTTATTTCTGTACACTATATAAAGACTTGAATGCCCTCTTTATAAATAGTTTTTGCTTTTCCCGAAGCATTTGGGGTTTGTATTGTTGGGGCAGGAGGGCAAAAGCCACCTGTCAACAATGATTCACTTTTCACCTGGTTTCTTCTCCGCTCTCAACTTGACAACAATCGGAAGGGGGGGGGGGTTGAATCGCATGCGGTGGGAGTTGTTGAAAAATTCCTTGAGATCAAAATGGTGGTGCAGGAGACACCCAGGAATGCCAATAAAATTGCTTCTGCTCCTTCCCATTTGCAACCCGCCACCACACTCACTTCTTAGCTAAACTATGGAGTTGTTATAACAATTGTCCATCTGCAATTAGAAATTTTCTGCTTCTTTGGGGAGCCATAGAAAATTTCTTGAAGTCAGACCTGTGGCTGATTTAACCCAGTTTTGCTGGCGATGGATTGGATTTCTGGCAATCAAGATCCAAGTTGGCGGGAAAGGCACCAGAAGCCTGGCAGAAGCTGCTCAATCAACAGATGGAAGGCAAGGAAAAGGAGGCCTCCTTGCCTGGCAACCTCTGTGTCCAGCCTCTCAGTCTGGCTGCTCATGGCAAATGGGGAACATTCTCTCTGCCAGTGATGAAGAAGAGCAGAATTCTGGTGCCATGGCAACTGTGTTCTTAACAGGGCTATCAACATAGCACTAAATCAGCACAGAGCCCTAGCAGAAGATCAGTTCTGCAACCCTGGACATTGCAGAATGAAAGAGACATCACATTTCTGTCTCAAACAAAGAACGGGAGAAACTCAGCAATCACAAGACGGAGTGAGAAATTCATTGGTAAGAACTCTCTTGCCCTCTGCCTATGCCCTAAGGGGCCGGGTTTCTTACCCTTCTCCTTCCAAACTCCAGATTACCAGAGGCCTTTTTTCAGCCCTGACTAATCTCTCCACCAAAGATCCTCACGCTGAAAACTGAGCCCAGGACTCCCAGCTTCGCCCTAGCCTAACTGCTGGGATTTTGCTGTGACCCACCCAGTGGCTGTGAATGCAGGCTGTAGAGGTCACCCAACCCCCCCTCCTAATGCATTGAGCCACTGCAGATGAGAAGAGGCAGCCTCTTGTGTTTTGGAGAAAAGTGCCTTCTGTCAATTCTTGAGGAAGCCTATAGGACCACTCCATCCACCCCAAGTAGCCAGCAGACTCAGCCTACCTAGAAATGCTCCAAAGGAAACTGACCAGCAGCTCCTCTTGGGGTACTGTGGCTGCCCATCTGACAAACCTGCTTGGCCTGTGGGTGAGGAGAAGGAGAACTGCCCCCCCCTCATCTTCCCTCTCTTTGACAGGGCCAGCATATTGGAGTCCTGCTTCTCTCTGTGTTCACCCTGCCTTCTTCTGGAGCTGGTAAGTGGAACTCCTGAGCATGCACCCCCACACACACACACACACATTCAAGAAACACAAAGTAATGGAGGCAGGAAGAAGCAGCCTTGTGCTGCTTCTGTCTATGAGTGCCCTGCTGCCATTGCCAGATCCTGTCCAGGCAGAAAGGAAAGGAGACTGGGTAAACTGCCCGAACTGGTGGAAGTCTCCTTTCCAATCGCTGAAGCATTGTTTAGCCCTTGCATTGCTATTTCGGTATTGCTCATTCACCTTCCCTTCAACTTTTACAGTCAGAGAAACTTTGCAAAGCTGGTTGATCAGTTGGATGCCCCTCAACCACGTTTGCCCATTGTGTGAAATGACTGGTTATGCTTCCCAGAATTGGGATTGTCCAGACAGACCATGAAAAGAAGTTTATTGATTCACTTCTATAGCTGCCCATCTCAATCCACTAATTGTGGGCAGCAAATATTTCTAAAACAATCAAACAGTTATAAACAGTAGAAAAACGAATATATGCAGCTGCTGAGGACATTATAATTGTCATTGGAGCCAAGAAAGGGGTCTCTTAACACATTCAGAGCCCCAGGCCTGGGCACATAGCCAGGTTTTGAAGGCCTTATGAAAGGCCAACAGGGTTGGGGCCATCCTAGTCTCTGAAGGAGAGTCCCGAGGGCAGGAGCTATAGCAGAGAAGGCGCATCTCCTGGTCCGTGCCAGCCAACATTCCTTGGCTGACAGGACCTGAAGCAGGCCCAGCCTGCCAGAGAGGGTTGGACAGGTAGAAACTATGGAGAAGAGACGGTCCAAAGCTTGTAGGGTTTAAAGGCCATACCCAGCACCTTGAATTGCATTCAGAAACACACTAGTAACTAATGCAGCTGATGCAGTCGTGGTGTTATATGTGTTGCATGTCTGAGGACCATTTGTTACCTGTGCAGCTGCATTCTGTACAGCTGAAGCTTCCGAATGCTCTTCAAGGGCAGCCCCATGTAAAGTGCATTGCAGTAGACCAGACAAGATAGGAGGGCATAAGTGACCATAAGCAGAGCTTCCCAGTCCAGAATGGACATAAATGGTGCACCACCCAAAAGGGTGTAAAGGTCCTAGCCACGGCTGTCATCGGCTCTTCAAATAGAAGGAGTGAGTCCGTGCGAGCCCCACATTTTACGGTGTTACAAATAAGTGGGTGCAAAGCTGGCAGGCTTTTTACGGGCATCTGGAGTGGAGTGAGAAGAGGCACTGGGTGGAAGGAAGGATCTCTTGAAGCCAGGAAGGGAAGCTGGGGGCTCTGAGAGATTTTGTACGGCACTTTAGTGTGCAATCAGAAACAAGGGTAACATTGCCAGGAAGTGCAAGAGACAAATTATAGCAAAAATAATGGTAAAATAAAGCTTTGGGCATGTTGGGACAATAGGGAAGAAGCCCCAAAACTTAAGGCAAGGCCAAGGAGGCTCTGATGATGGACTTGCCCATTTCTTTCACAAAGCTGCAGGTTGCGGCAGACAAGCCAGCTTAGTTCCCACAAACACGACCCAAGAGGTTGCTGCTGTTGGTGAATTCCCTTGGATGGTCTCACTGCAGGATCAGGGCGGCCACGTTGCGCTGGGCTCCATCCTAAGTCAAGACTGGATCCTAAGCACAGCCTCCAGCTTCCACAGCAGGTAATGCTCAGGGGCTCATTCAAGCAAGCAAGCAAAAAATATACAAGCACACACACACACACACATACAAGAAACTTCTTAAATGAGTTTTGCCCCATTTTATGACTTTTCTTGCCACATTTGTTAAGTGAATCACCGCAGTTCTTAAATTAGTAACACAGTTCTTAAGTGAATCTGATTTCCCCGTTGATTTAGCTTGTCAGAAGGTTGCAAAAGGTGATCGTAAGACCCCGGGACAATGCGATTGTCATAAATATGAATCGGTTGCCAAGCATCCAAATGTAAATCACTTGACCCTGGGGATGCTGCAACGGTCATAAGTGTGAAAAATGGTCATAAGCAGTAGTGGAATTCAGCTGGGTTGCACCGGTTCACTAGAACCGGTAGCTAATTTTTTGTTGACTTTGGTGAACCGGCTGATGCCCTAACCCCGTGGGGGCGAACCTATGGCACGCGTGCCACAGGTGGCACACAGAGCCCTCTCTGTGGGCACACACGCCGTTGCCCCACTCCTAGGCCTTCATCTGGGTTTTATAAAACCTTTTCGCTTTAGGCCTCTGCTGCCGTACGCAAAAAAAAAAAAAATGTTCAATCAATTTCAATTTCTCGTGGAAAAAAAAAGATCTTGCAAAGTTGGATTTGATTGATTGAACTTTTTAGTCCCACCCAGTCTGCTGTTACCACCGCAGCCACGCCCACCCAATGGGCCACATCTTCAAAGAAAAACAAAGTCCAGTTGCCTTTTGAAAAAGCATCTTTGGGATAAGATAGATGCATTTTCTCTCTTTCCTTCTTAGTTTGTATTTTCAGTTTGTTTGGGATTTGTCTTTTTATTTTTTTTTTAAATATTTTGTTAATTGTGTATATTAAGAATATTTCAGTTGTCCTCTTGGCACTAGGAAAGAAACTGAAAGGGGCCCATCCAGATCCACTTATGGACGAGTCAGTTTTTTTTTTCTGGGCCTCGCCTCTGCCCAACTCTGTTCCTGCTTTTGACAACTACACACACAACAGCAATCAGCCAGGAAAAGCCTTTCTGTAGCCAACAACCCTTTTAGACGCCGCCTTTACAATTTTTGAAGCATGTGGGGAAATTTAAGTTTCTACCCTCAGCCAGGATCCTAATGAAAAAAATCCAATTTGACTCTGAGGTTCATGTGTCTTCTCTGCTATTTGCACGTCACTGGCTTCAAACCAACAAATTTTCCATTACTACTCCTCCATCCCCAGGCAGCGGAAATTCATCTGATAAGATTTTGTTCCTCCAGCCCAAGAGATCTGTCAGAAAAAGGTGGCCAAGCCCATCTAGAAAAGTGACCAGGACTCCAGATTTTCTGGGCAATTCATGTTTTCTCCAGTCCCCTTGCCGTGTCCTGCTACCTCTCCTTTGTTTCCAGAACCCAGCTCTCTGTTCTGGCTGGAGCTTCAGATCCAAAAGGGCCTGGGGAATCTCTTTTGCCCATCCAGACCATTGTCCTCCATGAGGCCTTTGACGAGATAACCCTGGTGCACAACATCGCTCTGCTGAAGACAAGCACTCCGCTCCGTTTCAGCGTGACCGTGCAGCCCATCTGCTTCCCCACCTCAGACTTCCCAAGGGCAGCACTGAAGAAATGCTTTGTGGCCGGCTGGCTGGACCCTCCAGGAGGTGAGCCAGCTCTCTACCTGCGAAGCTCCCCCGCTGCCTCAGAGGGAGAGCGGGAGGCGATGGAGAACCGTCTGCCAAGCTTTAAAACTTCATAGCGGTTCTTTGCTGTCTTGGCTCTCCAGGGGTTGGTCCTCTGCAGAAACTCCCAGTGGAAGATGTGGACCCCTGTCCCTTGCACAGAACCATCAGCACGGAGTGTTGCAGCCACCGGGAAGGGGACCAGATGCCTGGATGCCTGGTGAGGAGGCCCTGAAGGGTGCGCTAACCTCCCCGTTAATCCAACTGGGGGCTTTGCCATGTTTCTTTTGCAAGCCTCTGAGGTTAAAGAACTAAGTCACATCTGTCTCTCTGGCCTTTGAACAAAATAATTGATAAAATCTGGATTTGAGATAGCTCCCCTATACTGCAGAGGATCCTCTGCATTTGTGTTACAATTATACAAATGGGCAGAGATTTTTGCAGGGTGCTAATTTGCAGCCATTTGCTTGTATCATTCCTGTGAGTAGCTGTCGATTTGTTAGGAGCCTCCAGCCCCTTCTAAGACTTTGGGGTGAGCCAGGTCAGCGGTGGGATTCAAATAGGTGAACAGCCGGTTCTCTGTGTGGAAGCCGCTTCCGGAAGACCATTCTGGGCCTGGGCAACAAAAAATTAGCTACCGGTTCTTCCAAAGTGATGTGAACCGGCTGAATCCCACCACTGGGCCAGATGGCCATTTGGACTCCTTCGAACCCCGCAGACTTCATCTTGTTCACTTGGCTGGTCTGTTTTTCTCCTGCTGGGGTGCTGAGCACCTCTGAGATGTCCACCCTACAGGGGGAGTTGGGCTCAATGAGGTCAACTAGTTGTGCCTCAGATGGTCCAAAAGGGCCTTGAATTGTGATCTGTCTTCCCTCCAAGGGGTCAGCTGGCAACCCGGTCCTGTGTGAGGCAGAAGGCAGGCAGGTGCTGAAGGGCCTGCTGAGCAAAGGGGGCACCAGATGCTACGGGCCCTTCGTCTACAGCCGACTCATCTACTACAGTGACTGGATCGTGGCCACCACGGCCAGATGGAGGGCTCCAGCTTCCCCCTTTCCTGGCCAAAGGTATCAGGCCTTTGGGGGCCCAGCAGAGGAACGGGAGGGGCTGCTGTTCGAACCCTTTTTGGATCTGAGAGCCCTGAATGTCTCCGATGCCTCGGAAGACCCCCTCAGCCTGGAGCTTTCAGAGGAGCTGGAGGAGAGTGGCCTGGGCCCCCCCAAAGAGCCAATCGAGGCACGAGTGAAGCTTCCACTCTACTACGACTACTATGGGGGGGAGCTGCTCGCCATGTCTTCAGCAAAGCCCGGTCATCCGTGGCGGCTGCAGGGCCTCCTCTGCATGGGCCTCCTGCTGCACCTCCTGGCTTCCTGAACCACTGGGCAACCAGACTGTTCCTGGGCCCCGAGATCAGATTTCTCTTGGGAGATCCTTCTGCACAACTAAAGTTTATCCATAGAGTCTCCTTGCTCTATGAGAAGTTGGGACATCCTGAGAGGGAAGAACACAAAGCATCAAAACCTGGGAAGCTTTATGAGGGCCTGCAGGACAGAAAGTCCTGCGATTTCTCTGCTTGATGGTGTTGCCCTAGCTCTGACTGCGGATCTGCCTTTCCACTTTTTCTCAGGCTCTGGCAGAGACTTTGAGGGCCTGTCTTTCTTTGGAAAATGCATCCCATTAAGGCTTCAGCCCCCCCCCCCCCCAGTTCCCAAGATGCTAAATTTGAGCCCAGTACGCAGGGAGTCTGAATATATTACCACTCCTTTTATTCATTACCATATTGCTGAGTGATCTGAATATACTTCATAGCTCTGTAGTCAACTAGTTCTATCATGATCCATTAATATCTTAAAAACAGATCAATTTACTAATCCACTTTACAAAAGCAATCTGTAGAGGCATAAACATGCAATATGGAGAAAGCTTTGTGCCTGTCCAAGGCTTGTCCTGGTCTGGCCCAGGGGAAGGGGCCGAGGATGAAGCTGTTCACCACGACGATGGGGCTACGGGCGCAGCAGACGGGCTGCTGAGTTTCTCTCCCACTCTCCTCATTTCTCTAGTGGCCCTGTGGAGAAAAGAAGCTGGGTGTGACTTTAGCTCAGCTGTGCAGCTCTGCCTCCAAGAGACAGGAGAGGGAGAAAATACCACGGGGGAGAGGGCTCAAAGTGAGCCGAGAAATGGGGGGGGGGGCTCAGATAGACAGCAGGCACCCAAGAGAGGCCATGGAAGCCCCCACTGTGCTCAGGGGGCTCCTGGTCCCATCCAAGGCCAGGCGAGGGTCCCCCTTCCTCACCTGTGTTGCTTTGTGTCTCTCCTGTTCGGGCAGAAGAGCCTGCAGCTGGTGACTGGCCATCTTCGCCTTGTGCCAAACGTTGCGGTAACTTTGCAAGGCCATCTGCGACAGAGGAAAGGAGGAGGGGGGAATGGGCAGCCTCCCCTTCTCACAGCCCCTCCGGTCAACGGAGGCCTCCTCTGGCCTCCAGGAAGGGCAGAGTCCACCTGCCCAGGAATCTCCACCTCTGGGGGGGGGGGGGGCTGATGTGGACTGATGGGCATATTTGAGATTTTTCACAACCCACTATGCATGTTCTCACAAAATGGCTAGCAGATAACCATTACAATAATTTAACAGAATGTTAACTTATCTGCTCCCATGGCAGAATATTGCAGATCACCCTTTTATTTTTTCCCAGGTCTGAAACAATTTCCAAACAAAGCACAAGTTGCAGTGCCTGCTATTTTTATTGTCCTGGCCTGCCTCAGCCTGCTCCTCCCCCTGTTCCTCCAAACGCCTCCCCCTCCATCTCCCTCAGCAAGTTCAGGCTCCGAGGGGGACAGACATGAACCTAACAGCAGAGGCTTAAGTATATTCTTTTACGTGATTTTCCCATGATCTTTAGGAATTTTCTCCAATAATGATTTTTGGTTTTCTTCAGCCAGATGCCACAAACTGTCTTGTGGCACATCAACTAGGTTGTGTTCCTATAAGAAACACACTTCCATCCAAAAGTGACCCACTATCGCAGCCCTACCTCTGCAATTTCCACCTTCCTCTCCCAGATCCTGAGGGTGTTTTCTAGATCGTGAACAGCCACCTTCTCATGAACATAGTTGAGAACAGGAGGAACTCTGTATTCTGCCAGTTGTCGCCGTAATTTTTTGTTCAGGATCTCAGCCTTTACCCGTTCCTGTGAAAGAGACAAAGTACTCTGAGAGCTTTCTGATCTTGGCCTTGATCTTTTGCCTACCACCGGATTGACCTTAACTGGGACTCAGGATCTTTACACGCAGAAAAAAATGGCACAGAAAAAGGATTAAACCCATCTGCCCTTGTTGCTTCCTTAAATACTGAGACCGTTCCTGCTTCTTTGAAGAAATTATATTCATAGTACACTTCATGGATTCCTAGGAAAATCTAGTATTAGTGACCAGGGAATTTCTACACCGTCTCCATTTCTACATCCCGACTCTTTGTAAAGCAGTTTGAAAAAGTTCAACTGTCTTCCCTTCTGCCAACACAGAACTGCTGGGAAGAAGGACTGAAAGCCACTGGATTGCAAATACAGCAATCCCTGCCCCCCTTGAAAAAACTGGAGCAGCTGCCCCAGTACAGGAAAGGAGGAAATGGATGTTCACCCCTCATGGTTAGGCCTCAGGCTCGCTCACTTGAGCAACTGCGCACGAGACGCCAAGTCTCACAGGGCTCCAGCGCTTCCAGCTGCCAACTGGCTTTGGGGCAGTTTTTCTTGCATCCAGCCTGAGCCAGAAGGAAATTGGCTGATTCGGCAAACAGTGGCAATCCAGGAAGGGAGCAGAAGTTGCTCAGCAGAAGTAAACCGCTCCATCTTCAGAGTGGAGAAAGCTAAAGCTTCTGTTGTTGAGCAGGCACCACCGTTTCTTTTTAACTAAAGGAATTCTGCTTTTCGATTATCCAAATTTGCCCTCTACAGTTTTTAACATTTTATTCACACTCCCGAAGCATGAAAGAGGGTGAAGCCAACCCTTCCAGGGAGGAGTCTTTTCATTTCCTGCCCAGGAATCTTTGGTTTGTTTTAGGGCCTGGATTTGTCTCCCGTGAAACAATTTGATCTACACTGATTGAGGTAACTGAGGAATCAAAGGCAACTGTTAAAACAAGTAAAAAAGTAAAACCACGGTAAAGGTCAGCTAATCAGATGGCTCTAAATGTCCCCTGCAGGCCACAAGGCTGCCTTCCCAGAGTAAACCAGCAGAAGCTCCTGAGGTCTTTCTCCTCCTGGCCCCTGCTGGAGACCCCCTCTTCCCCTACCTCTTCCACAAGGGTGGCCTCGTGAGCAATTTTCTCCAGGGATTCCTTTCTCTGCGCAATGTCTTTCACCAGGTAGGCAGCCATGGCTGTTGCATAATACAGCTTCCTCTAAAATATAACACGACCCAAAGGGTGACATCCTTGTCAAGTACAGAAATGTGAATGTATCTTGGCTGGACAAAACCTCCAGCGAGAGGCAGAATACAGAACAGACTCTGCTTGTTTGGGAAGGGGTGGCAGCGTGAATACTTTCCCCCCCCCCAACCCCTTTCAAGCTCCCCTTTTCCGCCTTTCATCCCAGGAGCACCCTTAGTACTTGCCTATCCTACGCTAACACTCATCCCTCCCACGGTCCTTTTGTGGCTGACCGATGGGGATCCATACGTGATGCAGGGCTGGAGAGTGTGTGCCGGGTGGTCTTTCGGGACCCTCTCGGCAGCCCTCTTGAGATGAAGGGCCGGACGGAGCCAGGTAGATTCAACTGTCTTACTTTGTAGAAGTTAAGGATCTGCAGGGTGTTGCCAACAGTCAGCTTCAGCTGCAGTAAGTCTTGGTTTCGTTCATCTATTTTCTCCAGGAACTGAGCATTCTCAATCTTGAGCTGCTGGAAATCAACCTCGTGCAGTGCCTCTCCCAGCTCCTCCTTCTGCAAATCAGCCACAAATGTGATGGACAGGCACCCATTTGAAGCATTTCAGAGCCAGCCCAGCCTGACCAGGCTGCAGAAAGCTGGGGCAGCCCTGGATCTGACCTTTGGCTAGATCATTCTTTCATGCTCCACTGCAGTAAAGTCAAATTCGGATAAACACAAAGGGGTCTCAACTTCCAGAAGGGGCTGAAGAGCTGAGGAAAGTGAGAGAATTTCTGGAGTGGGGTAAAGAGAGGGCAGGAGGATAGTGAGGTAAGTGACAGCACAACTTTAAAGGACAGACCCAAACATGGTATGCAAATGCATTGCTCTTCTGTCCTGCGACAGCTGAAGTTAGGCCAGGTTTTTAGAGAGTTTTATTCAAGTCTGAACTATTCTTGGTTAATTTTAGCTTTGGTTGGCTTTTTGTGGTTAGTTTACTTAGTTTGGGTTACTTTTTAAGTCCATTTGGCTAGTCTATCCTGCTCAAACTGTCGCTTTACTTTTTCTCTTGGTATCCCAGTTCTGAACATAGTTTCAGTTCAAGGACAGTAGATGGAATGAATAACAGAATAAGAGTTAGAAGGGATCTTGGAGGTCTTCTAGTCCGACTCTTTGCTTGGAACCCCAAACCATGAAAAATAGATGAAATCCTCTCAAATTGCTCAAGCACTTTTGTCATTTGGCCTTGAATCTGGCAATCAAATATGTTGGTTATATTATGGGAGTTAAACCTACATTATTAATAAATATAGGTATTCTATAGCTATCGTTGTGGTTATAATGTCCAAAACATTGTGGTAAATTCTATTTTAATTAACTAGAAAAAGTCCAATAAACCTTAAGGTAAAACAGTGGATTTTGTGGATATGAAGGAAAATAAGTTCAATTAATATTGGTATGATTAGGTACTTGAGAACTCCACAAATTTACGGAAGACAACTAAATGTTATTAAAACGAAACTTAGTTTAAATAATATGTCCTATGATAATTAGTCTTAATTACTCAACAATCTGGAATTTATCAACTTACGAAGAACTTCATGTTATCAATCTTGAACTCTAGCTAAACTTGAAATTAAGTTCTGGGGCAAAAGCGATCAGCCTCCAGAGCTGAAATTCTGGGTTGAAGGAAAATGTTCACACTACCAAACTCTGAAGCCAAATGACCAGAATGCCGACTTACCCGATTCCACTGTTGGTAAAGCTCAACTAGGTGTTTTTATGCATTTATTTTAATACATGCATATCTTCCTTGGTTGGATTCCCTCTCCTAATATTTTTTTGTCTTTTTTTCTTTGTCTGTTTGCTTTCTGTTTGAGATTTTTGAAAGCATCTACTACATATATATGTATGTATGTATGTAATCTGCAGGGTTTTTATTTTTTTCTACAATATATAAAAAATTAAAGGCGCGTTTGCTGGCATGGTCAAGAATGGGCTATACCTGCTGGAGTTGCATCTGCATCTTCTTCTTCTGAACTTTTAGAGAATCGTTTTTCAAATGAATTTTTTCTTTCATAACATCCTGAAAAATAAAGCAACCTGACTGATTTTTCAGATTTCTACTTCCATTGGGAAGTTCTCTTTCCCATCCATATTTGATCCAAATTTCCAGGATGTATTGGGGACCTGGGACAGATTTCCACACCCTGGTAAGGCAGAAAACCGTTTGTCCAGACTGGGACTTGTGTCACATGAACCATGCACCGAGTTACGCTGGGTTGTTTCAATTAGACAGCCATGTACATTGAGTGAAAGAAGTAAGTATAAATAAGTATACCAAGTCATGTGGCTTTGAACATGGTAAAAATGAATCTTACACGCCAGGACCGCCTTATTTCAGTCATCGTATATGACAAAGGAAATCTTTTAATTCTGCTATAAAAATATAACTACCACAATATTTTCTGAGTTTGGGAAGTAATTACAATGTCCTTATTTTCTATGAAATA